GTCGATGGTATAAATTACCCAATTACAAATTGTAAAACTCTCATTATTTAATATTGAAAATAATGAGTAGGTTGTCTGAAATAAAGAATCACAGAAAGGAAGTAAAATTCTTTACTATTGTTTCACTTTATTTTATATTCTGATGATTAGGGTTTAATCGGTTACGGTCAGGATATCAAAGAATACTTGCCTGCATTCTAGTTACAGATGATACCGCTATTTCTGCAACTATAGAGTAAAAATCAATTCAATATTAATTAAATTATTTAGAATTGACGTAAGATTATTAATTTTCTAAGATGATTTTATTAGTAGAATGGTTGAGTCAAAGAATAAATCTGGAAAGTGATAGCATTCAAATACGAATAACAGAGCGAAATAATTTAAAAAAAATTAATTAGACTGCATAAACTATCAACATAAACTAGAGCAAAAATTGGATTGATTTTATTTTATTTTTTTGAGAACCTAGTTGCATTATTTTGTATCGAAAAAGTTCTAAAATTATAAAAATAAATATAATAGAAAATCTTCTTAATGTTAGGATTAATGTTCTATTTCTCGGACAAAAGCGTGGGATTCTATAATTCATGAATAACTTAGTTGATATCATAGGTAGATAGGAGATGAAGAAATAAAGAATTCATTTTCATCGATAATACAACTAATATTCTAAAAATATTAAAAAGGCTGAATTAGTCTAAATTTCTATTAGATGAAAGGACGCGTTTATCTCATCAGTATTCATTGAGAACTTTTGTGATATAATCTACATTTGCAGGTAATAGTGTGGGCTGATCACAAGACAAAAAAGCTTTGATATAGATAGAGATGATAGCCTGTTAATTAGTTGATTGAATTTTACTCATAAGAGCGAAGCAGATACTTTAGATTGCTTTATGAACCATCCACTGTAATGATAGAATGCTATAAAGTTATGCTGAGGATTTCATAAACGTAATTGATTTTTGCCTAAGAATGAACACTGCAATGATGCAATAGGTTATCCATTTTAATTTTGAATTCATTCGTAGTCTAGTTGGTGGTTCGATAATCATCTTATTTTTGATAATTAATGTACCAACAGTAAGTGATAGTTAAAAGGTATAATAATAGTAATCATAGACAACAAAATTGAACGGTAGCAGTTTCTAACTGTTGATTTTTTTATTAGGTACGGTTGAGTGCTGCTTTTTTATAGGATATTGTTACTCAACAGAGATGAGGAATGATTTCACTATCGTTAAGATAAAACGTATTAATATTATTTACGATAATTTCAAGACAGTAAATCAATAAATATTGTGATATTTATTATCTTAATAGTTGCCTGTGCTTATTATTTAGCATAGCCACATATTCTTTCATATCATACATATTCTTTTATTGAAGCAGATAACCAATTCAAGCATAGACTCAAGAAGGAGTCCATTATTTACTCACTAGTTATTTGATATTTCCACGAACACTATAGAATTAATCTTATAATCTTATTGTTTCCATACAAGGCATTAGTTAGATTATTAATTTTTATAACACAATGCTATCAAAATAATCCATGATAGTAATAATTATTTTTATTATAATTAATGCAGAATAGATCAACTAAACTATAATCCATCAACAGCATATATACGAGTATTAACACAATGGAAATAAGTTATGAATAGTTTTGATCAATATCAGCAAATTGAGTTATTTTCATAAAATTATGACCTATAGCTCTAATTGATAATAGTGAATTGATCAATTATTCCTACAATAAAGCGAATTTGTATACAAACTTTAAATTGACAAGTACGGTATATAAACTATGGGTATGCTATCTTTTTCTGTAAGCGATAAGAGGGAATTAAATGAAAACGGTTACTAGGGTAGTATTATAGTGTATGTTTACAATTTTAATGAAATATTAGGCTCAATAGATTATTTAACCGGATAAATCTATCACTCTTTTACATATACTCTTATATTATCATTTCTGTAAAGAGTGGGTTCTTGTTATTTACGCAGTTGAACTTGACGACCTTGTAGACTAAAGCTTTCGATGTCAAAAGCCATTGATGTTTTTATTTGTATTTTTTAAATAGAATTTATACGATGTTAAATAGTATTTGTAGTAGAGGATAGCAGAGTATTAACATAATTTAAATTAAAATTTAATAGATATTTTTGTTGTGATTTCATTATGGATAATTCTATTTAGACATGTAATAGCGCTTTGATCCATAGAATCATTCTTAGCGGTTTCTAAGGATATTAAGGAAGCTATGCAATATGGTCGAACTTAAGTTTATTTGAATTCAGTAAGCTATTAAGAGAATCCTGGCAACTATTATTAGATCTTATCTGCCGGGATACACATTTTCCGTATTTGGCTGTTAGTATCGGAACCGATTCATCATTCCATTACATCCTATCCAAAGCGAGAAAATAATTTTAATGTTATCAAAAATTTTTACTGTAGTACCTATAATATTCAGTACGGTACAATTTAAAAATAATAACTGCGTTAGGGTGATAAATAACCGAAAGTATCGATAATAGCTATGATGACTTTTATTCCAAGAGCTTGTTTAAGAGACTGTTCATAATAACTATTTGGATCAACTAGACTATAGGATCCGGATTACCTAGAGTATGTGATCCAAACACACCCTAACCAATTAACATCAAATGTGGACGTGACTACGATATTATTTCTTATGAGCTTTTAGAGCTGTAAGCCTCACTAATTAGAATGAAATTATGAGTAAAAGTATGCCTCTGACTGACTATTAAAATATACAAATACTCATCTATAATGAAGTGAGATGTTACCGTCATTCTCTAAAGGTAGTTCCTGCAATTATTCACCTGGATAGATGTCATTAACCCTTGAGCTTACCCAGTCTTATTAATTTAAAACATTTAGGTGTAGTCAACAACTATCTGTCTAAAGGTAGCTAGCATTTTAATAAAACGTTAGCCTACAGTTCATTGGCAATGATGACGCCATTGCAAAGTAAACATCCGTTAATATTAATGAAATCTTTTAGGTTGTCACTGAGCTCACAATGATTAACAGTTTCAATAACTTTAATGACTTTTTGTTATATTATCATCTAGTGTTCTAGACAGACTATTGTCACGTTATTGAATGATCGTTCGAAATCCTTCTATCGAAAAGAAATGGCTTCCATATTACTAATGAGGTCTTAATAATTACTTCGAACAATAGTTCTATTTCATCTTGATGCTAGTTGCATAAGGCATAATGTATTCTTTCCAGCTGCCCACTCTTTATTGCCGATAAATTATATTGACAGGCATGCCGAGAAAATTTTCAGTTCATGAGATAATCTTGAAAGTAAAACATTGTTATCTAACACTAATTAGAATATTACAAGTTGAATAGTGATTCAGCACAAATTTCTAATCCATAACCAGAGGAGTGATTCATTTTCTAATTACTGCCAATCTAATTTCATGCTATACATGAGGTTAGTTAACGACATAAAATATTTTATAACGCTTTCGATTAATATTTAATAGCCATATTGTCGATAACTTTAAATAACACAAATAATATTATAATATATTCTTGTCATAATCTGAAAATCAGTTTCAAAATATTTCCTCTGTTTTTCTAAATCTATCTATTTTCTGTTTTCTCTTCTTTGATGTAGCTATATTATACGTACAGTATTTCTATCATGCGAATCGGCCTAATGTATCAGTTCATTTTATGTTTCAGGATCATTATTTAAGCAAGTAAGTTTAACCCGATAATACGTACGGCTTTAATTTTCTCTGGATGAAGTTGCAGATTTTATGCTGCACAATGAAATTATCGACATGTTATTAGCTTATCATTAGCTTTTCCGATCAAATCATTAAGGTTCACTAAGTTGCTTTTATTAACGGATATTTAATTGGCTCTTATTATTGCGACTATTAAATTAAGTAGACCGGGGTGGCGAATTATAAACAATTATTTGGTATAAACTTTGCAGAAGTGATTTTATTGCTTTTATCAATTTTAATGTTTCCTTGAAGGCGAAGTTTTCTGTGATCATTTAGTATTGTCCCTAGCGATAATGATTTCATTCTAAATCTGAGATTCATTTCGCCATATACCCACTTAAATTATAAATAGTTGATAAGCAAATACATTTGCGTCAGTTTTTGCTAATCACAATCGTGGAAGCTATTCCTAAACAGCTGTTACAATACATCTGATTATTTTCGGGCTGGTATGCGGACGGAATGAAACCTATTCTATTGAAGTGCTAAATTGATTTATCTTCCTTTCTGCTATGCACTGTACTCGTGCATCGAGCATCTGAAGAGAATTTATATCTTTGGCTATACAACGGGCCTTAAAAGTCTCCAGCAGCTGCAAAAGACTAGAAAATTGATCTCTACACTGAAGTTACCACCTTCAGTGTTACTTTATCAAGCTTAAGAGTGAAGGTTACATTTCTGCTGATACTCAATTTGCTGTATTAATATCGAACTTGACATTGGGAGCAAAAAGTTTTTGTTACCTTTAAAAAATTCAATCTTAATTTCATCATTTCTTATGATATCGCAATCAATTTTTTGGTTCTAGGACTTACCATATCAATACTCGTATATAAGAAATAAAAGAAAATCATTTATACTAGTCTAGCTTTGGTAGTTGAGTTTGAAATTTTCTTGTTAGCAAGTATAACACGGAAGCTTAATAACTCATCGATATTGGTCTTCTAAAAAACGATTATCTGCTATTTAATAATAAGCATCACAACAATAATCGAGCTAAATTTGACTGATAGCGGCAGTATTACGGTAATACACAATATTTAAAATTAAATAGACGGCTTGTAGCTGAAGCTTTAGTCTATCTTTAAGTTGCAAATAAACATCGACATCACTCTCATAAAAGGTTTTCATCGCTGATCAATATTATCATGAACGACAGTAGTAATAAAACAGCCCTCCCTTTAAGTGAACTCTTGGTTATTGGTTATTGCATAATGGAATTGACCACTATTATTTTTAATGTCTGGACATTATTTATCTTTTATCGTTATCCCCGTTTAAGGATTCCAATTAACTATATTTTGATCAATTTAACTATTAATAATTTATTGTATGGCTTTTTAATATTACCATTTAAGATTGTGTCGGTTTTAACACAAACATGGCCATTTCATCCTCGCATTTGTTTACTGAGCGGTTTCATAAATGTAGTTGGATTTTTAGTAGCTGTCTTTTCCATTCTAGCAATTAGTGTCTATCGCTATTTGGCTATAGTTAGATCACAGAAACGCACAATTAGTAAACGAAGGGTTCTTTTTTCGATTGGCTTTATCTGGTTTGGTAGTGCAATTAGTGCAATGTTACCTCTTGTTGGTGTTGGCTCTTATGTTTATATACCAAGTGCTTATATGTGCATGCCTGATCCCTATTATAATCTGTTTATAACGTTATTTTTTTCAACGACGAGCTTTATACTACCTGTTATATTTAGTGGTGTATTAAATTGGCGTTTATTAGTAACAGTCAACAAGCATTCTAAACGTATGCAAGTTACACATCAAAGTTGTAGTTTTGTGCGTAAGGATAAAGGCTTAACGAAAGCCATCTTATCCATTTACGTTGGATTTTTTATTTGTTTTATGCCAATTGGTATCGTTGCCTACATATTATTACCGTTGTATGTGCCTGTACCACGCTCTGTTATAATAATTAGCTCATTTATGATTACCATCCATTCGACAACTTTTCCATTAATATGTGGCTTGATGCATGAAAAATTTAAAATATGTTACAAGCAGTGCTTATCTGACTTAGTCGGTGGTAAACTCTATCGTCGTCGTTCTGGTTCGTTGAAGTCTAAATCATCATTTATCAGGAGAACATCCACTATACGTGATTTTCGTTGTCCAGATATACAAGTTCATCAAGCAAGCGAAAATCATCGTTCAAATTATTTTATACGATCGCCAATGTCAATGGATAATATTACAAGCCTCCTGAGTAAGAAAAGGCGACATAGCACTAATATCTGGCGTCATAAAACTTTTCCTGTAGTACAATCACCGTTGCCACTTGACCGTGCAAAGAAATACTCTATTCCTAATACAGAGTTAGAGCTGGAAGATTTAACGCCTTCGACTGTATCTTAAAGTTAATATCGCTTTGAAAACGTTCTACTTAGCCGCTGATATGCGCGCATGTAATTATGGCATAATTTTATGTATTATTGGCACCTATGATATATTCATCTAGGGGGAATAAAAGACCTTCAGCCATTTATTGCATGTTGATGATGGATTTGCCATTTTATAGGACACACGTGGACTGCTAATAATAATTATTTTCTTTCAATATAAAGGTGATGACCTTAATTTTAAAGTAAGCTATTATCCAATTTAGGGATATCATTGCAATAGGAATAAAACAGTACTACAAATTGAAATGATTGAACTACAGTGGCTATTATAATTCTATTACAAAGATATGGTTTTTTTATTATCTATCTGTCTAATTATTTCGCTTCCTTGTTAGGTGAGAGTTCTATCAATTGAAAAATAGACTCTCATAAATAGGCGTAGCTAAGTGGAAGCTAAATAACTCCAGTGAATATTGACAGGATAGTTATCATGTAGATTTTGAAGTCTAGGTAGTGACTCGTTGATCAGTGAGCTATTTTATTCATCTTATTCATTAGGTAAAAATATTCCCTATAGAGAGATGAAAATGGAATGAATTAAGTTGTTATCGCTATACCTTGATTGGCTTAGATAGACTTTACAGTCAACAGTATATGGCAATTATAAATCAAATAAGAATAAAATACTATCTTAGCATTCTATCTTTATCATAAAATATCCATAAACTAAAAGTCAACCCTTACGATGTTAATTAGCTGCTATGTGTATCATGCGTATAATTGAAGAAAATGAATTTTCTTTCCCTAAGATTTTATTGGATCCATTGCAACGTACTATTAATATGCTATTATTAAATTAAACCTATGTTGGCATTAACACACTGTGTTGTCCACCAAACTATTCAATAGACTATCTGCTCATCATTATAATAATTATACTTGTAATGAATGACATATATGTCATATACAGTAGGATAGTTAGTTTGGTACCGATTTTGTTACTTCACATAAGTGTAACACTTCCTTATATGCATAGGCTAATAATAGAAGAATATTCTTGTTGGATGCGGCAATCAATTTCCATGACCAATTTACTTTTCTGTACTCATTAGAAATAAAATGGCCTTTATTTAAAAAACAAAAGTACATCAAGTTGGTAATTCTACTAATCATCTATATCATGCATCAATACTATTTGATTATGATTGAGTTGAAGGTAATATACGCTACCCTCTTTTAATTGATGAATGCTGTAATGTGATCAGTACGTGAATAAGAACTGCAGTAGTTTTGATTGCTGGATACGATGGGCAATTAGGGTGATATATTATGGCTTAAAGTGCAGATTTCTGCAATTTATTGATCTACCTAACGTAGCAATATCGTTGGTGCGCCTCCATATTGCTGTACTGTACGTCTCTACCTATGTACTATATGTTGGTGTTCCTGTAGGCAGTCAGAGAATGCGTCCCATTGGCATTTGTACATGCGTTTGGAATCAAACTAAAGCTTAAGCTTTCCCTACCTGGCCTCGAGCTCGTCCCCTAACCCTAATGGTATCCTAAGTCGATGTTAAAATGGCTAAACCTAGTAACCAAGTTGAAGTCACGCACCGTTCTTTGCGTATTCCCTGCTGCTGAATTACCCTAGATCAGTCTACTTTACGGACAATGCTTTGCGTCTACCGTCTATTAAGAGTGATGATAGGGTAAAACTTGGGCCCATTGACGGATACCGTACACTGTCAACTAATTCACTAGACCTTCCTCTTTCTACACGTTAAAAATGTTGAGAAATTTGCAGCAAAAATCTGAATAAAAGTATACACCCATTTCTCAAGAAAGAAATTCTGCACACTGTACAGTTCTTACAGTATACTACCGTAAGTGCTCATGAACGTTCAAACCCTTTGGTCTTTCCAACTATAGTGCTGTCGGTCTCAGCTCGATCCGACTGCAGTCCGGCGTCGAGCCGCACTGATCGCTTCAACAAGTCAGGCCAATTTTTGACCGCCAATTCCGGTACAGTGTATAGTCCACAGTATATTGTACTGTAAAGTTGAGTACAGTACTGTACTGTGCTTTAATTTGCTTCATCATCGTTATGTAGTAGTGTACAGTACAGTACAGTACAGTACAGTACAGTACTGTAACGGATGTTCATACTGTGCGGTACTGTAGCGTATTTCATACAGTATCCAGCATGTGGATTGTCAAACGTGCATTAATTAATTCATCTGTAGTGTACAGTGTACACTGTACAATATTTCATATCCAGCATGTCGATTGTGTCAAATGTGCATTAATTAATTTATCTGTACAGTACACTGTACAATATTTCATATCCAGCATGTGGATTGTCCAACGTGCATCAATTTACGGTGGCTCACAAAGAGAGCAGTTTCAGCAATACAGTACAGTACTGTACAGTAGGTAGTAAAATACAGTAGAATTACAAGATGCCGGACTGTACAGTACAGTACAGTGTACAGTGTATACTGTAAGTACTGCACTGTACACTGTACAAAAGTGGCCCAATTTCTGGAATTTTAGAAACCGCTGCACATACAGTACTGTACAGTACAGTACAGTACAGTACTACAGTACACAGTACGGCACTGTACTGTGTAAATGTACTGTAAGCACACCATGACATGACTAGCACACTCCACTCTCACGCACACACAGTCAATTTGTTCAACAAAGTGTCTCCTACTGGTGAATTTTGTGACCACCAATTTGGACATTGGTTCAATCATCTGCAGAATTGATCAGATTCATTCAACTTGAATACGAACTGTGCAAGGATCAAGTCTACCTTGGATTTTCCTACTGTTTTTGTTACTACAAGAGGAATCGGTTGTACAGTAGAGACAGGAATATCGATTTCATCTTGCGTTACTGGAGGCAGAATACAGTACAAGTATCCTTGCTAACCGCCTGTAGAAACGTTTACAGTACTCCGTTTCGCGCGGTACTGTACACAGTCAAGCTGCAGCTGGCCAACGACAAATTGCTGACGGTCAAGCTCGCCGGTCAACGTTTGCAGTCAAGTCGATCGTCATATTCCAACAGCACTGACGCCGCCGCCGTGGTGACGTCCAGCAGCCATGACAACGATCACTAATCGACATCCATTACAAAGTAAGTGCAATCCAACTTTGAAATTGTCTGATATGACTAACTAAAAATGGATGGAAATATTCATTGATTGTGATGATGATTCGACAGAAACTAAAGTGGTTGTTGCACAATCCCGTGAAGAATGGACAACCAGGGAGAAGCTGATCTTAGCTTCTGCTGTTCTACGTAGTGGTGATCAAAATTGGTAAGATGAGTTAGTTAGGATTGACTATTCTATTCAATGCTCATGTCCAAAGAATGCTCAATGAAAGGATGGTAACAATGATCAAGACGAATATTGTATCATTCAAGTATCCATCATTGCTTCAAAGCTAGTTCAATGCTTGCTCATATTGATCAAGGCATGTCCAACCTTGTAGTCTTTCAATAATAAAGTAGAATGGGGTAGTCAAAGCACCCAAGAACACAACACCCATGACACAATATTTCCTGTATCAATATTTGATAGCTAGTGAATCATAAATAATGGAAACGAGATGCTAGTTGATTGTATGTCTACATGCCTAACGTCAGTCTTCTTCAACAAATGCCACTGTTGTAATAGCGTCTTCGATGTAGTCTACTCTACTCGATCGAGTGGTGGGATGGATGCCGTCAATGAAAAGTAATTATCAATGCTTGATAGGCAATAATTTCACTTCATCCAGTTTAGCAATGCTTGCTAGCGGTAATATGACTCTGTCCATACTTTGAAAAGCAAGATAGATTCAAGTTTGTTTCAATTGTTATACCTAAGAATGGAACTGACACTGTCATAGCAATGCTGTAATGGACGATTATTTTTGAATGATGATACTAGTAAGTGGAAGACCGACATAGCAACACTCACGCTATACGGTAGGATTTTGGGGACATGCAGTAGTACTGTGTTGACGCAAATTTGGATATTCAATAGTTTGAAAAAGCAAGACTAGTTATTACCAATACCAAGCTTCAAGCTTGCACCACTCATTATGACTGTGCTTACAATCGTCTACAGTAGCAAACACGGGTTCAATTTTTCCGTCATGGACTATTACAAGCACGGACTGTAAACAACTCTAATGGTCCGTGCTACAAGCGACCTAGGGGCCTGATGCCATTTCCAGTTCTAGGCGTTGATGCTTGCAGTAACGGTGTGTCCGTCAAAGATACATTTTTCTACCTTATCGCTATAAGAATGAACGTTGAAATTGAACAAGTCATTTCAAGCACAGACTCGTGTAAGGTAAATTAGTCCCCGATTCAAGCTACTTCATGAACTTCCACCTACTGCAATGTACAGTACAATTATTTCCTATTCATTCTACAATGACTCTACTGTATTCAGTTAGTCCATTCGTCAATAACTAACTACCTTTAATAGTCACACACGAATGGTGCACAATCAAGTTGCTATGATTTCATCAGATGACTATTAGCAAAGTCGTAGTAGTTTTATACATACTATTACGGTGTATCCTTCATTATGTCACCTTCAGATTGATTCTATATCATGGCAATGACATAAACGCGCACAATGACCTTATTATATGGATACCCTACATTGGATTGACTCAATGTTGGCAGCGTATACGTAGAACATGAAATAATCAAATAATTTTGCTAAGGATTTCACGTACTGTAATTTGCATAGGACACTGCTACCCTATTGAGTAATACAACTCTGTAGGAATTGAGTGGTTTTTGCTTGTTCTTAATTAACTATGCTATAAAGTATGTTAACCGCATTAGTGATCGGAATCCTTGATCTGCAGTCTTTAAATGTACATAGTATTCGTACTGCATTCTGTATGCGTATATTCCAATAATCTACAAGAATCAGATTTGGTTCATTAATTAATTATAATTATAATTATGCATAGTTACTTGTTGTGAATGTCAAGAAAACAGGGCGGTGTGTCTTGGGCCGCTGGCGATGATAATTGTAATTGAGTTATTGAATTATCCTTTATGACTGGTTCTGAGTAATGTAGTCTGGCGGTTATAATAGTTGCATTGCTATATGCAAGCATCATCCAGATTAGATTCACAATATTTTATAGTGATGGAGTCAAAATAGTACTGTACTAGATAGTTGTATAGCAAATTAGGATCAATATAGAGAACTTTCTGCTATCTATGTAATCGTTCTATAGCTAACAGTGTACGATTAGTGCAATAAACTGGTATACCAACGGTAGATTCACTAATAGATAATCTTCATAAGAAGAAGCATTTATTGTATATAATGATTAATATGTAATAACAATTAAGATAAAATACTAAGTCATTATATTTCTATCGTTGGGTTGATCAATGGAATAGGGTATCTGTTAGTAGAGCCATAAAACCATTAATGGATCGTAAGCGAGGACCCGAGTTCTTTTCGCAAAAGGTATGTCTACTGTTGTATTACTTTCTTGTTCTATTTCCTCTACTAAGTAGCACAGCATTAGTTATCTAATATATTGACTCCTTTCTATAATAATTTAATTTAATATATATCTAATATAAACGTAGAATTGTGCTGCCCAGTATTCCAAGATGTTGGAAAAAGTCTCAACACCAAAGTTAGTGGATGAGAATTTTTATTAATGAATTCGAAAATATTTACAGATAATTAGAATTTCTTAAAATGTGTAAAAAGGCAGAATGACAGGGATTTCTGTGCTCTAATTATAATTATTAATGCTAACATTTGTAATGCATATCTTTATCTATGCAAATACGTATACAACCAGGAGAAAGAGAAGTAATCTTGGTGGTGCAGGTTATTGTAGTATTATTAAATATTTAAGGATTGTGCTTAATCAGTAAATCATAAAAATAGTATATGTTTGTATTGAGATATGATTGTAAAGTAGTAATATAGAGGTAGCTCTGCATTGATTTTAAAAGTCCAGTACTGAAAAATTAAAATTTTACTTGATTAGAAACACCTGGTGAACAAATTGTTCGGCGTCTAACGTACGACCGCATAGAAGAATTAAAAAGAGCGATTAATGATGATCATGCTACTTACCGGTTAGCTATTCCACGATCTTTCAAATATTTGTGTTGCAATAGCCTTAGACCACATTAACCTTATTATCGGTATTCCAATTAGGAAGTTAAAAAAAGAGGAGCAGAAAATGATTAGTGGTAAATTAGATTCTAGCTTACCAGCAATATGGAGTGAAATTCAAGCGTAAGTTTATCATAATTTAATAGTGGTATAATATATTTAATAGGAATGTCTCTTATGGCATAGATTTCATATTAATACTGCAACTAATGCTTCTCTAAAAGACAAAAAAGAGCCGCAAAAGAAGCCGATGATATCATTGAATCAGTTGAAGTAACGACTCCTGTGCATGGTATGTATTCCGTGTGTAGTTTCGTTAGTTGTACTCTTATAAAATTTCATATCTGGCAGTAGATGAACAGTGTTTACAAAATTTATTCTTATCATAGAAGAAAGCACGACAGAATTGATCAATTCTTCGCCTACTGAAGATAATAAAGTTGAAGTAGAAGTGCAGCAAGAGAAGTCATCGCCCGGTGAAGAACCTACGGAAAGTGATAATAGCAAGTTAGAAGATCGCCTTGTAGATACAAATGTTACTGCTACTAGCAGTGTTACAGGCAAGTATTTTCACGTTCATAACTTATTAATTACTGCAATATTAGATCGATGGCTAACTAGAGAGAGCTTAACTTATTACAGAAAGTTTAGATGACGCTGGCAAAAGCGAAAGATCTTCACAATCACCACAAGATGCTGTTAAAGAAACTGATCAGTCTGACGAGAAATCTGACGCAACGACCACGGAACAAAGCACACCCCAAAATTCGCAAAAAATCGAAGCAACTTTAGCTGCTACAACTGAAATTGCTATTGATAGTAAAGAAGAAGAAGATAGTAATAGTTTGTTAGATAAGGATGACTCAAAAGAATCACCTGAGGTGACAATGCATTGCACTATTCGCGTATTAGATATCCATGACGTTAATTTTAATATTTAATTATTGGTAATGATTAGGAGGAAGAATCGACACCGATTTCAGAGGAAGTGGAAGATAAAACAATCACAACAATTTTGCAGCAAGCTGTCTCGACTTTGCATGGATCGACGACTGATAGTCAGACAGTGACACGGTCACCCTTAATTGCAAGCTTATTAGTGGAGCCTTCCAAATGTGGGAAACAGTTAATTTCTACACAATTTCCTTTTAAAGCAGAACCGTTTAACGAACAATTTAGTAAGGTACTCGATGAGTTAAATAAAGAAAGTGCTGCTGCGGAACATCCGCATTTACAGGTAAGGTCTTAATTGAGCATTCCATAATTGTGTTTATGATACTGTCTGTAATTATTGTATTTCCTTTTACTACATAGTATTATTGGTCACGAAATACATATGAGGAAATAATCCAACAATTATCTGGAATGTCGTCAGATCAGAGGATGCTGCTTATGAATACAGTTATTACTGGAGAGGCTAGAGGTATGTATGTGTTCAAAGAAATGAGAGTGATTTATTTTTTGCTTTACAAGCGCCTTTAATGTAGTGTAAATAATTTGATTTGCTTGATCTAGCTCAAAACAACTATGCGTTATTGTTTAATTTGCGAAATTAATTATACCTACAACAGCAGGTCCTGAATCATCTACGGTAGACTCAAAGTCAGGAATACAGTCGTTGCCATCAACAAATTTCGAGAATGAATCTGTTGGTACTGTCGCTAGTAGGTTATCCGATATTTTTAAAACCGGTAATTCTTCATCAAGAACTGCTGCAGCCGCTGCAACAATAGCGGCGTTCCTCGGAGATAGTAAAAGTGATGCCAATACCAAGGAAAGCAGTCCACAGCAATGTACTGTTAATACTTTCAAGCCTATAGGTAGGAATAACGCAAGCGACAGGCTTATTCCGTTAAAATTAGAAAACAGAAATATAATTAGTACTAATGATTGTATTTGTGATTTTTGTTGCATTATGTAGACGACAAAGCAACTACACCGGTAAGTAATGTTAGTGTATCATTCGCTTATGAATATGCTTAAAATAGTTGGTAGATAGGATAAAGGATGAATTTTACAACTTGATAAAAACTGTTCTCTTAACTTCAAACAGGAGAAAGATATCAAAACGGAATTCCAGGATGAAGAATCGGACCAATTATCAGAGAATAAATTTAAGAATGTGCAAGCTAGTACTGAATCGGCGGTAGTCGATGTAGAAACTGTAGATCCAGAACCACCAGCTTTACGAGAATCTCCAACGTTACGCGTAACCCGGTCATCTCAACAAACTCGAGGCACTGCGAAATTGACTAAAGAAAGTACGTAATGTTAGCATAATTTTAGTAAACTTTGTTCTTTAAGAAAAATCGAAAATTTTTAATCCCGTCGACACTATCGGTTTTTTACCACTTGACTCTAATATTACAATCTTATTTAGAGAGCAAAAAACCTGTCAAAAGCTTGAGAAGAAGTAGAAGATCAAAACCAAAGTCGTCGTCTACAGTAAGCCATGAAGACCTACATTAATTCTTCGTTCGATTTGGTTCCTAAACCGCTCAAAAAATTTATTCTTAAAATTAAGGCTGATCAAGAATCGATTGAAGGCGACGAAGATAAAGATAGCCTTGCTGAAGATGATAGTATAAAACACGATGAATCCGGTAGATACTCGTTTATGGATTTAACTGTAGACCTATCTATTAGTAGCTAGAGATTAATTCGTTGCTAAAATGTGTGATTTGTTTGTTTTGGAGAATAGATGACGACCGAAAATCGAGATCGTCGGATTTAACATTTGAAGACGATCCTCGAGAAATCCATGAAAGTTGTGAACATGTTCTACGTCGACGGACAGGAAGTGATTCATTCCCATCTAGCCCTTCCTCTATTTCTCAAAGGTAAAGTATGCATTATATAATTTATTGTAATTCTTTTCGAGCACGGTAGACAATAAATATGATTGATTTATTCTCTCGCAAGATGCGTAGCGTTGGTGTTTTAGCTAGAATAAAATTTTTATTGATTCAATAGTGATGACTTTGAGAGTACTCAAACCAGAAAAAATTGGAAAAAAGCAATAATGCTTATGTATCGAGAGACAGCAGCTTTAAAGTAAGACTAATGCTATGGATGTAGACATTATTGATAATATTTAAGCATTATTCGAGTATAACAAGGGAAGAAAATATTATTCTAACTCTATTATGTATTCGTATTACAGATGTGCTAGTATATTTCTGCATCCTGTGACTGATGATGAAGCACTGGGATATCATGAAATTGTAAAAAAGTGAGTTATTTGTGTTAAATTAAGATTTTAATTAGATCTTATGTCAATTGCAATATTATTTTATACTTACGTTTGACTTATGGTTGGCCTCTAGACCCATGGATCTATCAACAATACGAAAACTTATCGATAATGGGGTAATATGTTATATGCTTTGTATGAGTCTGAAACATTCGGTACTTACGCTTTTCTCTGATTTTCATTACAAAGACGATAAGAACAAATCTTGAATTTCAACGTTACGTCATGCTCATGTTTCAAAATGCGTTAATGTATAACAATTCGAACCATGTCATGTAAGTGAAATGGATGTCTTTATTTTAATGGTGAATTATAAGTTGCTCAAAATGGGAGAATGATAATTTTTGGTAGTGGTATATTCTGTTGTATTTAATCTGTGATATTATCATATAGACATCAAATGGCGGAAGAAATGTTTAGTGATTTTGATGAGCGTTTTCAGGTAAGTGATGTTACCGCTACGTAATGATGCTCACGGTATTGCAGTATTGTATAACAGTAAAACTAATATGATATGTCGTTGCTTTTGTCAATTGTGAAAGTATCAGAATATACTTTGTAGCGATGATTAGCTGTATTAGGCTTACTCTCTCGTTATTGCTAAGATTTGTCCTTGTTGGAAAGGGTTGCATAAGGTATTGCTTGCTTTTAGATTTTTTTAACAACGCAGGAAATGGCGCAGACTTCGGAAAATAAAATTCTAAGAGCATCAGGTCAGTTATTAAAGTATAGTTTTTGACTAGATGATATGAAATTAGATAAATTAAAATTTTTACTCTATAACATTTAGGTGGTTTGCGTCGAGGAGAGCATGTCACTAAGGTAAGGAATAGCTAGAGCATAATATGTATTTCGTTAAGGAACTGTGGTAAGTTTAGAGACCTTACTGTTTCTAGGGCGAAGGCCGTGGATTACGACGTGGGCCACCTGAAAATATAGACCAAATAGGTAAGAAGGCCAAGAGAATGAAGGTTGGGGAAGCTATGGAGTAATGAACCCACATTTGGATACATTCCGCGTTAAAACTTACTAATACGTATACATATATTAATTCTATAATTCTATATTTATATAGTAATTATAATCAATGAGCTTGTTACCTACACCATTGAATGTATTAAAAGTTGTTATGGATTTCTTGTTGTACAAAGGACATATCCTTAGCTGTATTTTATCTCGTGAATGAGAAAAGTTTGTGCATGTACGTACTCGTACATATTAGAAAGTAGCTAAGTTTCTATCAGATCTTCAGAAGTTGTGCAGTTGTTGTACTATTTTTCGGTTAATTAATAAGATCAATGTACTGTACATACTCGTAACTGTAATTTTTGACATTTATTGCTTGAAAAGAATACTTTCGTAGAATGTATTTTTATTTATGTAATATGGCGAAACATGAATAGATGATATTTTGAGAGTGAAATCGATACCTTGAATAGCCTAATAAACATTTTGTGTTCGAATTGACTACGTTTTATTTCTGGATATTTGCTTCACTATATTCTCTACATTGTACACTAATTTAACTTTCAAATACGAATTAGGATGAGGGTAAAAGCGGTTTATGCGAGCATAGTACAAAAATATTTCTACCAAATTTCTATAATATCAGTAAATAGACAGCAATGCTGTGTAACGACGTATTAATACCAATAATGCAGTACCTTATAACTATTATGGACTTGATGAAAATGTGGTAAAAGGCTAGCTAATAAATTGCACAGTGCACTAAAGTAGCTGTTCGTGGCGCATGAAGTTATATACTAGAGTACGAGTAGCCATAAATTTTTAAAATCAGGCACTAGATGCTGCGGGATTATGGTTTGGTAGACAGTTCACTGTGACTAGCTTTACAATGGACTATCACAAAAAAATTTTATAACGTAGATAGCAAAATTTCAAACGGATTCTTTATTTGATTTAGTATACAGTTTCCGATTAACGATGGCCTACATTTTCAACATATTATAATATAGATGAATAGGTTATGCGACTGCAAGGCTTGACTTATTTTTAGTCAATACGTGCACTGTAACGCCATGCTAAGTACATACTGGCTATCCCATAAGATACAACAAAATTAAAGAGCGTAGACTAAGTAGATTACAATTCAATACCTTCAGATGTTTCATGACCTAAACTTATCCGCCCTTGACGGTTTGCAACAACATACACGTAGGCCCCGTGAGGTTAAGATCAGTTAAGTGCACAGACATGAACAGTATAAGTAAAATTAAAAAACTACAAATAAATTGCTAGGAATTATCAAAAAGATGGGAAATTTATTGATAAATCTAATTTAATAGTGCGTTAGTTAGGCTATTCAATTAAGCGTCATAAAACGCTAGCGAGGACTTGGCGATCTTCCCCTTCTGTCTCTGTTCCCCCTATATGGTGATCTAGATGGTCTACGTCTATAGCCTCCACCTCTTCGGCTTGGACTGGGCGATCGACTATATCGTTCACGTTGTTTTGGGGGTGGCGAACGAGATCTAGAGTGGCTGCGCCGGCGGCGGTAATGTCTGCCAAAATATATACATAATTTTTTCAAAATCTGAATAATTATATATTATTATTGCATATCGACTAATCTTGCTATTACAATGTATTTTAAAGAAATTTTAGTTATGTCGATGTTGATATCCATTTAATAAAGGCAAGAAATTATATAATCTGTAATAGAAAGTATCTGATGACGACCGCATATGATATGATCACATCAAATTTTTTTTACTGACCTGTCATCATGTGGACTGCGGCTACGTGATTTGTACCTAGAATATCGTCCACCACCTCGTCTTTCACGTCCTCTCATTTGGCCTGGAGCTAAAAGAAACGAGCAATCTGTCAGTTATCATCACAGTTACGAAAATTTTGAATGATCAATGAGTGAGAGATTGCTAACTTTTTCGCTCTCCTTCTGCAAATTGTACATCCAGTTCACGCCCATGTAATACAATCCTATCACAATACTTTAAAGCATCTTCTGCATCACGAACATCATCGAATGTGAATTGCGTTAAGGAAATTCTTCAAGACAATTACTAATAGTTTAAAGGTTACTAAGCAGTTATCAACTTTTAGCGGTATTTACCTATGCTAGATTGCTAACATATGTAATAAATTAGTGATTCTCTACAGTATTGTGATACTTAAAGACATACTATACTGAAAATAAATATTCAAGGATAGTACCTGAAGTTAGCTAAAGGTATTAAAAACAAGAAGTGTCTGTGATACGGCCTATTCTTGTAGGAATACTAGAATGTTATATGACAGAAAACAATAAGTGACCCGTCGATGATTCTAGGCAACTTTATCTCGCTTTAGGCGCAACTATGATCAAGGCTTGTAACTTTTTAACATCGCTATAATCTTTCCTTATCAATGTACTTGAATCTTTGTGCGTGCCTTGACAAGTCGATTACTTTTAGCGATCTCTAAATGTTAAGGTGGCTACGTTTAAACCCTTCTTGATACTTTACGAGTCACGTGCTTGATCTTTGCAAGACAAAACTTTAATTCTTTAGCATCATATGCACTTGAAATTTTCGTTTTTGGACGGTTTAAAGACTTGTACTTTGAGCAATTATAAAAAGCCATAGGACTATTACAAAATCTCTTGCTTGTACATGATATTCAAATTTGGAAAAATTTATACTGTTTTTGTCTCTGGCCTATGAAGACAGGGGGTTATTATTCCGAAAATTTGTTATTAGTTACTACGGTATGATAGCATTAGTAACGAGCTCGCGTGAAATTCGGTAATCTATGTTGAATGCACAGCTGATATTATGACTTCATAAGTAATAAAAATCCCAACGGAATTATTAATAGAGCGATCAACTCCTATTGCGACAGATAGAAAAGTATCGTAGTTCTTGTAAAGATGAACGAGTCACCACATCTTATAAACTTGAGACTTTACTTGTGGGTAAGGTTTGACGCTTTGATTTTGCATAACAAGTCTTTAACTTTGCACCATATGGATTACGACTCATTACTTGTTTGAAACTTTAGAATAAGAAAAATGTATAAGAATAAACTACAGTATAATAATGGTGATTAGTGTTATGAAATATTTTTAGTGCTGTAGCCTGTAATGTTACAATCCGACTGCAGGTTAGAGTACGTTATATATACAGTATATATATATATATACGTACACATACATGGTATTCAAAGATATTACAACACTTTGTATAAGTCTAATCAAGCTCACAATAACGCGCTCTGGAGGAGATAGAACAAGGGAATTAAATTCAAAGATATCTAATACTACAGTTCTGTATACCGTAATGCATACGCGTATATACATCGTGATTTTCATTCCTAAATGTAGGGTTTGAAAATTTATCAATGACGCTTATTGTACGTACTGTAAGTGAAGTAATTTGCATTCAAACAGCTGCTATGGCCTTGTCTGTGGATTATAACTGGACTAGTGTAATAGCTAGCGATCGACATTGAATTTGCTACCAAGATAAATTGTACAATAACTACTGACAATCAAAGCAACAGAACAATTTAGCGTAACGATTTGTGGTGGAGAGCTGATACACAGCACTAAGTCTATCGCTATTTTACATGTGAGTGATGTGAATACTGCATGACTATTGACTAGCCAGCCACTTGGTAGAATTACGATAATTGTTCGTTGACTACAGTTGAGTAAGCAGGGTATTAAATTAACTAGATGCGATCACTACGACCATATCGAAGTCGACTGTATACAGACTCCATGCTTATGGAAAGAAATTAAAAGGGTCATATGCGGATAGAATTAAACGACTGCTAAAATTTCAACATTCAGGTTGTTCACTATACAGTCTATACTGCATATAAAAGATTACTAAGATTACAGTACGGTTTTCATACTTCCATTGCAAGTGATTATTATAATCATTCATGCAATGGAACTCATACTTGCGAGGGGTATATCCTTAATACGTAGTGTTGTTATTAACTAATTGTATTTTCGGATAGCTGAGTCATACGTTGATTAGGTAAATCATTTTAAAAATGTATGTTAGCATTCTACGTAGCGTATTTTATAATCATTTTTAGTTATTCCTGCCATACTTTATTACTATGCCGTATGTAGCGTTCGCGTGTTTTAGGCGCTCACTACGTGGCAGACTTGATGGACGACTTTAACTTGTTTTTTTAAGTAAGGACTTTTCTACATTGCTTTCATCTTGAACGAAAAAGATATTGGACATAGCCGAAGCCACGGGGTTCGTGTGTATAGTAATCTAATGGTAGGTAGACATCAGAGACAGGGCCATATTTTTCGAATATTCTACGGATATCGTCAGTTCTGTAAAAAAATTATATTAGTTAGTTATTACCATCAGTAGAATGAAAAGATTAATTCTAATTAATTCACTTTATTAGATTATTTAGAAAGGATCAGGTAAGAAGAGCGATCAGGCATAACTGTAATACAGAATTTACAGTTTAATTAATTAGAAGCAATAATACTAAACCAAATTCCATTCTGTGGACAAAGAGTAGATATTCATTCCATTACAGCACGAGACTACGATAAGGTTTATTTTACATAGAGCCTTTCTTAAGTGGTTAACGAGTGGCGTTTGTTTTTTTATGATATGAGCAATATCTAATTTGTTTAAATTGTGTATAAGATTCAATAAATTGGTGGACTATACAAACTGCTTACATATCATTGCACTGAAAATACATTTTGAATAGTTCAATTCGGCAAGTCGAAGAGATTGTCTCTTCATTAATGTGCATTAATGGTATTGTGTAGGGAATTTGCAATTATCGTATGTACAGTACTGTGTCTACAAACTAAAGAAGGGTGAAAATTTGAACAATCAATCAGTCCGAAATAGCATCTCCAGTGCGCGTATAGGTAATCCGGCAATTCAATTGAATAAGATTGTGTTTATGAACAGTCGAGCGTAGAAATGGCGTTGCTGAACTAATTACGCTTATCATCCATATCCTATTTGAGGGTGATTGTAAGAGTTGAGAAATTGTGGTGAAATCTATCAAGTCATGTCAGCATGGTTTTCAATGTACTGTTAGGGGCTGTACCAAGAAGGGCAGCCCTACGAGGAGATTAAAAGGAGTCATCGATTGTCGTGCGTGTGCATTTCTGGCAGTACTTATACTGTCCCATAGCTTACAAAAAAGTGGACCAAGCGTCCTCAAACTTGTATCATAGACAAGAGCCCAATCTTCTCAAAGACGATGAAATGGCCTTAATATCATGTCCTTAGCTATAACGTAGAACCTTGTCTTTAGTACATCGATACACATCAATGGCAAAGCTAACGGGTGAAGTAACGGCGTCTTGTCACTTTTGCAATCGATGAGTAATCTGATAATGACTCTTTTACAGTAAAAGCATAGTCATGTGTAAGGAGAATAGAGAAGAGTCTAGATCATTGATTGTACAGACCAATAGTGGAGAATGATGACATAAACCACATCATTTTTTATGCCTGGGTGTACGACATTGAGATCAACGTCAGCTCAAATTTGGTAACGCAATTTTGCTGCAAGACAAGCAAAGAAAATCAATCAATCCATTGTATAAGAAATAGCCTTGACGGGATCGATTTAAATTGCTAGCGTCAGTAAAACTTCTTTTCGACTCCTAGCAGGGGTAACGCTCGTTTTGACATCGACCAAAAGAGATACTTCAAAACACTGGAAAGCATGAAGAATGACTATGAATGCTGATACCACTAGAGCATGGATGGAGTACTACAGCACTAACGTGGATCAAATCGGGAATCATTTTGCCTGATAAGCACATGAAAAATGGATTTGCCGTCCCCCTCCAAACTGTAAACTATCTCTTCTATCGTCCCATTTCTCACGTTTCAAAGGACGAGAATTGACTGTTCACTGGCTATGTATTTCTTCTTACTGACTGTATTTTACAGTCGAAAATACGCACACTTGTAAGTATAACCAAACTAAAATTCAAACTCTCCATTCCTTGGCTAAATGGTTTGGCAGTGGCAACTTGTAATCTTACCTTGTTTCCACGGATAAATTTCGAAGATACAAGGAAGCATTGGATTTGCCATGGCGGCGTCGAGAACTCATGTTGAAAAAGGAATGGAAAACTTGGACGCTGTGGCGTATTTTGGGCGCTTTTATTGTATCTGAGTGTGACCGTTGATGCCTGCGCTACACCGAGTGTCGCTGACGTGACGTCCACACGACGATGATACTAGAGGGTATCGTGTCCAGTGGTTCGTGCAACAGTAGAGTAAAACGTGTTGACGGTCAGAGTGAAGAGAACCACAATGCACACTGGGCTGTCAGGCGCAGTGCACTTGTCTGGCGTGACGGCTGATAGAGATTGTACGGCAGAAAGGTTGTTGATGCATTGCCCACACTGACAGTCAGTGACAGTGTTTACTGAGTCAGCACTGTATTGACAGTCATGCAGTTGAGTCGCTAAAACTCACTACAGTTCACTTCGCCCTACTGAACGTCATGATACTGCATGAGTGGATGCATGCAGTTGAGTCCCTAAAACTCACTACAATTCACTTCACCCTACTGAACGTCATGATATTGCATGAGTGGATGCATGCAGTTGAGTCCCTAAAAAACACACTACAATTCACTTCACCCTACAGTGAACGTCATGATACTGCAGGAGTGGATGCATGCAGTTGAGTTCCTAAAACTCTCTACAATTCACTTCACCCTACAGTGAACGTCATGATACTGCAGGAGTGGATGCATGCAGTTGAGTCCCTAAAACTCACTACAATTCACTTCACCTTACTGAACGTCATAATACTGCAGGAGTGGATGCATGCAGTTGAGTCCCTAAAACTCACTACAATTCACTTCACCCTACAGTGAACGTCATTCTACTGCAGCTTGTAAACATGAGGAGTGGACGCATGCCGTTGAGTCGCTAAAACTCGCTTCACCTTACAGTGAACTTCATTCTACTGCAGCTTGTAAACATAACGAGTTGGACATCCATGTACTGTACCATGGTAAGGTCCATACGTATAGTACGGTACACTACAGTCATGTACTGTAGATGATTGTCGTGTTCTGCAACCCCCACAAGCCAGTTTGGCCAGGGGCTACTGGGGGAAAAATAAGACAAAACATACAAGGAATGACTGGTCGTACTATCTAAAAGATAAAATCTGAATGATTGTGTACAGTAGACTAGGTAAAACCGTCTTTACGATCGATTTTTCATATACTGTACAGTGTACATGAGTGAAATTCTTTCTATTGGTTTTACTAAGAGAGTCGGAATGCTTGATGTTGGTTTGACTGGACATGCGCCACGTGACCCCAACGCTACCCCAGTGCGAGCGCAAAGCCGCCGACCACGTGACATGATGCTTTGCAAGATTGCAACTTGGGGCACCGCTACAGTACAGTACGGTAGCGTACGCTAGCTCGACGTCGTCCAATTGTGTACTAACCAGGACTCATGCTACTGTCCAATGCTAGTCTATAGGCTGTACCTTTCCATGTTGACAGCGCATTTTCTCCAATACAGTATCATACAGTCTATTCACTCAGTATCCTTGGCTACAGTCCTAAGTAGTACTGTAGTACTGTACTCCATTGGATCCGCACCGTACCGATCCAACGTGCACATGTGGAGGCTCACAACCGTACTCGATTCCATACTGTATACTGTCTACGCTATACTGCACGGTACAGACCGCTTGCGTATAGTACTTGGCTAGGACACGGTAGTCAGTCTAAAACAAGGTCGACAGCCAACTTTCCTTCTTTCCTTCTTTTTTTCGCCTCCGTTTAACGAGCACGTTGCAAGATGAAACAAAATAGAAATGTCAGTTCTTCTCGGCGTAAAAGTCGTAAAGCGCATTTTACGGCTCCTTCCAGTGTTCGACGTAAGATTTTAAGCGCTCCTTTATCCAAGGAATTAAGGCAGAAATACAACGTACGCTCCATGCCTATCCGCAAAGACGACGAAGTGCAAATTGTTCGTGGCCATTACAAGGGCCAACAAGTTGGCCGTGTCCTGACCGTCTATCGTAAGAAGTGGATTGTTCATATCGAACGTATACAACGTGAAAAAGCCAATGGTATGACAACCAATGTCGGAATTCATCCTAGTAACGTGGAAATTGTCAAATTGAAGATCGATAAGGACAGGAAGGGTATTTTAGAGAGGAAAAATAGGGCTAGATTGACCGAGAAAGGCAAAGGCAAACATACTGAAGAAGAAGTTGCTATGCAGACCGAGTAAGAGCTTGTCATAGCGTTATCAACTAAAATTAGTCTATTCAACGATCAGTCCATGCTCATGCTGTAAAATAATTGTCCAGCAACAGTCGTCTTAGTCTTATTTTCTACTCTTACCTTCATTCTTATACAATGCGTTAGCAAGCCTTGTCAGTAAGCTTTTCTCCTAAAACTAAATGCACGCGGCGACTTGGTCAACTTCATCAGATACGACTCAACAATACAGTCATTAGGCATGGCAAATCTACCCCTTTCCATTGATCGATTGACGTCGTAGTTTGTACTGTTGTTAAGGATTTTCCTTGGCTAAATACTTGATCAGTGTCTTCAAGCACAGTCAACTTCTATCATTATACCAGGACGTGCTTTTTCATCAGTCAATATCCTAAATTACTCGTCATCAGTTGTTCAAGTACGGTCTAGACTCTAGAGTATGGTATAGTGTTACTTGCTAGTCAGGGGTAATTACAATCCATTATCTCTTTCATCATACCCTGCTAGACTCTTGTTGGATTGTAAAGAAATCTGATTTAATACTGCAATATCTATTCGTTGCAACCAATTTCTTGTCTATACTGTCATAACGGATAACAATACCGTCATGGACAGTAGTTGCTTGAAAGGCAACGTAACTTAGACTGCAAGTAAATTCATTCGGTGACAACGAGTGAAGAATTTTCCTAGGCTGATGCAATTGTCAGATTAGTGTCGATTTCAACTGTATTTTAAAATTCTTTCCAAACGCACATACCTACCGATTGGACTAGTCATATTGTTAATCTTGTCATTCTCTTGAAAATTTGTTGAAACATTGATACACCTCTACACGCTTACCTGAGATAACCTAGATGATTCGGTAAAATGTAATCTCCAAAGGCCAAGCCAAGCAAAGTGCATTAACTAAACTAGTAATACTGCCGCTCACAGGCCGTTGGGCTATCTTTTACATGCCTTCTAAGTGTTTTAACTACATCACTGTCGATAGACGACGGACATAGTATATAAATTTACTAAGATAAAACTGTTTAAGTAAGGACGTTCTGTTTTACTGACATGATTTCTTGTTGTTACAGCTAGGCCATGAAAGAGCCACTAATCGTGAGAAAACAGATAATTTGTCGTTGGCTGACGATGCAATCGACGAAGTCTTTTTATGTACAGCTTCTTACAATGTGTTAATCTAGTTTCCGTTTAATAAACACAATGTATTGAAATCACGACCCGGTTCTTCTTTTCTCTATTAATATTCTTGAATCGTTTCATGAACAGTCCCTTCTGCCTTTTTGGCTAACAGCTTGTTCGTACACCAAGGAAAATCTCGAGACAAAACTGATACGATATAGCCTAGTTATTCTTGAATGATAGAGAGTCTGCAATGGTCTTACTGTACAGTAAACTGAGTTGTGTAATTGACATATGAAGAGTATTCTACAATATTAGGTTCAATCCATAGTCTACAGCGCACAGTAGAAATGAATTCATAGTCACTGATAATTTGCACGTATCGTTGTCACATAGGCATTACGATTAAGTTAAAATTTTTCATTACAAGGTCAATTAGCAGTAGAAAAATTTCGGAATAGAGTGGTAAACTGTCTTGACAAATACATAGTATGGTCTTGATTGTTAGCATGCTTCCAGCGGAAAGCATGGTAGGATTTGGAGATAAAAAGTATTTGGTATTGGTGTTCAAGAATGAATAAGCAATGATTAAATGAGCGGTAAACTGGACGAAAAGTGATAAGACTTTGAAGGATGGTTGTCTCTAGCAGTGTTAAAATTACAACAGTAATTACACTGAGTATAATCGAGACGTATCAATAAATCACTCCTAAGTGAAATTAAAAATTGAATGATTCATACATGCAATATTGGCGTACCATAAACGAGACGCATTCAACGTTTACATCATGTTTCTTGTTTATGGATTCGTGTATTCTATTCTGAGAACAGAAATTGATGACTATCAAGCTGGGAAATACGCGTATTACCGCAATTTCACCGAAAATATCCGCTTAATATGTCATTGATAGAGTGAATAATATAACATTATCGAGTTCTATGAATCCCAGAGGCTAAACAATCCTAGGATTGCCCAAAATTTCGAGGTTGACTTGTAAAGCTTTAGGGGAAGGGATCGAGTTCGGAGGGCTAGCGGCGAATGGTAAGATGTGGTCATAGACTACTCAATATTACGGTAAGATTGACTTAGTAGTTCATGGTGTGGTACATATACGCTAAATGTTCCGGAGAAGGTAAACCGTGAAGAATAGCAAACTTGGCAATTACACACTCTTTTTACTATAGTTCATTGCATTGATTTACATGCCAAATTGATGAAACCAATTCTACTGCGTGATGGCATAAAATCAATAACATAAACTAAAACCAACAACCATGTTCATCATTTTTACGCTGTATACTTCAGTTAAAGAATCCTTTTGTATTTACGCTGGATAGACTTTATTGGCGATTTTACGTATTTGGGGAAGTATTTTTCTGTATCGCATCTAGGCAAACTTCAGGTTGTGGGCTATAGTTTAAATCGAAGATTGGTCTGCTGCATTTTAGTAGGTCATGCATACAAGACATAACTCATAGTGGAAAATTTTTCACTAGTTATGCTTCTATCTACTATGCACTCGTAGGTTAAGGGATATGCTATAACCTAAATTGAATGCAGTACAACTTAGTATGCACTATTATCAGTCACAACTGAAATCAGGCAGGCTGACGATGCTACAGTATTCGAGATGAATTTTAAAATAACAACTACAACAACATAATTACAATAATGGGCTCAACTAGTACATTTTATCCGATATCACAAATAAAATTCACGTTGGAAAAGGTAAGTAAGATGTCTCAAAGTTAATTCACCAGTGAGAATAGCGCAAGATAATTGTTTTGTTTATTAGCAACACTTTTATCGCATTTTATGGATAAAAGCAAGACATTTTCATATCATAAAAGCTATAAAATTAAGATCAAAAAAGTTTCTGCTTTGTAATAGTGCATCATCAAACTGCCCAGTCTATTCCTAATCGCTGTCCATCTTTCTTTTATGCGAATTAGCACTATAAACCGGTAGAAAAGAATTAATTAGAATAAATCCACAGATATAGCATTTATAGCTATGTATAGCATGAATGTCGTAATATTTATCTTCAAAGTGAACAACGCTTAACAGCAGCATTACTAGTTTTGGTTAAAATCGAGCCTAATGCGGTTTATCTCTTACCTAGGGTACACGCCTCTTAGCGGAAACTGTTCTTGTAATTCTTTAGTCCATTGAATTAAAGCCGGGATATCGGATTCATCCGTAGAGCCAAATACATTAGGTATGAAACGTGCGAATACTTCTGGTGCGCGCTTTGCATAATCTATTATAGGGTAACAAAACTTTATCATAAGATACGAGAATCAAAACTGGACTTTATTTATAACCAAAACATACGGCAATGTTGCAATAGGCATAAAAATGAAGTTTCTTTTACGTGACTGGATTACAGTGTTGAGATAAAATTTGAACATGTATATATACTGTACAATTAGTGATTATTCTGCAGCAAACCACAAGTGACAAGTGCTATCAGTTGTACCTGGATTTAATGCATATAGTTGTTGGATAATATCACTTAAATTTTCAGGGCCTATAGCAAACGATCTTTTTCCAAGTGCATTCAATGCAGCTATCAGTTAAAATTATGATTAATATGTGCTATTAGTTATAGTATAATTTCGATTAAGTTGTACGCGAAAGACAGCAAGAAATGGCATTGAAATAACTTACCAAATAATTGTGAATTATCTGATATATGTTGATTGAATAATTTCGTTAATTCTCGGGATAAATCTTTGTGTAATACTGTCGTGACATAGTAGCGATTCTATACGATCAATTATGTTTCACTAGTTAGTTTTATCGTTACGTGAATTAAGTCATTACAAGCAGATACAGTTCTACTAACTTTTGTACCACTATTAACGTTGGTAGTTAAATATTACAAAGACAAACATTATGTGACTACATTTACTGTAAATATTCATCTACATTAAAGAAATGTTAGCAGACATGAAGCAAACTGTGCAGATAACTTACCAGGTGATGAAATAGAGATACTATGGCTTTTAGGGCTTGTTTGTACTGATTTAAGTGATAGCTGAATTGCTGAACATGTAGCAATGGATCGTTGACTTCCTACAACGTTACAAATAATATGATGATCCAAACACGAAAATGCTCATAAATAGCTATAGATTATATGCTGTGTTGCGTACGAATTCGAGACGCAAGTGCATATGATTAGATGATTGGGGTTTTACCTTGGAAGATACATAAAAATGCGTAAATTAAAAATATGGTGCTAACAACCAACTGGTATTTTCCCTTTTCTATTTTATTTATTTTATTACAATTTAATACTACGAGTAAATACAGTACTGGCTAATCCTTAAAATGAATTATAATGTAAATTAGCAACACTATCCAAGGCAAAATCATGTGAATTCTCAGCTGCAGGTAGCTTGAGCTACCATTTTACAGATTTACAATTACCTTCAATTTGTCCGAAACAGAAAGGAGATGCTTGGTAATGACAGCAGTTAAATCGTTATACATTTTTTCTGAGAATCTCCGGCAAATTCCATGGTATATAATGCTGGTAAAAAAAATTATACCGATATCACTTATATTGCAGCACGTAGGTCTTCCAACGATATTCAAATAATGTATTAATTTATCAATGAACCACTACATCACATCGACATAATGCAGGAATTCAAGAGATGCTAGATTGCAAATAACATGCGTATATGTATGCCATGATAGCGGAAAAATTGTACCCGTACTTTTGGTGATCTACTTATGTTGCATTGTGCACGACACGGTATCGCAAATTTGTATGTTTGCTATGTGTTCCCATCTTAATTAAAGTACAGTACAGCATTATCAAAGGTGCTCTCCAATTTTTAAAGTTAATTTCTACTTTACAGACAACGATGCTAATTCCAACCAAGTCAAAATACGGTACCATACAATACTGTGGTCAAGTACTGTACTAGTTTAACCAATATCGCATTTATTTCAACGATCGAAAGAAACTACGTATTTGCTATTTGGGCAAGTTTTCATTTTGTACAGCCACGGTGTATTAGCCTATGATACGTTAAAGGGGGATTTATTGAATCATCCAATCGTGTACAGTAATCATGAATTGCTGTACAGGCTACTGTGCTACTTCATTTGCATGCATATGGTTAAGGCTTTTCAAATTAGTCTGGACATGGTATCAATGGACGTCTACATTATAAGGCAAAGGCCTAAAGTTCAAAGGGTTGGAGCTTAGTTTACAGCTGTTCCTCTTAAGGCGCGATCCACTATAATAAACACTTGCTATGAGATTCAATACTCACGCCAAGTTTAATGAAAATCGATTGACTGACATCGTAGAATTTAATCCATTTTACATCACATGATTAACTAAGTTCAGCAAAGCTACTGCACTATACAGACTACACATCGCTACCTAAAAGGTTCCTGGAAACAAATTTTCACCAAGCAATTTGGATCCTGAGATAGTAGTCGTTCAACAATATCCAATACCTTGGGCCAGTCTTGACTAATGTAACTTTCTTCGCTTTCGATCGACATTAATAATTTCATTGATGTATTCACTAATTAAACTACAATCCGAATGCATGCATATACGCGTATACGTACGTCCACGCTCCTACAGAACGATAGAGTTAAGCCTCAGGAGAACATTTACCATCAATCTTCCTTTTGCAAGATTATGTTACCTTGATCGATGATAAATTTTGGACTATATTTAAGCGCTCCGTTGCTGTATCAATTCAATAGAATAAGTTAGAAATAGGATGCCATAGGCTAGCCTAGGCTCAAGAGTTTTATTTTTGGCTTGGATTACAAAATGGAATTGATACCAATTGAAGACTTTTAGCAATTTTGACCCAATGTTTTTCTAAGCGATGATTTACACGCATGGATTCGAAAAGAGCAGAGGAAAGGTCGAAGACTAGCAATAGTATAGTACTAGACAATATTACCAGGGACTTCTTTCCTATAGTAGTCCGTCATGTTACTGAAGTGATTGGTACTTGAGGGAAACAGATGCGAGGATTAGTACAGTGACCTACTGTACAATCCGGTAATGTTCGTCTGCATGCCCCGGTACACTCTGGTGTATCAGCGTAATCAACGAGAAATTGGATTTATGAATTCGTTTATAGTTACTAGTAAAGAAAAGAAAAAATGATCGAGAACGCCAAGAGAGAACATACCATTCTGAATTTAGCATTATTGCTATGCTGCACTTAAGTATGGGAGCATACTAGACAGATGGGCACATCAATTTAAAAAATAGTAGGTTCTTAGGCCACAGTATATTAGTTGTTTTCAGTTGACAGACAATGGGAAAATGCGGTTTTACACTTTCTATGACAGAGGGAGATATCGTTGGACAAACTGCAAAGATGGCGCTTTGAAGCACATTATCAGCTTCTGTAATGTACTAAGTCTGTACAACACCAGAGCAATAGAGCTTTTAGTTTTTATACCGCATATTTAAAGAGTTTCGACAGGCTTACTTTGGTGCCCATTCACAAATTCATACCATATATGTACATTGTACATGTACTTTCTAATGATCAATTTTTAAAAGTCAATAATGATACAATTTGAACTCGTGAGAAAGCTGGTCACGTATAGGCGTAAAGTAAATCTTGTTTTATATGCTATCAGGTTCAGTGCAATGTAACTCTTTGAAAGTTGCATATTATCGTACGTATTCTGCCATTATCACCTTATACAATCTTATACAGCAGTAATAAACTTGAAAATGCGAGCAAATTTTCAAATCTATCCGGCACATGAATAGCAAAAGTGTTAACAATGCTCGCAATGCAGCAGTTTTCAATACTGATCGATTCTATCACGATCTCGATATGATATGATGGTACAGTATCTCAGTTATATTATTATTCATTTGTTTAGAAAGTAACTGTAAGTTTAACAAGTAATAATATTAGTTTTTTCCTGATGGTCGTATTTTGTATAGTACAGTACAGTAATTTGCAATATCATACTTCAATTTTTATTCTTCTAGACCAGTTTTTATAGTTGCAACGTACCATCAGACGATATTATTTACGAGTAAATCGCTTGTATAGCCTCTGCTTACTATGCACTAATAAACTGACTTACAATTCGACTTTGTACATTTGCACAGCAGGTATCGCTGACAGGATTGCATAAATTTAAAACAAAAACAAATATTATTAGTTAGATTGTTACATAATATTTACATTTATCTGCCTGGCTAGCATGTTCAGCGTAATTGTAAAGTGCGATCGATGAATCAATGAATTATAATCCGCAGATTCGAATTATAAAAACATTTTGAATCAGAGATATACGAATCACATCGTGTACCGTAAAATATCGATTTATTTATCGAATGCATGATAAATACTGCCTGCAGTAAGACTGACTTCAAAACTATGAATATGGTACACTATAAATTGTTTACAGTTACAATATATGCATTACTGGAAAATGCTATACGGAACTCTATACAGTTAATTCACATAGGGGATGTTTTTACGAGCTACTGTAAAAGTGTATTAAGACTCTTAACGAAGATATACTGATATCGAGGACCATCTGTGCTACGGATATGAATACTGTAGTGCAGTAGTGTACAGTTTGCATGCATTTTGAGGTCTATAATTAGTTTCATTACTGCATACAAGCTCATTATAGCGGTAAAATTGGCTTAATGGTTACTTTTAAAAAAGTAAAGCTGTTATGTATTCCGCAGTAAGCAGCAAAAGTAGAGTTAAGTCATTTATTATCTCTGTTAGCAAACGATTAAGACAAAAAGACAACCTATCAAGAGCAAGAGATGCAGCTTAAATAGCTCATCTACAGTACAGAGTATGACGAGTATACCAAACAAGTACTATATTTACTACAGTATACTACAAAAGCAGCATATGCTATTTCACTCTAGCCATTTTTTCATTCAATACTGGTACTTCTAATTAGAATTGCAAATTCGCTGTTTAAAGATCTAGTGTCAGATACCAGGGCTCATATCGTGTATTATGATCCAGAGAGGTATTTTGGTATTTTTTGCCATAGCGTCGTCTAGATCATATTTAGTAAAAATTTTTTAGTTTCATGAGATGCAGCTAGCTCTATCTGTCGTCTACTCAAGCAAGCAAAAATCGAAGAATCACAATTTTAACAGATAATACAAATAATCATAACATCAAGATTTTCAGAGTATCCATGCATTTCATTACTTTTACGTAAGAATAAAGCTTATTTTAATATCATTTATTTTATTAATTTCTAGTTGATATTTATGCCGTAATATGCCGGATATTCTGTTAAAGCAATATCAGAAATGATTGAATTACTCGTTGACTTGGTAAATAATCCTCTATTTTCTAGTTATATTGTACTCTTTACATTAGCAATTTTAATTCTTATTTATAATTTAAAGAGAGATCAGTTGAGAAGAATATTTCCTTTTACAAAATATACCACACTACTATTGTATCAGTCACGGATCAATGTATTAATTGCTATTATAATTTTATCTCTTTGTGGTATTTCATCAGTACTTATAAGTTATAAATATTATAAATTAATTAATACAAACGATAACATAATAATAATAACCTCTATTGATAGTTATATTAATGACTATATTCTAAGAAATAGCATATATATACCTTCACAATATTTAATAATGAAAAGTACAGAGGTATCGTTTATGAACAATTTAATCACTGTAAGAACTCAAGCAAGATTATCCTTGATCAGTCACATAATCTATAAAATCCGAAGGATTGTAATACTGTAAGAAAGCTAATATGCGAGGGCTGGCTAGGAAGTATTAAAAAGGAGTATCCACCAGTGGATCAATTGCGCGATATTTCATCTGCTACCAATTGCACAATGTTATTGGATATAAGTAAGTGGGTAGGCTTCGGTCAGTCATACTATTTCAATTGCAGAAAATTTTCAAATCGTTCGGATAAATTTTCACGCCCATCAGTAAATGTACCTTAAATTGGAAGACTACTCTTGGGCACAAAGTATGGCACCAAGATTTAGCATATCACGCAGAAGTTGTATATTTGCCTGATTTACAATTTTATGTTGATCATCACGAGAAATTACCGCTCTATTTTGATTTTTCCATGCCAAGTAACATTGCCTATGAAGTCATCGAATGGAGAGAAAATTTAATGCCATGGTGGATTGGTCATATTGAACGTTTTTTAATTAGACCAAGTAAGCAATTGCAATTATTTTTAAGAGCTAGAGATGCAATACTCGATTTTTAGACACCTACTGTTAGCATCTTATCCAATAGATGGACTAATTCAACTGAAAGTGAATGATATCACCTCGTTAACAGTATGACATATATACAGCCGAAACATTTTATCAGAAGTTATGACAAAAAGGCATTCTGCTTAAAAATAAAGCTGGTTCATCTTACAACAACGAACAGGTTGGCAATACGTCAAATTCGAAAGCGTTTTACCGATTATCAAATTTTAACAGCTGATTTTCTACCACCGTTGGGGTCATCAGCTGCCTTAAAGTTCATGGAAATTATCCCTGTTACAATTTATACAGAATCTTCACTTTATGCCAATGTGTGATTTTCGAATTATTAGCATGACAGGCGATTTAGGTAGATTAATCTATGAATTTCGAGAAACTTCCTTTATAACATCGATGGTTCAGTTTACTGATTGGTGCAAGGGTTTGAGATATTTTGTCAATTTTAATCCATTGCATCACAGTAAGCCTTCAATGAAGAAAGGAATTATGAATAGCAAGAGTAGTAATAAGAATGAATTATCGATTAATCAAGATGAGCTCGTATATTTTTACAATTACAGCACGTCTGATCGAACCCTTACTTATGGCCAGTCATTAATGACAAAGCCATACGGTTATTTTCCATCCAAATGTGTCAGCAATGGAATAGCTTTAAATGAATATAATAATTTATAGTTATAACCTATTATATAGTAAGACGGCAAAGTTAGATTGGTCTGACATGTTATCATGTCGAAAATCGAGACTAGTCGACGTATCTGAAAGACAGAGAATGTTTAGATTAATTTCTATTCTAGATAAGATTCTGTCCTATATTTTTATGAAATTTATCCAATACAGAAATTCGTTCGCAATTATAGGTTTAACGACTTTCTGTTTGGTGTTTCTAAAGAAAGCTAGCTAACTTATCATTGGATGGTATTTTAATTAGGTTTTACTATTGTTGTTTAGTTTTGATTTTTTATATATGTATTATAATTAGCTCGGTATAAGATAGATCTATTTTGTATAGGACTAGATTAAAATTATTATGATTAACTCGGCATTATTCAACCGTATTCTTATAATCGGAACATTTTTTTAAGTAAAATATCAATAGCAAAATGATAACAACATTAAGATTTATTCTATAGTTTCAAAATGACGAGATTTCTACACGGATTATTCTATGCATTAGTAGTCAAGCGGAAGAAGTTGGTTGATAATGTTACTTAATAGTGAAGCTAAATCTATATGAATGTGTAGTGTATGACTTTCTAACTTTACAGGAAAGTAAATCTGTAAATTAGTAAGAAATGTGGGACTACGAATGATATAGGCTTTGTTAGCTTGTATACGCTGAGCAACGATTAAGGGGAGCTCATACTTCGATTAATACACTTATACCGTATACCCTACTTTATGTCGTACTTAATTCGTTATGCGGTAAACTATTATTGTCTTATGAAAAAAGATCGTAATAGCCTGACTAGGTTTATTGGTTGATCCAATTCCCCAATAGTATCAGCTGATATTAACTGTGTAATTTAAATGAATACGAAATTTAGCTCTAATCTTGATAGATATGTAAATATTGGCCGACAAAAATTGCGACTTGTATTGGAGTAGTATATGGCAGCAACAACCATACTGCTACGCTCGTAAGTCGTAATGCATCGCGTTAATGCTACATTATAATATTATAAATGTAAAGTGAGTAGAGAATGTATGCCGAACACTATTTTACTACTTGGGAATCTAATTTAAAATTTATTTATTACTATCTATCTGTAGTACCTTTTGCAATAATACGATATTCACCTCTAAATACACCGAGGCAAACAGTAACTTCAGTAAATACAACAACGTAACCAGCCAGTTATGCATTTCACAAACTAAACTTTACTACACGCGGGCTGCTATAATTTGATTTTGTTTCCATTGAGTTCAGTATCATTGCATATGTTAATACACTGCATCATTAAGGTACCTGGTGAAGCTAAGGTTATTTATCCAGTAATGAACTAGCGTGTACGGTTCTTATGCTTGCTAGTACTTCTTAAAATAAAGTAAGACTATTTTCTCGAATACTTAGTTCTTCATCGTGCACTTCAACCTTTTGGATTTTTAGCTAGTCCATTGCCCAATACATCACACTACTCACCAGTGTTATCACAAAGATTTTACATTCTGTGAAGATTAATGGGTATTCTTTTTCCTCAAATGCACAACACTGCGTCTCACAGTCAAATGCAATTCTACTGTACGTCCACAGACTGTATACGTACTGTACGTATGTGTAATTCGTAGATGTATTTTCTCGACTTCTTTCTATTTCAGTTACAATATTGTATATGAGTCTTTAATAGCGTGGCATACATACTACATAGATCATGAGATCTAGTAGTCCATTGAAGTTAGCAGTGACAATTATTTACACACTTGATTTAAAAAAATGTCTTCAATCGTATCATTGACACCCCAAAAATTGTATCAGAATATTCTTGATGAAGTTCTACTAGTAGGATTCTGTATTTCATTTACGTTAAAAAATGACTGATGTAAAGTACGATTTGGGTTTTACTACAGTATGTTTAACCTGGGACTACTCAACAATTTTTCCTTCTCTACTCATCGATTTTTCCTTCTCTACTCAACGATTTTTCCTCTCTTCTTCTTAGAGGGAAAAATTGTTGAGCAGTCCCCGGTTTTAGTTGTAAAAAATATATGCAGTAAATAATTAAAATAAAATTAATTAATAATAATACCACGCCCTTCCTTTTAGTACAGTATACTGTACTGTGTTTGGTGTCGTATTGACAGGGTTCATCTTCATGGTGCTATAGTATAGTGCTAGCTTCACCTACATTATGACATTGCCAACTGCCGAAGGTGCAACAATGGCATCTTTATTCACCTTTCATATCGACTATACTGTAGGTTGAACCACTGTAGGTTGAACCACATGAGACGATTCAGAATAGTGTATTCACCTTTCATATCGACTAATGGTTGAACTAGGTTGAACCACATGAGACGACTCAGAATAGCGTATTCACCTTTCATATCGACTATTGGTTGAACTAGGTTGAACCGCATGAGACGACTCAGAATAGCGTATTCACCTTTCATATTGTTTGAACTACTGTAGGTTGAACCACATGAGACAACTCAGAATAGCGTACTGTATTCACCTTTCATATCGACTATTGGTTGAACTAGGTTGAACCACATGAGACGACTCAGAATAGCGTATTCACCTTTCATATCGACTATAGTTTGAACTACTGTACTGTAGGTTGAACCACATGAGACGACTCAAAATAGCGTACCAAGCAGAGATCGTATCGGGTAGCACTATGACGTCATTTCGTAGAAAGGGTTTTTCTTGTACACTGTGAGTTTACAATACAATGTACTGCAAAGGACAGTACTGTACTGTACCGTACTGTACTGTACTACAGTATACTGTACACTGAGTGTACAGTACGGTACAGTATAACATTCACAAATGGGGATACAGTACGGTACAGTATAACGGTCAGTGATACTTTCATTATAACTATCTATGGACTTAAGAGCACGTTAAACTTTCTAACTTTACCAGATTCAGATCTTTGACAATCTCTCTATCAACCTAATATATCATTCTACAGTATGATAGCTTTACTGTACTGTACAGTACGTATTTTGAAAGAAAAATATTGCCCAAAAGTGATAAAATGTGATGATACACACTGTACAGTACAGTATACTGTACAGTGTACAGTACGCCGTCCACTGTACAGTACTGTATGTACTGTAACCCGTGTTTGAGGTCAAAAAGACTCATGGTAAAACTCATAATTTGTACAGTACTGTACTGTCCAATATTGTAGCGTACTGGACAATACAGCACGCTATATTACACTGTACTTCTTCTTTTTGATTACTTACGACGATTTAATGAAGCAGTGAAAACATGGCTGAATATCGAAAGATTATTCTATTGCTAATAGCTTTCCTTTACACTGTCTCATCTTCCATCTTTTTACAAGAGAGTCAAGACCGTCATGGTTCTTTGGATTTTTCTTTTAACGAAGAAGACGATTTGACAGACGTCGTCAATGAAGTTTTGAAGGGATCAAGAATGAAGCGAGATGCATTCCCCTCGACAAACGCCACACCATTACAGCCTCCCAGCGTTGCAAATCCTGGCCGAAACAATGATGTTATATCAGAGTCTGTACTCACCAATGATCCGGGCTTTCGTGGGACTATTGCCTATCTTGGACGTAATAGCAAGGTAGGACCTAGGAATACCTGTCTTTGTAAATGATGCTATAAAGCATATAGTCATGAGTTTGTTCTGTTACAATTATCGTTTCGTTAATGCACGGATACTTCACCACACTACCGGCCAGGCCTGTTTAACTGGCTTCGGCCGTACTGTTCCTCTATACATTACTATTATCCCAAGTCTGGAATGATTGATTTAGTGGAGAGTGTGATTGAAAATCTCTTTATGAGGTTATACAAGACATTATGCATCCGATGCTTGCTGGATTTTTAGTGCACATGATGCTGTCAGTCGCCATTTCTAAAGCTACAGTAAGTGTTGGGGAGGTTTCACTTCTTATTTCCTTCAAGTACAGTATGATACAGTTATACTTGTTTTGGCCTTGAACTTACTGTTTCTCTCTGATTACAGCCCACTATGATCATGATTTACGGAAGAATATAGTGTATTTCTAGGATCAATTCCATTACTAGTAGTAAATGAACTTTTACTGCAACTCTCCGGTACAAATAAATTGATTTTTACTGACTATCCAAGTCGATAGTCGATTGTTTCGTGACAGCATTATCAACAAGGACAGTAATCCGTCTCTATCATGGTTGTTGGTTTATAGTGTACTGCACACTGCACACTACAGCAGTGTCAATTAGCGAGTCTAAAAAAATTTTGCGCCAACAGTACGCATGACCAGGCAGGCACCTGGAATACTATTTTTTATACTATACTGTTCTGTGTACTCTATACGCTACTATGCTACAGTATCACTTGATTCAGACAGCCCGGTTGTACTATATGTACAATGCACTTGGTGAGATAAATGGCATTTAACCAGAATACCGTGTTTTCGAAATCCCCAAATTAACCATTATTTCGTTTAGCTGTAAATTAAATGAATCATGATTAAAAATTGCATTCAAGAGTTTTATATCATACATAGAGAGTGAGCATTCTATACTCATGCTGATCTTATTCACATCATACGGAATGCCACTCTACCGTATGACACAAGGATATCACTGATTTAATAGTTTATAGAACTGGTCGATCCAACACGTTGGTAATAACTAACTTAATAATAAATACGTAGGATTATTATACTGTATGATGATCATGGATTTACGGTAAATCGCTCGATGATATAAATATTTTGCTAGAGTAATACATAAATTTGTTTCAATAATTAAATATTGTTATAGTCTGCGAATTCAGGACATCGTTAATTGCTTATAGAGTTGTTATTGGTGTTCACAATTCATTCTTCTGTTATAATGTGGTTGTAATACTTTATAGGTCGTAATGCTATTAACTCGGAGATTGAACCGCACCGTGATAACGAGTAGTATACTTTATCGGTAAGATTAGGCTAACGTCATTTTTGTTATTTATTTATATGTATATCATCGTAATTAAATTATAGAAAACAAAACTTTGAATTGCATCTATTGATGAATTGATTATTCAATTTCGTTAATGGAGGCATCAATGCATTCCGTTGTTATACTTTGAACGTCAACACTTAGCATTATGCTGATGCTAATGAAACTCAACGTGAGAAATCACAATGTATTCAAAACTCTTTAGCTTTGATAAATCTAATGGTAAAAGTTTATTCTCATCGATGCTATTGTGTTACTAAATACGCATTTACGTATAGTATGTTGCATAACGTAAGACTTTAGATTAATAGACAGTACTATAGCACTACTTGAAGCTATACACTTAATATCAATAGTAAAGCAGATTCCTTAATATACAAGTATATTCGTAAAATGTAAAGTTAAAAGTGAAATTAACACGTACTCTTACAATAATGAATTACTTCATTACTTTTGGTGTTGCCATTACGTTATGGCCATGCATGCTGCAGTCTTTTTGTAATGCCGACACTTTATTAGCTAAGAGAGATATCATTATCCTTTACATGTTCTTAAAACTTTATTTCAGATCCGTTGATGATGGCAGAACCTTTCAGAAAGTTTCACTGGCTACTGGAGCTAAACCAAGCTTCATATCTGTATCTACCATTGACAGAAATAGGGTAAATGATTAGAGAGATTGATTCGCAAATTAGAGACATTGTTGATGTTGAATTACTTGTTATAGTTTTATTTGAAGCTATTATTATCCTGGTCATAGATTTATATTAATATTTTCTAAGGTCTTAATTGCTGATGGCAGCACTCGAAAAAGGTTATATTATTCATCTGATGGTGGCCATAGCTTTACTACAGTGTCAATTTCATTTACCCCCACAACTATCCTATGGAATCCCTCTATGCCTAGCTATGTAATTGCATACGCTAGCGCCACAAACAGCGTAAGAGAATTATAAAATGACGATAATAACAATACCTATTATTAAAAGGCTGTGACTTATCATTACTGATTGCCACAAATATCCTTTTTTTCAGCTATACTCTTCAACTAATTATGGACAGTCATGGAATTTAGTGAAAAATCTCGTTACAAGATATTTTTGGTCAGTGGACTTGGGATTATGCTGGGTTTTGTTACTTAAAATTTTAAAATTAAGCTACTTTTATCACATAGGGCAATTCCAAAAGTAGATACAGATCAATCTGTAGTATTTCTGGAAGCTATGGGCAGCAATAACCAGTATTATATATATACTCAAAGTGTGCAAAGAAATGTGATGAATATTTTCGATTCGCAAATTGGCCAAATTCTCCCCTACAGTTTGGTGGTATCGGATCAATATTTATTTGCATACGTACGTAATAACAACTTTTAGCACAATTTGAATAACACATGTTACAAGTTAAATTATTCCTTTGCTTATACGGAATATGTATAAACCTTTTCTAGATATTAATTGTCATCATCTAATTGTTATACTTATTGATATTGGTCAAAATTTATCTTTATAGAAATCAGAATATGATCCGCAAAATAGTTTATCAAACGAAACCATATACGTATCATACAAGAGGCAGAGCTTTAAAAAGGCACATTTTCCGATAATAGATTTTCATCAGGTAAATCTCTTTTGGTTACATACTCACGGTGAATAAATTTTGACCATTCAGAAACATCTCTGTTGATTTTGACTTTGAAAATTACTTAAAAAATAGCACCATATGATAATGGATACCAGCGAAGGACAAGTATATTTGGCTGTAAATCATAGGTCAAATTTGACAAATGTTTACGTTAGCGATGTTACTGGAACAAAATTTACTCTTACTCTTGATAATGTTTATGATGCCCCAGAAGTATTTTGGCGTCTTGGGCGACCGTATGTTGATTTCTATAAAGTCAACAGCATGCTTGGTACTTACATTGCTAATAAAGCGTCTCCTCGAAGTAGAATTTTGCCATCTTATACTCTTATAACCTATGATGCTGGTGGCAGTTGGCGACGTTTGAAAGCTCCTAGTGTCGACAGAAATGGGAATTCTACTAGATGTTCATTGCCAACATGCTCACTTCACTTATCAATGAGTTTTGGTAGGCTGTTGGGGTATGACTCATTAGTTTCTTCGAAATCAGCTCCTGGTCTTATCGTAGCGACTGGAAATTATGGTAAAAGCATAAGTTTCTTCAGAAGAAACACCTTCGTCTCAGTAGATGGAGGCATTACTTGGAAAGAAGCTCAAGATCCATATAGAGACTACATTATTCAAGACTACGGTTCATTGATTGTCTCCTCTGGTAATAGTCTTCAAATAAATAAAACCTACATACAATACAGCTGCGATTCAGGATTAAATTGGAAGAAACTACTTATTGCTAATCATAGTCTGTACATAGTTAATCTACTCACTGAACCTGGTCAGAAAACGTTGGTCACTACAGTTGCAGGGACTGTACTAGTCAATAGAACACGGCAATGGATAATCGTACGATTAAATTTTACCGCATTGCTGCCACGGATGTGCAAAGCAAGTGATTATTTTAATTGGTCCGCTAGCGATCCATTTAGTGGAAAAAACAAGTGTTTATTAGGACAAAAGCAAACGTTTAGAATTCGGAAGCAGGACTCTTGTTGTTATAATGGCAAGTACTTTCAGCCATTTACCCAGAGAACAAGCTGTGTTTGTACGAGGGAGGATTTCCAATGTAATTATGGCTTTCAGCCAGTCAGCACTGGTAATTGTACTATCATTGCTGTTGATCAGTCAGCATGCGATGATGGTTCTAGTAATTTTACGACTGCAAAGTATCGTAAAGTACCAAGTGACAAATGTAAAGGTGGAGTTGAAAAGGGGATGCTGAAATTATATACCTTTCCCTGTAAGGGTGATGCATTAACGCCTATTCCTCCTCGTCGTAAGTATTACTAGATGATGAAGTAGGCTGTTACTTTTGCGGTATGAAATGTTCTGTGTTTGTATTGTATTTGATCTATTATTTGTTTTTTACCTTTTACAAATAGGAAAGCCAACCAATTTGGGATTGTATGTAGGTTTACCTGTTGGTATTCTAGCATTCGGAATAGTTCTTTGGGTCTTTTATAGATACGGGTAAGTTTAAAATAAGGGCTGTTACTCTACTTATCTTTCTGCATTTTTGCAGCTGTAAACAGATTGAGATAATAATTAAAATAGTTTATATGAGTATAGTACTCATAGAGTAGTTATACTACCGTAACATAAGAGGCTGGGGTAGATATTAATTGAAAATTTACGACATGTTTTCTGAGTATTGTTATAATGTGTTTATAAAGACATTATAAAACATTTGTAATATTAATGTAGGTTATAATTACACCATTTTACCGCTAAATTTTCGAATTTCTATTTCGTTGATTATTTAGTAATCCGAATCGTTCTTCACCGTATACTCGTTTGGCAAGGCTAGCTGGTGACGATGATGGTGAAGGTCCTAGTGATGATGATGGTGCTGAACGTGTGATTGCATCTACCAGATCCGCATTCAAAGCAGATGATTTCGATGATGATGAGTTATTAGGTAAGTTGTATGCAAATTTAGCATACTCAATTAGTTACTGCGCTGAACTTGTTAATTTTCATTTTGTTAGGTTCGAAATCGAATATAGGCCCTACGACTCCAGCAAATGCCTGATTTTTTGTATTGATTAATTTTCGTGTACATTTTGTCATGACGTAGTCATTAGTCCGTCTTTAGTTACTAGCTCGAATACATTGCCCTTTTTTTATTTCATTTTATGCATTACTACTTCGGTATGCAGTGTTAATAATATGACGTAAGGTATACAAATAGTACAATATTAATATAACAGATAAATTGGTGCATATGATAACCACTATGCAACGTAATGTTTCCAACCTTCATTTACAGTAGTATTATCTAAATAATAATCATCATTCATATCTTTACCATTTCTGTATTAACAGCCAAGCTGCATCTGTTACAATTATTACTCTGTTCGTCTACGATGATTCGATCTGATGTAAACGTTTTAAAGGCTGTCTAACTACCAGTATGATACGCTAAGAATATAGTGGTACAATTTTGTGTAACCGTATCATTTGTCTGTAGCAGCTCTTAACTGATTGTTTTCAGTTATTAGTAGATATAATTAATACTTTAGAGACCTGGCTAATTTTCGATTAGATTTCTATAAATGTTTATAAGATCTTCCCTATGCTTTCTATTTTACTATTGTAATGAGAGTAGAGCCAAGCTATTACATAAGTTATGGCGATTGATTAATTATTACTTGGCTAAAGTAGTGAGCAATTCTTAATTAAAGTTGATTAAATGAATGACTAATGCATCAGAGAACTTACATATATAGTACCGTAATATAGATTACAGTGTGATGTCGGTCTTTACCATATTATTTAGCTTCATAAAATTGTTTTCTGAAAATAAAAATGAAGATTCACGATTACGAATAATTAGATAAGCTAAAGTTTCTCTTATTAATCCTAGCGTTAAATTAGGTATCGTTCTTGATTTGCTATTATTTTCAACCTTATAAAATATTCACAGAGAGTTACAACAAAGTAATTGGCTATATTGTCATTTAATCTAGAGTGCAAATTGGACTTCCTTCAGATATGGTAGTACCATGTTATTTTCACTTTTTTGTCCTTTTAAATCGCATATCGTTCAATACGTTGTGTAAAGTACACCTAGAATTGCCCAGAAGCCGATATCAGTGTGTTAGCTGATAGCACTAAGTGTATAAAGGGATAGGCTAGCAAGTCCTTATGTTTTAGCCCCATTTATTCTTGCCGTGGACAATTAAATTTATATCTGGTAGTGTACAGTTCTGACCTACATCTTTTTTACAATACACGTCCATCGAAAATAGCCTAAAGTTTAACAAGAGATTTCTGGCAAAATAGGCGTGGCAGAATTTGCAATGCATGTCTGCGTAAAGTCATGGACCACTAGAAGAAGACTTCTAGTAGTCTATGGTATAGTACTGTACAGTATAGTACTGAATAACTAGTATGATATACAGTAAGTGATCTTATGCAACGTCCATTCATATTATCATGTTAATCACTTGTAGACCTTATTTATGTATAAATCTTTGGTTAGATCGTGCTGAGAAGGCATGGATTGCTAGAGTTTCCTCTTGTGGTCCATGCGCCAAGGCACGTAAGCTTATAATTTTAAGATAATACAGAAATACGAAACCATGTCATATTGTGATTTATGAACATTTTTAAGGTTAAGAGTAATCAACTTTATACAATTACGTAATTAATTCAATATACTGTACATAAATTAAGTTGAGCAATTTTCGAACTAGTGGATACAATTAGATACAATAGTGGAAATGCGTTAGGAATTCAACATTACTGTACGGCGTGGCGTGTACGTAATGATTTGTTTTTACTGTGTTAGTATTCTTAAATGCCACGTAATTGTGTTTTACATTAATTTAATACTTTCAATTTAAATTAACGCTTACTCTCTCTCTTATGTACAGTTTGATGGAATGTTATAAGTTAGCTGGCGGCGTTCTTTCTGCAGTGTTATTACGCGTAGATGATTACTACGGTACTATCAGTGTTAAAAGCCGGAACAAAATCACTGATATCCAAACTAATTAATTAATTAGTATGCGTCTTTTAAGAATTACATTAGTACGCGTACGATTGTACTGTACAACTAGTAAAAGTTAAAAACTGTTGTGATTAGTTTGGCTACTTTTAGTGGAGTATGAAATTCACATTTGACTAAGCATGATGAATTTTGATGCCGTCTGAAGCTAATTAGCTTGATTTTAAGCAGTCTATTGGACGCGTATAAGTACACATTCTCTTTTCCATGTTTACGCGATATTAATTCTGAAATGTTTTATTATATTAGTTGACTCTGGCCGATAACTAGGTTTAATATAGTAACGTAAGTGCTTGTGGCATATCAATAAGACTACAAGTTGTGCTTTATCATTTTGCCTTAGGCTACGCGGCAAGATATAATATGAAATCACAATAGATACAGTAACCCCGTTACAATGGGATACTTTAAAGTTCAAAACTATTCATGCAAAGTTATTGTTTTTACCAACAATGGTTGTCTAATTACAATCATTTTATGAAGACTCAAAGCATACAGTATTTCGCTTATGCCGCTGCATTAAATACTACTACAACTCGCTCAATCCCGCCAGAATTGATCATTCCTCTAACCTTAAACTGTTGTATCAAAATGGAAAAAAAATTGTAGAGTATTTCAAATCAATGTGGACGTCTTTTTTTAATTAATTAATGTACGCGTCTAGTTTTGTCTACAGCATGACTTTAATTGTACTCGTAATTTGAAGTGCATAGCAAGATTGATCATGATCATGATCGACACAGCGCTACTACACGATACGATTATTTGCTGGAGCGTGACTTTTTAGTAGGGGTGCCATCCTTTCTCCTTTTCAGGGCCAAAAGTAGCACATCGCCCGTTTAGGACAGTCTTCACTCTTCAGTAGGTGCTGACTTCAAAAGCTAGAATATTAGAAGGTTATCTTCTCCGTCAAGACGGAAATTCTTTCCATTTTATATCAGCCAGCCCCCTGCAGTACTGTACTGTACTGGCAAGTACCGGTCTATCAGACGGCTAGTCAATCGAACTGTCGTCTGTAGTAAAAGGCATAAGGTAGCCTTGTAAAGCAATGAATGATGGGAGAGTCATCATAATAATGTCAGTTCGCATACGATTACGATGGAATGACATTCCGTACTACTGTTACTATTTGAAATTCGATTAAAATTTAATTTAATATTTTAATTAATGATGAAACGTACTTGGCATTTCTGGTATGAGTTTGAAGACAATGTTTCGCTGAATACAGTAAGCAATGTACTGTACTGTACAGTATACAGTAGTACAAACATTACATCTTAAGTACTGTACACTGTACAGTACAGTACTATAGGGTACGCTAAAAGGTTAATAGAAGACCGGTGCCACACTGGCATTATTTCAACATGTGCAATGTAAATATCAACAATGTAAAAAGCAAAGTACAGTACTGTACTGTACTATGGGATGGAAATGAATTTGTAAAAGAAATTCAATTGTATTGTTTTGAATTAGAATAATAATTGTCCGCTGCGAGATGAGTATAAATTATCCCATATAAATTATTCAAAGTTGAAGGCAACAAAACGGTTATAAACGCATTCATCTACGGTACCATATACGTATTTCTGATTGCCCCAACCAGGAAAGAAGTGGTAGTGTTCAATTAACACTTGCTTTGCTAAACGCATTGGTAAAACGTAACAATATCTTACTGGGGTTTGGCTAGAGATGGCGAAATTTGGCTTACAGTGGTTTATACTGCTATGTACGCTTGGCATAACAGTTGCTAGCGCTCATCAAGAATCTTCTACTTTAACTTATCTGGCTAAAGAGTTAAATGAAGAACCTGAAGTTTACGAAGTCACATTGAATCCCGATTTCAACAATGAAGAGTCAATTGGCAAAGTGTTAGCCGAACGAAAATCTGGACATTCTCTTCCTGTAGAAAATGTATTTCGTCAACGTAGGGATAATATCAACGTTCAAAACACTGTTGCCTTAAAAAATGATTCCAATAATGTCGCTTTCATTTTCTACGTTGGTATGAAAACGAACGTAAGTTGACTTTCTAAAGTACTGTTATTTACAGGCTTGAAAATCATTATCTTGGGGGTTGAAGTTATACGCTTTGACTTTAATAAAGTCTCTCACAAATGAATATTGATTGACTGGTAATCACACAAAAAGTCAACGAACTTAAGGGGGCTAGATATCGCCATCGTTCGATCAAGGTACAGATTACACTTTATCTAGCACAAGTTTTACACATTTTGGATATACAATTACTCAATGAGTACTAATGGCGACACGTGTGCATAGAACCAGCACATTTGTCTGCGAATGCGTGCGTTGTCTTTGGTTGTCCAACATCGATATTCATTTTCCAGAAAGCATCACACGCGGGATACTGCTAGTCCAACATTAAAAAAAAAAATTGAAAAAAAATAATCTTGAAGACTAATATTATTCATGAATTTCTCTACATCAAGTTATTTATATCCGTTAGAGTTACTGTACTGTACTGTATTATTTTGGTAATCCTTGCTGTAGGCAGAGCCAAGCATAAAATAAAAGTTATTACTGTATTATAGTTCTAATGATTAGACAGGATTCCAGTACTGTAGCAACGAAAATGGATGGACGTACCGTTGGTAAGCATTTACGGTTGAACTCCGTTGGTGTACTACACTGTTTTAACTGGTAGGATGATGAAATAAATAGCAGAGAAAAAAGAAACTGTCTAGACTACAGTAGCGCCTACTAGCCTGGTGTGCGAGAAAACCAATTCAGATGTTAATGCGATGTACAGTAGTTGTACTCTACAGTATGTTGCATACGTAGGCGCTAAGCTTTCGTAATGCGTTTGACTATGAACAATACTGTACTGCACTGTTTATACTTTGTACAGCACTAAGTTGACTTAATGTACTCATTACTGTCCAAAACCTTGATGTAAACTATGCAACCAATGTACCCGAACAAATCCTTGTTGGAAAAGATGCTAGGAGAATGATAAAGTACAACACTTTTTGATTTCCATTTTTGCACTGAGATGCCTGACTACTCAATCCATTTCCCAGCGAAATCTTCTTGAGACCATGACGGACGTCGCTACATTGGACTTATTATAACACAAATCGGTAGTGGATCTGTGTAAATACTTTCGTATTCTGTTTAGAGTTGAGTGAAAAAATTGTGGATTTAATCATTTAGCGTTACCTGTGATCCCCCCCCCGATGGACTGTACTGTACACATACTGTACAGTACGGTACAATGTGTAGCTTGGGTACAATGCACCTAATTTACATTCATTACGTGGCACTTTAATTGATTGACAGATGCAAAAATTGTTTATTGTTTAATTGTTTATTTGTGACCTGCAAGCTGGGTAATTTTGTTTTTTGGATCGGTAGTCTGCTAATTCTAACTAGCTGATAGGACTGGAAATAACTGAGAAGAGTATTTGGATCAAATCGGATTCATGATGGCTTATTTTAGGGATAGGATAAGATATTTTTATGCGTTATTCGGTTATCCTGACTCGAATAGTCGGTGATGTTCGTTAGTAAACCTTTTTAGGTAAACATGGGCACTGGCTTAGTTTGCTTGTAGGTTTATGGCATTTATGGCCAGTATTAGTTGATCGTCAGCTTAGCTCTCGCTGCGTAAAAGACTAGCGTTGTTGACTTGTACTGTTACTATTGCTGCTGGAATAATACAGTAGATCAAAACTGCAGCTAAAATATCTACTTACAACACCGACGTTGATGTAGAGGAAGCACATTTGAATCCAACAATCATACAACCTATTTGAGAATTATTAGTACGATGTATCGAGGCACTGATCACATTGATATAGTAACGAGCTTTATTAATCTGGCAATCAGAAACCGGCAACTTCAACAGTAATGGCTAATTATAATCATTAATCCCACTCGTATAAATAAATAATGATAATAAATAGTTATCAATTTAGCAATCAACTCAAATCATGATGTAAAAGCTGAATCGATAGGGCTATCGGTTGGCATCTTGCCCGTAGTTACTGGCTAGAGTGATTAGCCGATAGACTTTGGATTCCACCGCCGTAATGAAGTTATACTAACTTAGTGATCTTGTTAGACAATCTAAAAGAGTGATAAAACAATATGAATTGTATAAATGTACAAAAACGGCACAAGACTACAGCACAGTAGAATAGTAGTGTGTATCTGGATAAGTCAGAGAAACCCACGTTTCTCAATAGTAGTAAGATTGTATGGTACTGAACTCAATGGAAAAGGCACAGCAACCGGGTCAATCGTCAAAAACAATTTAAAACACCAACTTTGAAAAGTGGATAAATAATTGATGAACAATTATACTACAGCCGTGGAGTTATGGTTGCATCCCACATGGACTAAGTAAGAAATCAAGTGGAAATAGCATGGTGCCTGGTAGTTTCATGACCTACAGTATCATGATCGTTAACACGATCATGACGGACTCTGACTGTGAATAATAATACTGTACGGTAATCAAAATCAAATACTGTAGATCGACCACCCAATGAATGAATTGGGTCCGTGTCTGACACTAGCTGACACGGACTGCTCACTATCTCTAGAATACAGAGTTTATACTCGAGCCAACGATTGATTCAGAACTGTTTTATCCCAGTGTCGGCTTCCGACAGCAGGTACAGGTGGACCAGTACTGTATTCAGCGTATTGGTATGACGAATATAGATCATAAAGGTTTGAACCGAACCGCACCGAACCGGTCTCAGATCTAAATTTACGACCAATCGACTACAGTATTCCACTACTATACAATGTACTGTAAATCCATGTGTACAGTACAACAATGTACTGTAGTCCAGTGGCTGTCCGTATAGCATATCCAGTCGTCGTCTATCGACTATTGAGTAACTGACTGACTGACTATATTCTGTACTACCATAGTAACCAAGCAGAAATGCATCATAATCGAAATTGATTGAAACAAATTATTTTAACAACGTTATTTTATACTTGTAATTAAAATCATCAATAAATAATTCGCTACTGTACTTAAGAACGTAGTAGATACAACAAGTACGGTCAAATTATTGATTAGCACTTCAGTTTGCCATCATCATTAGTCGCGGTAATGGTTGAAATGACGATACTAGCTCGATCAGCCTGGATGGATCACCAGTAAACAAACTATTCAGTAGCAAGAATGAGCATCAAAGTAGATATGATCAACATCGATCTGCGATTTTCACAGGCTATCAATGGTGTATTTATTTAATCTTGCTTTCAGGAGGGATAGATTTATTCTACTGGATCGTCATGATCCAACAAACGAAGATTTGTAAAAAGTCCTTGATAAGCAAATGATCAACATGATGAGACAACAACTTCAAAATAAATCGAATGAAATAATAACATTTGGCCAAATTGTTTTTCATTGACTATGGCTAATATGACAGGCTTCAAACTCGTTGATAAACAAGGAATTGAAAGGAATGCATCGATAGTACAATGCACATGATCTCTTTGATGAAACACGGTGCAGCGATGTGGGTGTACAATGTTAGTATTAAAGTTGAAGTGATCCAACAGTACAGTACAATAACTCGGGTGTAGACTCTTAGTTTTATATTTCAATGATCGCCTCAGAAAGTCTGTAAGTCTATAAAATAAATTTGAATGAGTGGGCTTAGTATTAAAGTTGCCATGATTGGCTTGGATAATTTGAAAGTTTGACATACTGTAAGTAATCATTTGCTATGGAAAATTAATTGCATACGAATAAGTGTAGCGCTAAAACTGTAACGTTATTTGACATACGCCTATCACTTCCGGCATAGGAAATCGTGCCCATGCTAGAATTAGTATAGTACCCGATCCAATAAACATAATGACTCATCAACTCCATTACTGTTTGCCATGTTAGAATACTTCTGCGTTATTTACCGTCAATGACTATCGCAGCGTATTGTGACATGCCAATGTTGAATACTATCAAATGGCGTTTATAACAATCAATATAATTTTGTTCTTCTGTTGCGCTTCTATAGATAATTCTAATTTTAACCTTATCGAGAAGTGGTAGTGGCCTCGTTACCAACAGTCATTTTTATAGGTAAGATCACCTAAAAAATTTTAGTAATATAGCGCAGGTAATGATGTCATTGGTATGGTCATCTTGCGATATAGTCATCCTTTTCTAATATCTGTAAATTAAAAATTTACTGAAGTGGTCGTTACTACAGTATAATATACGAAAGTAATACTTTGCATGTAGTGTGCTTTAATTGGAATAGGTATTAGGTAAGGGTGTAGTGCCTTAAAATGATATTGTAACGCTATTCTATGTTTAAGCGAGCAATACGGAAGTTTGTAGTAGTAACTATGATGTTATAACTTAATTAAATATTGATATTAATACACCTGTATTATAATCTTTTGACTATTTGTATTAATAATTTGATATTCCTTTTTATTACTCAACTATACCTATCGTTTATGTTGATATTGACTTTAGGTCGACAAATAATGGAGCTCAGTTTGTGAAATCGAATTTTTTTAATGGCAAGGTGGTTAGGTCTTGGACCCTCAACGGACTCGATCGCCTGAAGGTTTGTTAATATATGATCATAATAAATGCATTTTACCTCGACCAGTAACGTGATCATGCGGCATAAATGATAAACAATACTAGAGATTTATTACCAATATACTGTAGTGGTGTTTATAGCAATGTACGCAAAGAGTTTAAATCCCTAGAGTATTCTACTATAAGCTGTACACAGTACTATACTAGTACAATGTACACTAGACTGCGATAGAATATGAGATATCCTGATGAAATGTTTTAAATCTTAATTTTTAAAGTTGGGCTTACTTCAGTAGGGCTTACTATGTTAATTAGTATACGAGTACATGGCGTGATCTTAACTATGAATTATAAATATGTGATGATACTAAATCATTAGCGTCCAGTAATTCATATCATCTATTGTTTAAAAATTGTATTACATATTTAGGCAATCATAATGACTCTTCGATTGTCTTGTGAAATCATTTCAGTATTTGTATTTGGAGTTACTTGATAATTTTGTAGTTAATCCTGATACTACATTTTTTCTTCTTGATGTTGTTGTCGGATTTATACTATTGACTCTGTTGACTTTTAGCATCATTTTTTAACATGCCTACGATGATCAGTATACAAAATTCAGTTATTTGTATACAAAAGCGGTTTTGTCATGTAATCATTTTACCAAGTAACAACATGAATAACATTGATATCTCAATGTGCACTTTACTTTTATACAAGAAACTAAATTTTCAGTAACCTTCAGCCTGTTCCTTTAAAATAGGAATGTAATGAGCCAACCAACTAATAGCAAAGGTTCGACTAATTTTTTCTTCCCACACAGGTCATTTTTAGAGATGCACGCAATCCAAGAACAATATATACAACTTCAGATGCTGGTAAAACCATTAGTACTGTCAACTTACCTTTTACGGCGTCCACATTAAGTTACAGTCGTGTAGCATCGATTAGTGGCTATGTTGCTGGATACGATTTTACGAAGAAAGCCGTAAGTTATGCACCGTACTGATTAATTTTGGTTTTAAAATAAATTTTTCTCGAATTTTGAATAATGAACGGCAAATATGGCTCATTTATGTTTTGCATAAGTCTGGAGTTGATTACGGTTAAATACTTACTTTGAACTAGTATTCCTGCAGGGAATTTAATTTTTAAGAGTATTTAATAGTGATTCACATGTGAATTTCACAACGGTATTTCATCAACTTATGCTAGCAAACGTTAAATTTCGCAATTTCACTTGCCATTCGTATTTGAGTGAATTTTTAACGCTTGCATTTTTCGCATTTAAGGCACATTAGCTTACAACTACTCTTCACATGTGATTGTCTGTTATCAATCCTGTGAACTGTGATGTTAGAATTGATATTTTTGTGCCTTTTAATTGCAGCTTCGAATAATGTATTTTTATGCTTGTGGTCTTAGATAATGTGATTTATAGGTGCTCCAGCTATTAGTATTTCACGAGTCGTGAACATAGTAACTGTCTGACACCGTAAGATGATGAGTTTTAGTTTAGATAGACTTTATGTTACTTCTTACTGACAATTGTTAATATCCTGCACGAGCTGATTCTTCGGTAGTCTTCGCTAGTATTGTTTCTGGTGTCTAATATGCGTTGCATTTATATGTGGATGACTTTGATAAATTACTGTACGTAATTGAACTTAAACGCGAAATCCTACTGTATCATTACTAATGTACTATTAGGTTGACGTCATAGTAGATTCTAATTGCCCTAAATTTCTATACCTGTATCAGTTATCTACTATAGAGCTAGGGTTGTATAATTCATGCATACTTAAAGCATATAGCGCTAGTCTGTTAAAGTGTGACATTACTAAAAGGAGATTAGAAAGTCTTGATTTCCAGAGTCAAAGCAATTATTCCAATTATTGATACTGAGTTAATCATTAAATATTTTTTTATGAGTTGTAGGACATTTTTTAGCTGATAATTGATAAACTTATACGCGTATATCTTTTGCAGATTTTCCTAATTATTCATTTATCTGTTTTAGTTGTACGTCTCCAGCAACATGGGGGCCACTTGGAAATCAGTAGCTACTAATGTAACAAGATATTCATGGTATTAATACGCTGATAATAAAATTTTATTAAAATGTCTTATTAGATAGAGTTGTAAGAATAGAACTGTGTGATATCATTGTGGCCATTAATTATAATTATCAGAGAGGATGTGAGTAGATATATTTCATTGACTGATATCTAAATTCTTTTTTCGTCAACAAGGGCATTTGGTGGTGACGATCCATACAGAATTTATTATGAGTACACGGACTATAATAGGACTACTATCCGCTATATAAAAACTAACACTATGGCAGCTGGTATCTTTGACACAAAGATGGGTCCTGTTGTTCCCTTCAATTTGATAGTGTCAAACAACTATATTTTTACTTTGGTAAGTTATAATGGCATACGCAACTTGTTGCTTGTCATCACTATATTAATGCTAAAGGATTCTATTCTATTCTTTGTCTACTATATTATAATCTAACCCTGATCAACCCTTTGATGTGTTTTGAAGGCTAGCAATCACAAAATAGATTAGTTATAGTAATATCGTACAAGTCCTTGGATGTATGAATATTTAATTACGCTTAGTAGATAGCTTCTATCCTGTTATTTCCATATGAAATATACTATGTATACTATCCGATGTTAAGTACTCTTTATAATAGTTATCATTAAAGCACGATTTATACGACTAATATTATTACTATGACCTCGTTTTCCTTAATGCAATTGTCGTTATATAGCGGGTAAAATAATACTGTTAATAGCTTTCTTTTCGTAAAATTTTATTCTATCTGAAATTATGTACAAAAATCATTAAGAACTAAAATCGCTTCCATTACAATATTTCCTCATTAGTAGAGTAATTTATGGTAGTACAGTATTATTTCCAACTACAGTGCTCAATAGGTACTCTTAAAATAACGTTAGTTACGATGAGGTTAATTTGTATATGCAATTTTTCAGAAATCAGGTTCAGCAAGAAATAGTACTGCGGATCTTCTATACGTATCATACAAGCGTAGCCCATTCCGGGTAGCCAATTTTCCAGTGACTATTTTAAACCGGGTAAATTTGTAGTAAATTTTTATTATCAAACTTGTATAGATATTGCCGCCCTTTATGTATTTTTATAAAATGCACAGAATTAATATCTGTACTAAATTTAGCAATTGCAGCAAATATAGTCGTTATTCACGCATAGATAATTCGATCTAAGAGAGAATGACTGTAAATAATTTCATAATAATGTGTCATATACAATCCTTTATAAAACTAATATCATAGTATGGTTGATACCGTCCTTAGGGATTTCTAATATTGGAAACTGTCGATAATGAGGTTGTTATGGCAGTTAATCATAAAAGTAACCTGACCAACCTTTACATCTCGGATCAAAGTGGGGCTTTCTTTAGTCGAACTATTACAAATATACTTACTGCTCCTGATTCTTCATGGCGAAGGGGCCTAGCTTATGTCGGCTTTTATAGAATCGCGAGCTTACCTGGTTCCTACATGGTCAGTCAAGTTGTTGGAAAGGCACCCATTGGCTTTTTTCCACCATCTGTCACCAAAATCTCATATAATAAAGGTGGAAGCTGGCATACAATAAAAGCACCATCTACTGATCGATTTGGTAAGGCAACTAATTGCCAATTGCCTGCATGTTCCTTGCATATCAATTTCTTTACTGGTGTAGCTATTTTAAACCGCGGCGTCTACACCAGTAACGCCGCACCTGGACTAGTTCTAGGATTTGGTAGTTACGGTAAAGTATTCTCTAGAGCTAATGCTACACTATACATTTCTAACGATGGCGGATTTTCATGGGCGCAATCTTCTCCGACCAGTAACATCTTTACTGCACTAGATCATGGTTCAGTTATCTTGACGGCTCAAAGAGGCACCCAACGAAATCAAACATTTATTAGCTACAGTTGTAACGGTGGTAAAACCTTTACCAATGTCAAGATTGCTGATCAAACTATGACCCTCCTCACAATTATTACAGAGCCTGGCTCGAAATCATTGAGAGCTAGTGTTTATGGTTATTTTCATATAAATAACTACGAATGGATAATCGCCAATTTATATTTCCAACCTTTGTTAATCCGCAAATGTAGCGAAAATGATTATATTAATTGGACCCCTGCAGATCAATATGGTACCAAAAACTGTCTGTTAGGTAGTCGTAAAGTTTACCAAGTAAAAAAACCTTCGTCTTGTTGCTTTAATGGAGCTGATTATTCACGTCCCGTTAGCAACCAAAATTGTACTTGTGGTGTAGAAGACTTTGAATGTAATTACGGCTTTAATGCTCTGGCTAATGGCACCTGCCAAATTGTGGAGACTTATCGTAGTCAATGTGTCAGCAATACTAGCGTTTTCACTACGTCTGTTTATCGGAAAGTACCAGGAAGTTCATGCATTGGTGGCAATCAAAATCAATATCTAGCAAAGGATACTTATTCTTGTGTTACTCTTGCTAAATTATCTGGAAATGGTATGCTATTAGATTAAAGTTTATCTAAGCTAGAGAACTGTAGCAGTACCATATAAGTAATTGTCTTCTATTTGATGTCACAATGTTTGTAATCATGAAACTTTTTTAAATGTATATAGTGTTAAATACTGTTGCTGTAATATCGGTTGTTACTTGCTAAAGTTAGTACATTGTAATAAATATTAAAATAATGCGTCTGTTTAGTATCATAACATATTCTCCTTTATTTTGCAATGGTATGTTTAGGTCTCGGCGCAGGGACATATGTCGGTATCATTATTGGAGTTGTTGTTGTTCTACTTGTTGTAGTGGGGATATACATGTTCAGGAAAAATATTGATGAAAAGTTTTCGTAAGTACTTCTATTGCCTGTCATATGCTTACAACTACTATTTAAGTGAACATGATGTAATTTGCACAGTGCAATATCAAATCATCTGTATTTCATGTTGAACTGTTGCTATTCGATAAATTGGTTAGCAAAGATGTAATGTTGTTATTGCAACTATCAACTATTATGGTTTATTGATTAAGCTCAATGTCTAGCTTTTAGCTTATCTAATATTATTTAATTTCAGTAGTAGTCATAACTTGAGAATTATTTAAATATGGTTAAAGTTATCATTGTAGCAATTGTTGTCATACAAGGCCGTTAAAATTTTTTAATTTAACATCCTCGAATCTTTAGGAACTTTAGAAGAAGAAAGGATGAATATCTACAAGAGGATTTGGATCATTCTGTTGATTTTTCTCGGACTGAAAAGGCATAAAGTATTAAAGTCTGAAATAGAAAGGGAGGCTCTATATGATATCTTCTTTAAATGAGACGATTTTTTTAAATTTATTTTAGTATAAGTTATTCTATAGAGTTTCAAATAATAAAATTTCATGTAATCTTTACTCAAAATATTTACCATTACTTTTCTTCTCTCATATTCATGCGGTACTTAAATCAGTTAATGTCAAGTTATGCTCAGAGAAGGAGTCATTTTGCATTATATCGTTAATAAAAATGAACATAAATGCTGTAGGGGTAAAAGATATTACCTGTTATGTAGGTGTAGAATGTAGGTAATTTGTAACTGATAGATTATTAAACAGTTATTTCTGTAACATGTTGCAGCAATTCAGTAGATATTACTACCGTGTCGTTTTGTATTGTAATGCATCTTAGGTAGTAACAGTAATAGAAAGTGAGTAGGAGCTACATGTAAGCTTCTAGATTATCTCAACGAGATGTTGCCCATGTAATGATATTCCAGAAAAATTTCACTGTGCGTTCACCTACTTTATTCATAGTTTAGCTTTTCAGCTGAACATTATATAAGCTGTGACGGTGATATATTTATATGATTATAACGAATAAAGTAGGATCAATAGAGCAGGTTAGTTCTGCTTTCACTGCAAAAAAAAATTTTATGAACCTCACCGCTTACCAACAATAGTTGGTAGTGGCTGTCTGCTACACTTTTACTGTCAGTTAGAATTTAACGAGATAATGAAATACAGGATAATATTTATCTAAAATAGTTTATTCGTAAGTAATATATAAGTTAGAATGACTTTTTGGCAGTCTTATTATAAATAAATCGGATGCTTGTTAAAAATGGCGTTATAAGTAACAAATTATACATTTATTATAGGTAGTGGTTTACACCGAATATAATATTAATAGTTCTAGCCGGTACCCTACGATTATTATTGTAAGTACTAAAATTTTTTAATTACAGTACATCAGGTATTTGTAAATTAAGAGTTTAATCATATAAAAGAATAATTTCTTTTCCAACAGAACGACTGTAAATCAATAAAAGCATTGATAGTACTAAACGTTAATTTTGTCATTTCTGAGTATTTTTTTGTTCAGTCATGGTCAATAAATATATCAACGGACCCATAGATCTACAACGAAAGCCATGATTAATTCGGTGTGCAGTAGTAACAAAACATCAGCTCACCAACTTTAGTCAAACAGAAAATGCAACCAACCTTTTACTCGCTTTTGATCATGGAGCAGCGATTGTACTACTGATTATTCATAAAATTAATATCCTGAGTACGTACAATTGGTTAAACGAACGCGGATCGTATTTCGTTCATAACTTTATTACTCGATTAAAGTTATAACCATTTGGCTTATAAGCATGCTGTACTAATTAGATATTCATGCTTTGAAAATACCACAGACGGTCGGCTTCATCCTCGCTACGATTAATTTTTTTGTCGTATTTGAATTTTGTTCACTGTATTAACTGGATCAAATCCGATCAATTAATCTACATCAAAGTTGATCTGTATCTTGGGCTAGATGGCATGGATTGTCACGTATTAACTAAAAAAAGTTTGCATACTTAAGACCAAATATAAAGTAATTTATTTGCCTAGGAGGATAGTGCACTGGTCCAATGGGTATAAATCAGATGATCAGAATACTCATAGCCAAGATTAACATCCTGCATTTACTAAATTGAATTTATGTACTCTTACTCAGCAAACATATAGTCAATAAATTGGATTAAATCTTATTTATTATCTGAGAGAAGCGGCCTATACTGAGATCTATGAAACTTTTACTAGCTGGTTGAGTAAAGCTTAAATGTACGGTAGTTAACCTGCTAGATAAAATACATATCCATCCAATGAAAGACAGTGAAAACGATTATTTTTATTTAAGGCTCAAATTTATATAATCTACTATCGTTAAATTTGTAGAACTCTTACGCAATAAACATGTCATAAATGATTAAATTATCAATGGGAAAAGTTAATGTAATTAACCTTGGTATCGTACAGAAATTTAGTAAAATTTCTAATAGTTACAGTAGTTATGTAAAATCTTTTAGGTATTAAAAATATTAGTTAGCCAGTTTAGAATTGACTAAATATTAATGCAGTATTCTGCTATGCTAAATCTCTAGGCTTTAATTGCCATTGCTTCAGTTTTGCAAAAACCAAAATCGTAATTTTTTTTTCTAGTAAAGGTAACAATAGCAACATAATATAAGCCTATTTGGACTTGTTATAGTGCGGGTAAATTTGAATCATAATTATTGTAAAATGTGTAAAAGCTGTATATCTCCTTTAAGTTAAAGTTTAATTCACCTAGCGGTTACTTTATTATCAAGAAAATTCGATAATCATCCATAATATATATAATTAGTATATAGCACTGACGTAATGAAGATAAATGCATAGATTATATTTCTGTCGGTTAGATCATTGCCAAAACTCTTTCAACCAGCATTAAATTATTTTAGAGAGAGATTTCTTTTGTCTTCAATACTGTTGTTGCAACAGCCATATACTAAATTTATCGAAATTAGAATAAAATTTGTCTATATTATTGCAAATAAAAGTGCCCATTTTTTCATTCAGTTACGAATACTCGATTACAAGCAGATAAATATAATTACTCAGAAATACAGCTGATAAATTTATGGAAGTTGTCAGAAAGTCCTGAATAAACCATCTCGGCCAACATTCGACTAATATTTCAGTGAATTAATAGCTATAAGCTTATACTTTCCAGGTTGATGACGTAAATACCGTAGTATAGCTTTATCAGTCGTACATTAAATTATAATTATCGCTGTAAAACATTTTCCTTTCTCACCCTAGATGCCCGTATATCTAGATTATGTGCTTACTGAAATTGTTTTTACCAATAACTTGTTGAAATGAACCAGTATCGGTTGAATTTCATTTTATATTACATGACAATTATCATGAGTATTATGGATTAATTGATTAGATATATATAGTTGCCCTGCTATTTCATATAAATTATCGGCTGAGATGAAGCGAAATACGTGAAAGTTTCCTATTCTGATCGAATTTATTAAAGTAAAAATTGAATTTTCAATGTTTTGGTTAATACAGATATGCACTTATATATTGTCATAATTTAGAGGGTAGGAATAGCAAATGAAGTACGCTGATACTATTATTAGATATCAAAATTTGCTTACACTCTCAATATAGATCTTTGTTACGTATATAAGATACTAAGTGTAAAATTTAGGCTTTCTATAAAGTAGAAAAAGTGCCGAATATGTGAATCTATTTTAACTACATATAAATATTTGTGAAAGTAACATTTGTAACTTAATGAAACTGCCAGTCTCCGCAAGTAGGTCTAGACGAACTATTTTTTAGTGTTTGAATAAACGATTTAGCTGTCATCAAAATATTGCACGAATCCATGATTCATATAAGGAATATAGGCGTAGAAGATAAATGTTTGTAAGCATCTTGTTGTAGTCTTGTATTTTATTTAATACTTCTACGAACATTAAATAAAACAATAAATAATGTAAATTTTTTATTGTCCACTAATTAGAATTAATTGGTGCAAGTATGCAAGTTTTTAAAATAATAACTATTAACAGATGTTGTCTTTCCTATTTTCAAGTTGAAGATTGATTTATTCTATTCTTGTCGTACTTTCCGCCTGTATACATATTTATATCCAATTTAGAATAATACAATTGCCCAATCATCAATTATTTATTATATATATGGAAGGAATCAAGATTGATTATTATTTAAAATGACTCCTTTATAGGAAGTAAATTGAAAATAATTACAGATAACTTTTGTATATATATATATAAACCTTTAGTTACTGATATTAAACGAATTACTAATCAGTTAGAATCAAGATGAGTATGTACAGTATTGCCAATTCTTGCACGGATCGAGGATCATAACAACCTTGGTATAAATAAATAGTGATTCATGGTGATACTTACGGTTATGTTTTCTTATTAGCAGTAAAGCTTGTCAATCAAGGTTAAATTATAAATATCGAAAATTGTCCGTCAACTTCCCGACCAATTGCGCCGACAGTGCAAAAGTTAAGAGCATTATTGATGATGATGACAGTTAAATACAGGTGTGATGGCTTAGGAATCGTCCTCCTGGTGCAATACTGTTGGGTAAGCATTCCATCATTGGATAAATAAATAAATTATCGTACGAACTATCCTAACGCCTCTTAACCCAGCTACGTAATGGTATGCATAGTTGGAGATATCATAAAAGCTACTGAGTAAGTCAAAATTACAAGCAATGACAACTGCTTCAATTTTGTTTCAGTTTATAATCATCCGATAGTATCTAAGGGACATTTCAGATACATTGAATGTGTTGCAATTGACCATGAAGTTGGGCACGATTTGTTATTTGGCGATAGCCGTAGTAATAATTGCATCTGTCGATGGTGAATCGGCTAGATTACTTCACTATTCCGATACTTCGTCCAGTCAAGAAACATCTTATGAAATTGATATTGATCCAAAATACGATAACCAACATTTAATCGGTCGAGCAATTGCTGAGCAATTTTCATCACAATCGAAGGCTTCTCATCGTCGTGGATTCAATCGGCGTCTTCGAAATATTGCTGGTTTCGATAGAACGGCAAAAAAGAAAATTATCAATGTATTTACAATTCCCGACTTTACAACCTCAGCACAAACTAGATTTGTGGGAAGAAACACTAAGGTAATATTGATATATTAAACCTTACTTCCTTCAGTCCTATGATCAGAAAAGGATCAGGTTATAACTTATTGCTTTTAAGCCACTACCTCGTTACATTTTAAATTTCACACTAGACCTACTAACCTAACTTCAGTATAAGATATCCTAGGAAAGCAATTTGTTTTAATGCTACATATCTCCTTAGCATACAATGCTTTATTTCAATTCTATCATATTGATATCTGAACGAGTAGGCAGCTTCGCTTACATATTTCTTAAAGCGAACAAAGTGGTTGATAAAGTGATTTTTTTTCGAAATGGATGCGATCTTCGCTTCCTATAGGCTTGCAATGTTAAATAACTAAACAACACACATCTGTTTTTAGAGCGACCTAAGGTACGGTCGCAGTTTACTCGTTTACGTTAATATCTAGTAAAAATTTGAGTTTAAAGGTGATTGAAAGCTAAAATCGTTTTGGATAAGTCCTGCGTAAAAGTGATTACATCGCACTTAATTTGTACAGTCGAAGGCCACCCATAATTTCGATTAGGAAATCAATTTGAAATACTTCCTGGCCGTTAGTGTTCCTACTATATATAAGCAAACTAATTTTCGATGTGGTTTTAGAACCACGGCTCTTAAGGTAATAATAATAATATCCATACCAGAAGGCTTTTGGAAGCTATCAAAGTTTGTGCAACTTATAAATTACCACAGCGATAAAGTACCTCATCACGATATTTTCATCTGCTACCGTATATTGTGATTATGACTCGCAAAATTGGTTTCGCATTTAATAGAGGGAATAGCCACAGGTAGTTGCAATCTATTTCTTATAGATACGATTTGAGACGTTCTGTGATAGTTATTTCTCATCTTTAATATTGTTATAGCCATGTACAAGATGCAGTACTTGCTATAGGCAGGACTGATGATTGAATTTTACAGATTTAGAACTGCTACAGCCAAAGTCCGTAATTCGAAAGTTAGAGTTGAATCATATTTAGTCAAGAAAATTGTAAATCAAGCGAGTAGAATTACAATGTAATCTATGAGTCAGAGCTGGTAGTCTTGTTGACAGTTGCATCACGCCATGTTCATTTTGAGGGTTATTAGAATATTGGAGTGAACGGTATTATTCGCTAATATCAAATGTCTGAAGCAGTACTGGTTGGCGTAGTGCAGTAGTAAAAATAGCTTTAAGCGTAAACAAGATGATTCCTATCTCAGCTAGTTAACCTAGTTATTACAATTCTATAACATTAAATCGCAAAACGAATATGCAGAGAAGTTCTTTCAGCACCTAGTAATTAGGATATGTTACTTAACGATCGCTAATTGCTGCGAGTACGAGTACAATCAAGGTTTCCGCAATATCAGTATAATAAAAAATAGATATACTATCATCACAGTTAATAAACCTTCATCGTTTCCATGCTGTTATACTAATGTCGTCTATTACTTTATTCTTTAACTCGTAAAAAAAGTTAAAGTTGATTCAATTGAAGACTATAGTACAGTAGTGCACCAACTACACTAAATGTAAAATCATGGTAGCATACACACTCTGAACAAATTAAGTTATAGTATAACGTTTCTAACCCTTCGTTCTAAAGAAAGAAAATTTTAAGAGGTAAAATTCTTGCTAGTCTTCTTTAACCTCCATAGAATGTATCAATTGGGCTAAAAGTTCATTTTAATGTCATACATTTTGCTTAGGTTGATGTAATACGTATATCTAGATTCCTTATTTTCCCTCATATGCCCATTCATACACTAACTGTATTATCTTCAATATAAAAATATGTTAAAATGATTTGCCGTACTGACGGGGATTTGCAGATGTTATACGAAGATGATATAACACACTTTAACATTTTCTTTTTATCATTCTGCACCCTTCGGTGCCACTTTTGCAATTCATTGCTCCTTAGCCACCTCTATCGACATTGCATCTTGTCTATTTTATACGTACAGCCAACCATGAAGTTCATGGCCATTCTTGAGAGCACACCTAAGAGTTGCCACGATCTAAATAATCTTTATTTCTGTAGCACTCCCTACACTGTAAATGATATACGCGTACTACTGTATAGTAGATCTTTTACAATTGCAAATGCCATTTTGTTGCAGATTTGATCGATGACCACTATAATAGACTTATATACTGTATTAGTATAGTTTGCTCTGGCAATTATTACATAGTATAAACAAGATTTAAAATTTTTTATTACAGATAATGTAATCATGCTGATATTTCCTGTCAGTAATAACCAATCATGAATCATCTATATGGTAATCCCCAACCATTAAATAGATTTTTAGACTGTTTATTTCTTTTACGTGCCTGGTAGTGGCATCGTAATAGTCACTGGTATGATTCCGCTCTATTGGTACCCTTGAACTATTACTGATTGGGCATCAATGTAAACAACCATAGACAGCGGATGATTATTTAATCTGTATTACAGGCAAAATTGTTGTATCGAGCAATATTATAAATTATCTCGACAAGGAGTTTAATAAGCAATGTTCAATCAAAAAATCTAAGCATGCAATCTTTCTATTTGATATCGAACTATTTATCTGATATCTGCAGATTTTACCAATTTGATTCATGATGTGATATCCATAGCAATGCATGCAGTGAATATTCTCAATACATTAGTGCTTTGACGACTATAAATTTTGCTAGCGATAATTAAAAAATCTAATCTACGGAATCTAATTAAAAAAATTTTGCATTGGTTCTCTGAAAAAAGAAGGCACATATGCCATAGATTATTATCTCATAGTATCTTTTCTTTTAGTTTATTCACGGGTGCGATATGATATTGTATGATAGATAATATACTAGCAGTGGATAGTTAGATGGTGATTAAAGGAATCTACGTAGATTGATACGCTTCCAAGATATAGTCTATGGCGAGGGATTCCATAGCTTTCTTACATCGGTTAAATTGAGTTAATTTACTAAGTGATAAGTGACTTAAGGTAAAAAATTAAGAAGTCCCGAATGAGGTAATGAAAATATACGTAAATCAATATTAAGGCTGTATCAAATACGCTATATTTAACTGAGATATCGATAATAGAGTCATTTTGGTACTTACTGTAATGATAAAATCGAATCTAGTCTACCGTATTGCATCCTATGATGAATGAATACTAAGGACATCAAATATGCTATATTTACCTGGAATGTTGCTAATAGAGTGATTTTGGTACCTACTGTATTACTACGATAATAAAACCGAATCTATTCTATCATATGGAATCATATCATGAATGAATAGCAAGGACGTATCCAATACGCCATATTTGGCTAAGATGTCGAGGATAGAGTTATTTTGGTACCTTCTATATCTGCCATATTGAATGGTATCATAAAAACGTAAAAAAATTGTTCATTCGTAATAAAATGCTTCGTTATATATATAAAATATAAGATCTCGTGCATAAGATTGAATACTTTCTTTAACTAACGTACACAAATTGAATAATTACCTTAGCCCTGGTAAGCAACATCTATCGATAAACATACATAGGAAATAATCTTGATGAACGATAAGTTTAAAAACATGCGAAATTGATATCTTTTAAGTTATTATGGATGAGGCTATAATCATCTACAGCATTGATTATAGCCTTATTGCTTTAGTATTTAAAGCATAATAGTACTAGTTATTCAATCACTTGCTAAAGCTGCTAGTTTACTACCCAGACCTAGGTTGACGAGCAATTACTGTTGACTTTTCGTCAAAGATATTCTTAAGAGAGGGAGAGAACTAGTTTCACATTGCCATATACCCGTGTATACATAGGTTACTATATATATATAAATGACTAAACATTCTTTCCAACCTTAATATCAAATGACAGTAGTAGAATTTTCGTCGCATGGAAAAAAGTATTTCAAGCGTAGGTAGCCTTCTCTAGGATACAATTTATAATTTTAACTTCCAAGCATTTTAATGAAAATTTAGTATTTTTACGGAATCTTTAGCAATGGAGAGTAATATTACTTGATATCTGGATAGACCTAATTTTAATTTTTGTTGGAGTAGTACAATTTTTAATGACTCCCCAAGACATCAAATTAGAAATTTTCTATTTCTGTTAGTTTGTGTTCGCATACAATGATTGCTATTTAATTTTCTATTTCTAGATAATTCTGATCCTGACATCAAGACGCGATAGACAGGGCCGAATTTCTACTACCAATTTTTACAGGTGAACATGACGTAGTTTGATATAGAACTATATTAAGGCTGACATACAGCAAGCGATTTTATATGGATAAATGCAGATTAATTGATTCTAAAGCAAATGTTAAGGGGCAGATTTGGGATAATTTAAATGGATTCGAAAGCTTGGTACAATATTCTTAGAAAGTGGCACATAAGAGATTTTACGCGTATTCAGTCACTGTTAATTGCCTATACTCATTCATAATATGTAGCTTGAATAATAATTGACATCGTAGTAGATAATGGCAGATGACACCTACAGAAATATTATATTACTTTATGTACCATATTTATTGCGTCTATATCCTATATTTCTTACTCTAATCGCTAAAAATCTCATAAACGAAAAATAAAGCAGATCAAAAGGACTTTAAATACCAATGTTCATGCGAAACTAACTGTATTTCCTTCATCAATATACTCGTAAATTCATTCACTAATATGAACATAAACATAAACTTAATTGTATTACCGTATGATATTATCTACGGAGGTAGCAAAATTTAATGGATTATCTGCAAATCTATTGCAGAATCATAAAATAAATGAGTAAGAAAAATCACTAATAGCTATTTCTTCTGGTATAATATTGATAAAACTCTAACTAGGGCAATGATAGGTTTCACTGTCAAGGTTCTAAACGATTGATTTGTATTATTTGGGTGGCTATTAGGTCAGAAGATAATGGAGCTACCTTTGCACGATCATGGTTTTTTGAGAAGATTTTAATTCAGCGTTGGGATTATAATTACGAATCTCCTAATCAGGTTTGTTATCATTCATGTTCATTTGTTATAATGAACAGCTTAAAAAATCATTCTTCTACAAGTGTATAAATCAGAATATGTCGTAAATCGTCAGTTTTATTGATTTATACGATAATTTAGCAGGCTATAAAATCGAAGCAATTGTTAAACCAATTCTCTGTTTTCATTTTTTGACTAAATAAAACGAAGTATTACGATGTCATTGAAATTGCACGTTTTTTTTTCGTTGCCTTTATATAAGAATGTTTTATTGATAGAGCTATATTTAGATTTATGATAATATCTTTATTATTCTTATATCTGACCATACACACTGCAACGATCTATATGCTTCTATGTCACACTACCATAGCATAAGAATACTTTAAAGACAGATTTGGGCCTACGTTTACAGTAATTCATATTTCCCGCTATACCTAATATTGCAATTTAAACATGAACTAATGCAATTAAATTAGATGAACTGATATTGAATCGTTAATCAATCATTAGAAAGTAAGGCTAAAATTCTCTTTGCTCAAATTAGTATTTAGATAGCGAAAAGTTTATGCTACCCAGGAATATTGCAAAAGATAATGGCTATTTGTTGAATTAATATTATATAATCCGTACTTGATGATGCTGTCTATCATTCATGAAGGACAAATTGAAGTCGGAAATATTTTCGATTAGGATTCAAAAATAGAAATTTCTTATTTTATACAATTACGCAATTCAACTTTCCTCTATTAAATAATTAAATCAAAGTCAATTGTAAATTTGAAACCAGCAGAAAATGTTTTTTTCGCTTCTTAAAAGGACTGTAAGATTTTTATACTATTAATAATTGACTGCATATATATTTTTTGCCTATATTTAATAGCTCGTTATGATAGATGCTCGTAACAGTCGTCGCATTTATGTATCCCGGGATATTGGCAAGACCTTTACAACGAGGACATTAGATTTCAGTCCAGCTGTATTACGCTTTCGTACCGATGCTAATATTGGTAATTATGTTACAGCCTATGACAGTTACACTAAGAAAGTAAGTGGTCTAGAGTTTATTCCTTATGAGAAAGAATAATTACAAACTTTGCCCATCAAAGTTATTAAAAAATTTAAATATTTATAGATAATATATAATGTCCTGGAATTATTCTCAATAATATCATACAAATAGCATATAAAATGTAGCATACCATTCCTTTAAAATTGATATTATTGGCAATACGACTATAAATTTATAATTTGTAGTTGTAAAAAACTTCGAATGACAGCTTAACTATGAATATATGGAACGACGACGATTAGTTCTTATCAACCTGATTTCATATCTGAGATGTATGAATTGATCGTCGATACTAAAAATATCGCATTTCTTACACCAATCTTCTCCGATGTAGTTATATGTGTCCAGGGATATTAGCGTAAAGTGGAATCTTATTGATGATCGTGTCAGAAACTTTCATTGGTAATACGATAACACGCATATGAGGTCAATTGAATCAATTGAATTTGAGTTGAATTGTAGGTAATTAATTTCTCTACAATTACTACTACTAGGTCAACGGCAAAATCTGGTAGTAATATTTATAAAGTCTATTACGAGTATCTAAACGCCGACGGCTTTTCAACTAGAATTCGCTATTGTAACACTCTGACCATGGAAAAAGGAGATTTAGATCCACAAATGACAGATGCAGCTCCTGGAAATTTACTTGTTGTTGGTAAATTTGTGATGACTTTGGTAAGAAATGAGTACTATAGTCAATCAGTAATCTTTCATAGCGTTTTTAATTATTATTAGTTGCCGCTCAAGCTTACAGATTAAATTTAGAAAATATACGGACAATTACAATACACGATTTCATACAGTTATTTTGGTAGAATAAATAATGCTTTTATAATCGTAAATGCGTGGATTAAGTTGTATATCGCAATTAGTAAATTTGTATTAACTTTGGAAGAAATCAATGCTATAGCCGATCAGTAATCTGGAATAGCGTTTTAATTATTATTACTTGCTTTTAAAGTTCGTAGATTAATAATGTAGAACATGTACGGGTTAGTACGGTACGCGATTCTCTTAGAGTTATTCTGATACAATAAATAATGCTCTAATATACGTAAATACATGGATATAGCTAATTATAAAATAGCAGATTGACCATCTAGTGGCATAAATACTTATATTGATGTTAAAGAATAGATGCAAATTGTTATAAATTTGATATTTTCTCCATCAGGTTAACGATGTAAATACATCTCGGCCTCTTTTATACGTTTCTCAAAATGACAATCCATTCAGGATAGCTCATTTTCCGTCTTCCCTGGCTAAAAGGGTAGGTAAAATTTGGAATAATTATTTTTACATGAACAAACGGTATCGAAGTAATGGTTTGATAGTTTGTAGCCAGCGGCTAAACTTAAGAAGAGCCCATCAGATATTTAACCCGATAATGTTATTTCATGATAGATTTAAAATAAACTTTATGGCACTGTTGATACCGTGTTGTCTAATAATAAATTAATTGCAACATATATTAATCAAAAGTGTAAATACAATATAATTCTTTACTTTTGTCTATAATAGTCCTTCGTAAACTCAATAAAGATTCTTATAGGATTAGTGCTTAACAATTGTGATTAGAATTAATTGTTACAACGTATATAAAGCATAGTGCAAATGGAATATAATTCGCTTTACTTTTGGCTATAATAGTCCTATAGCAAGCTCAATATAAAAACCCTGTTACAGGTTTTAATGCTTGCACGATTGCAATTCTTATTTACTAATACCATTACTATATCCAACTAATAACATTGGTATCGTTGTACTTTAGTAAGCCGATTTTGATCTTGACTCTATCTGTAATTCGCATTTTTGTATTCAATTTGATCTGACAAGACTGCTTTACTAATCGCTTCTTTTAGTAACGCAAGCTCTATAAAAATTTTTACATTAATGTTATCACATTTTGATTAGAGCTAATTAGGATATCAAAATTGTAAGACGTATAAAATATTTAGAGATTATGTGCACTGTTAATGTGTTTCGTTTATAATGTACTAACGTACCGATAATGTAAAAGGCTGATTTTTGATTATAATTTCAATTGTTTTAGAGATTCCATGTGATCATTTCTGGTTCTGACGAAATTATTATTGCAATTAATCATCAATCGAATCTGACCAATCTTTACATCTCGGACGAAAGTGGAACTTATTTCACTTTAGCTATTAAGAATATTTACGCTGCTTCCGATTTATTATATAGGCTGGGATATTCCTTTCTAGGCTTTGCAAGTATTGCTAGTATGCCTGGTACTTACATAGTATCACAAGTTAAAAGACCTGCACAAGGACTTTTAAGCCGACCAAGCCTAGTCTCGCTAATTTCCTTTAATAAAGGCGGCACTTGGCATCCTATCATTCCACCAAAGAAAGATCGTTTCGGAAATCCTATTAATTGTAGAGCTCCCTGCTCATTGCATTTAGACGTTTTAACCGGCGATTTTTTGCCAGAAGCTGCTCTCTACTCATCTTCAACTGCACCAGGTCTTATTATGGGCATAGGAAACTATGGCAAGGAGTTAACTTCTGTTGATAGAGCCATATATATATCTTATGATGGCGGTGCTACATGGGTGCAATCAGCGCATTACTATCGTATTTATACTGCTCTTAATCATGGATCGATTATCTTAGCCTCCGGACGAGGGCTTCAAAGAAATACTGTTAATGTTAGTTACAGTTGCAATAGTGGCCAAACATTTACTGATATTCAAGTAGCAAATTTAACGTTAAATACGTTGCATCTCGGTCCTGCTCAACCAGATACTAATTCACTGTTAGCTGTGGTCTTAAGTCATGATATGGTTTCCGGATGGGTCTTTGCTACCTTAAACTTTCGCTCAGTCTTATCTCGTGAGTGCAACAACAACGATTATATTGAATGGTATCCTTATGATCTATATGATAAGGAAAAGTGTTTATTAGGAGCCAGATACAGTTATCGTATACGCAAGTTTGATTCATGCTGTTACAATAAATATAGTTATTCAGGAAATAACACTATTACACCTTGTCTGTGCACTAAAGAAGATTTTCAATGTAATTATGGTTTTGAAATCCAAAGCGATGGTACATGTACTGTCATTGCCGCAGAGCGAAAAACTTGCTTAAATGATTCAACATTTACTGAAGTAGCGTATCGTAAGACACCAGGAAATAAATGTAAAGGTGGAATTGAAACAGAAATGTTACGAGGCAAAACTTATTGGTGCAAAACATTGCAAGTAAAATCAGACGCAGGTATAGACTACTGCTTTTGTTGATTATACTATTAAGTTTTATTGCAACTGTTAACCATGAGATGTAGAAGAGACTTAATATAATTACTTTTTGTAGAAGAAGATGACTTTGTTACGGCGTTTGCTTTTGTCGTATTCTATATTCGCTTTTTATTTCAGTTGGTAAATTGATATTTTAATTTTATAATCGATTGATTACGTCTATAGGCTTAACTTATAGCTTGGCTATCGGTGTACCGGCTCTTATACTGATTGTGGCGATTTTAATTTATATCCAAATTCGTCGCAATCGTACCCGCATTTACTACGATAATGATTCAGGACTGATAGCACCCTCTAAATTAGGTATTTAAAAATTAACTTAAAAAATTTTATAATGTTGATGCTAACGGCTAAATAGTTTTAGTAATATACGTTTAAGAAATAAGAACGGCTTAATTTAGTAAATGAGCAAAATGGAGAAGAGTTAGTTTCTCATAAGTTACTTACATTACTCAGACAAGATGAGTCGCTCATTTACTCTATTTCTTCGTCATTTGATTTTGATAGTTATATATGAAAAATGTAGCACGCTATTATCATGTATTGGACTGATTATAACTAAACAAGATATTTACTCGCTGAGAGAATCCTTCAGTTGATACATTCATTCAATATACGAATTATATCTGGCATATAGTGTATATGTTTACACTAGATTATTGATAAATGTAGCAATTGTTTCATGACATAATTTGATTTTTAATACGACTAATATTTGATATGAATATGATTTGTTTATATTTGATATATTTAGAAGAAAGTACTCGTGAAAAGTAAACGAAGCGACTAAGAAAACCCGTTTATTGTTATTAAAAGTAGGGCAATAACTGAAGTGAAGTTTACTTGAAATAAAATCTCCGATAATAAATAGTTTAAGAGTTTCTAAGTTTAGTCAGCATCTTTAGTAAATAGTTTCTTGGTATATTATTTCTGATACTATTACATATTAACGATAACGCTTTAGCGCTATAGATGCTATTTGCTAATTAAAATGATAAAAATTTCATTGGTAAATGTAATCTAGTAAATTGAATTAATTTGTATGGTATTAAAATTGGTATCTAAAAATTATCCTGCATTAGCGCACAAAATATTTCATTTTTCTGCTATTTTCAATTCATCGAAATGGACTTACTTAAAAAGATATTGATGATTTATTTTATATTTGTTTCATCCTCGAAATGTTAATATGAGCTGTCAATCGGACTATGACTTAAATTAGCAATAAAATAAGAGAAATTAAGGGCTAAATGTTAATCTTATCATTTTTGAATGAATATAGTATTGATCGATGACTTATATTTTTACTTTTTTGTTATGGCTGCAATCGTTAAAGTTGTACCAAATTTTATATGAAAAACATTATTGACAGGATATGTCGTGCTCTTCATATTTTCTTAGAATACTTCGCAAAATAATTGTAAACAGAATTTTGATTACATCTTTTAGTACCCTATAGATTCGTTAAGTGTCGAATCGGTATTTCGAACAGGCAGTATAGCTACTGCCAGTTATACTCGCATCTCACACGATTTAAGAGCAGTATACTATTACTAGATCTATTTGTATATGAATGGCTTATAAGAATGAAATAAGGGGCGAATTACCATCTTGCTATTGAAACTCAATCTTGCTGTGCTGCGACTAGTTTCATACTCAGTACAAATCAATAGTTCCAAGCTAAGCTTGGTCAAAGGGAACGAAGGATAATTTCTCTAGCTAATAGCGTTGTATAATGAGCCGTTAATATCAGGCGGATAAAATTATCCAGAGTCAGGAGAATAAGATGTTTCTTTTAGTTCTATTTGCATTATCAAGATATAAAACGAAATTGATGTAAATCACTGAGAGATACGAGATAGGCGGTTTCCGAAATTATGTTTATAATATTATTGATTATGATTCCAATAGATTGAAAATTGACGCCTAAGAAACTTTACGGGATTCGTGGCAGGTGGGCAAAGTAGGAGCGATCAAATAAAATATACCTTACATGTAAGGTAATCCTGAGAATTTTTAGTGAGTAAAAAGAACTTATAAATTCCCAGGGGCTAAATAAATATTTATTTTATGTGAATTTGCTGTAAATTAATTACATGGAAATTAAATCAATCTAAGGAAAATGAATACTCTTAAATCGTCTATTGCATTTCACGACTGAATGGTTATATGGCTAGTTAATTAATAGAAACGATTTTTAAACCTTTTACTGAAATTACTGTAAAACTCTTTTTCTACTCATTTAATGTTTAATGTTTAAAGTTCTAAAAATAATTGCCCTGTTTCCTAGAGTGATATACTGCCAAGTTGAGATGGTAGTATGCGTTATAGTAACAAGATCAATATGTAACAATATTAGATCAGTAAGTTAATTTGGATTCATAAAATAAAATTGCCACAAATAATGACGATTAAAGTACTGTACAAAATACTTATCTTAGTAATACACTGTAATGGAGGGCTAGTACTTGTTATCAACGAATAATTTAATCGTTCGTACGGGGGATTAAATGCAGGTTTCACGGCATATTACTCTTTCAAATGTTGAAAGAATGCTATAAAATGCAAAGAAAACAATTCTGAAATCACAGCAGTTACTTAAATTCGTCAATGCTCATTGGCTATTTTACTGATAATTAATAATTTACGATAAGAGAACTTACCCGAAAGGCGGTACCCACTATCCAATACCGCAGCTACGGTACATTAATTTACTATTTCAGTTCAAATAGTTAATTCAAGTAAATGAATGATCTTAATCAAACTAACATTCTTTTATATTTCTGCCTTAAATTTGAAAAACTTTCCACCGCCATTTTCCTTTCTTAGCATCAAAGAGCTGTTTGAACGCATTCAATTTAATCATTTGCTATCCTATAATTTCTATTCTATTGGCATTTGTAGTTACAAGTTTGAATTTGTCTATACCAATTCTGCTACAGGTCAATGGATAAGATTTTATTAATGTTGCATTATATTCTATGAAACTAAATCGTAAACAACCAGACTCTGACAGTCTTGCTATGGAAACGATTTCTGATTCTATAATTACTTTAAAAAGGAATCTAGCCATCGCTTTGCTAATATGCCATTGAAAGTTCATACATTCAGTGACTCTGCAACGGAAGCTGCCCTGTATTTTCTTCGTCACGATCAAAGCGTAAGCATTCTTAAATTAATTAATTATTTAATACTCTACCGTAATTTTCGATTATCTATATTGATACGATTTAGTAAACAGTCCGATTGTTGCATTCACTTTATTCTAAGCAATGCTTCAAGAATAAAATAATTACGAAATGTATGATATAAAATCTTGACTTTTGTAGCCCTTAAAGCTGGAAAGAGTTGGTTTAATCAAAACATTGATCACCATCGTACATCAAATAAGTGTGAAAGAGGGTAGCCTTAAATTATTATTTCCATACTCTTCGGTATTTAATCTCGTATCAATATTTCTTACGCTACTCGTACCACGTAGTGAGCATGATTTTTACTAGATGTTATCGTTGCTTAAGTTATGCTATTCTGTTATTCTATCGCAACATGATCAATGCAACTAATTTCGAACTTTTTCTCGAAACTTTTCTAGTAAGTTGTTGAAACAGTATATGATATTGTTCTTGATACGCTGCCATAAAGGAGCAAAGCCTACTGAATCTTGTTAATTCGGTAATTATGATACCTTTGAAAGTACTATGATGTTGAATTGAGTTATACTGTACAACATTATTCTTGGCTAGTGGTTTACGAAAAACAGTAGTATGAATTTTATCATTAATAATTGAAAGTTGAATATCAAGAAAGTTAACTTCTTGTAACGGCTGCTTTTCGTTACTCTTTATAAACCGCAAAATAAAAATCCTCATAAAACTCCAGTAAAATACCTAATCGTTCAAAACTTTATATCAGTCATCGTTGACATAAATTCTAACGATGGTAGCTCAAAAATTACCGTTTATGCGGTTTAGTATAGGATATCTATGGTATTCCTATACTAAACCAATCGGCTAAGTGATCTACAATTGCAAATAGATCAGAATCATGTTATTTTAGATCGCATTCTTGAAAATGATAACAAAAATTCTAAATTATGAAGTCAAGCTTTAAACAAATTTACTGATAAGTTGGATGCTCTCAAGACAAAAATAGATGAATATAATGTTAAAGTTAATACCAGCTTGAATGATAATAATGAACAGCTACAGCAGTTATTAAAGGATAATGAACAACTTCTCATCAAGTTTATTAATACTGCGGATACAAATATCAAAAATATTGATGCTTTACAAAGAGATTATACTACGCTAGTGTAAAAGGTTGATTATCAGTTCCAACAATTAAATTAACGGAATATAGTAACTCAAGCTGCATAAAATACACCTACAGTTCCATTATTGCAACGTTTTCGTAAAAAAGTCAATACAGTTACGGATAGTCTAAAAAGTCTAACATCCCTGTAAACTCATCTTTACCCGATATCTTTCAATATTCTTAAAATTAGTTCAATAACATTACTGATAATGATGCTGCGATTAAAAAAGCGAAGCAGTATATTTTTTATTCAAAATCAAACTACCTATGGTAATTACTTTCACCAACAATTGCAAAAGATTATTAAAAAAGGTTTAGGAAAATTAAATTACAAATTCTATGTAGAAATGGGGCTAAATGTTTCATTGATATTTTAAAGCTTAAATTAGATAATAAAATTCTACCTAACGTTATGATAGCTTGTCTGTGCATTAAAGAAGATTTTTAATGTATTGATGGTTTGAAAATCCAAAGTAATGGTACTTGTACTGCCATTAATGTAGAGCGAAAGACATGCTTGAATGGCACAACGTTTACTGAAGCAATGCATCGAAAGACACCAAGTAATCGATGTAAAGGCGGAATAAGAGGCAGAAATATTGCGAGGTAAACTTATTGGTGCTATACGTTACAAGAAAAAGTCGAGTCCAAGACGTTCCAAGAAAAATCAGACACATGCATAGACTGTTTATTTATGTTGTTCAAGTTCAAGGCAGTTCAATGTGGCACGCTTTTCATGGGAATAATTATAATTCCGATTGCATGCAAGATAAATCAATATTTTTATCTCTTGGCTTACACACCCGTTTTATATTTCTTTTAGCAAATACACTCATAATTATAATTATCGATTAATAGGTATCTCTTGGTCTAATTTATGGCTTGAGTATCGGCGTACGGGCTCTTCTCATACTGATTGTGGTGATTGTGATTTATATCAAAATTTATCGCAGTGGATCGCGTATTCTCTACGATTCTGATCCCGGAATACTTGGATTCTTTAAATTAGGTATTTACAAATTGACTTTGGAAATTTTTAACCGTACTGTCTGTTATTAAATAATTTTTATAATTTTTATTAGACTATAGAGGCTCAAATGGAGCAAACGAGCGTAGATGAAGAAAGTGAGAGTTGCCCGTAGTGTAGGAAATGTCCTCCAGCTTATATTATTTTTCTACGAGTTAATACTGCAAACTCTTAATATACCGGTATGCAGGAATAATATTAGATATCACTAATTCTATTGAATATATCGTGGGAAAAGTTCCAATTACCAGTATATAACTATTGCTTTACATATTATAATCACGGCATAATTGTCCTGCGATAAAACAACTATTTGTATTTTTCTAAACATTTTCATGAATTTTACTTTCATATAGCTTATATAATTTAATTCCTTCCCATTTCATTTACATACTATAGTTATTTGGTTGACCTATCACACTATGTAAATCCCATCTACTGGCGATTTTAAATGAAACCTTCATTAGATATCTTTGACTGTCTATCCAATGCTACAATTTTGGCTAGCTTAGTTATAAAGCATACATAAATAACGCCAGCTGTTATCATGATGCGTTTAAATTAGATAATAGGTCAACATGATAGTTATTAGGTTGGAGAACTCCTCAACCAACATATTTAATTTATGAATTGTATCTGATATAAAGTTTATGAGTGAGTGCTAAATATAAATAAATGCGGCGATTGCTTCATAGAAATAATTTAATTGAATTATGAATAATTATCTAATGGTGATATAATGGATTTCTTTTTGATATTTTAGAAGAAGGCAAGAGCGAGATTGAACTTCAATGAAACAACTTAAAAAAGATCCGTTTCTTGCTTTCAAATAGGGGCAAAAATTCAAGTAAGGATTGCCATTGTCATTAGTTTCCAATTTTTGACCAGTTTTTACATTGAGTAGTATATTTTAAACAATTCGTAATAAGGATATACGTACAGTATATAGTATTCCATTGAAAATTGTAATGCAGCAAATTGACGAATTGATTGGTATTGGGCTTAAAATTGTAATTAGTTTTCAATTTTTGACCAGTTTTTATGTTGAGTAGTATATTTTAAATAATTCGTGACAAGGAAATACGTACATAGTATTCCATTGAAAATTGCAATGCAGCAAATTGACGAACTGATTGGTATTAGGTTTAATGAGTGAAGCTGTATTCTATATTGTCAAAATATTTATCGGTTGAATAATGCACTATAAATATAATAAAATCAAAAATTGATGGGAATCTTTGAATTGAATTAAAGTGTATTGACATCTGTAAAAGTAGTCGGTACGAGTGATAATACTCTGCTTGTCGATTATATTTACTCCATGTTTTCATCTGCTTTCATCCGAGCTTAGTGCAGACTAATATTAGTACAGACAGTGTCTCGAACTTTAGCGTCATTATTTTGACTGCTATTTCAAAAAGAAAGCATGGAAAAGTCCGCTAATGTAAAGCTAATCATTCTTCCATTGAAAGTATCAGAGGGGTACCCTTGTGCAGTTCAGCAACCAGTGCAGCGGTTTGTTTTCGTTGTCAATCAAGAGTTACAATAAGGTGTTGGTATTCAATCTGTAAGCGTCTAAATCGATATCAGACTAGTTGCAATTACTATCTGTCTATGCTATATTGGAAAGTAATACCGTGGACGAGCGTATAAATTCTTTCTTTTCCAGGCTCGTTGTATAAATTGAATTGATAAAGTGGTATCCACTGAACCTTACTATTATAAACTTTCGCTTCATGGAGTACAGTCAACGCTACCTGCTTTAGCCTGCTGTAACCGTCATAACAGTCATCTATCGAATCGAGCTTGTCGATTTGATATGCTGTATGAAGGGAAAGAAACATTGATCTATTAGCCAAAATGTAATGGCGTGTAGAATAAGTGAAACAGTGCAGCATGAACATGGCCATGATCAATTGCAAGCAGAAATTGATCGATAGGAATAAGTTGAAAATGAGCAGAGAGGAATTTTTGCATGAACACGAACATGACCACGATCAATTGCAAGCAGAAATTGATCGATAGGAATAAGTTGAAAATGAGCAGAGACGAATTTTTTGCATGAACATGAACATGGCCATGATCAATTGCAAGCAGAAATTGATCGATAGGAATAAGTATGAACATGAACATGGCCATGATCAGTTGCAAGCAGAAACTGATCGATAGGAATAAGTATGAACATGAAGATGGCTGTGATCAATTGCAAGCAGAAACTAATCGATAGGAATAAGTTGAAAATGAGCAGAGAGGAATATTTGCATGAACATGAACATGGCCACGATCGATTGCAAGCAGAAATTGATCGGTAGGAATAAGTTGAAAATGAGCAGTGAGGAATTTTTGCTTTCTATGTCCGAGAAGCGTCCAGTGGAGTACAGTGCACAGTACTCTTGTACTGTACAGCACAGTACAATTGCACACTGTACACTGTACAGTACTGTACTATGTCGTCAAGGGCGGCTTTGAATTGAAGTGTTCGACTAGGACAGTACTGGCCCAATCAGCACAGAGATCATGCATGACGTCATGATTGACGTGACGTAACGGATGACCTGTATCAATAATAAAAGACAGCATACAGTACAATAGAAGCGCTTGGATGATCAAAGCACCGCCTTGAGCTTTATCGCAATCAATAAACAATGTTATCTAGTTCCAGTATAATAATGACCGAGATGACTCAAACGCTGCATTCTTCACCGACATGGTTACCCAATCAAACTAGTCATACAAGCCACAAGCCACACCGTGAGATACATGGCCAAAGCAATTTATTCTTATTGTAATTGGATTTCGATTCAATTATTTATCGACATGATCAATATAAATTGTAGACTAAACATTTTCTTATTTTATTGTTCCAATTGCCAGTCAAAATGAAGATCAATTCGTTGTCCTCGACCCTTTCACTGGCTGTCTTTCTTGCAACATTTTACTGCATCATCGATGGAAAATTGCATTATAATAAGGAGATTGTAGGCGCACATTCCAAGCATGAAGAGTGGATTTCCATTTCAGACCAACATGCTCATCTTACTCAATCGGAAGATGGAATTACTCGCTTATATCGGCATACTATCCGTCATCAACGTTCATTACCAATCAGCCAAAGTAGCAGTAGTAGCAGCAGTAGTAGGAGTAATCAATCGTTACCACAACCTCAACCGCCTCATGTATTAACAAGGGTCGAATTGGTCAATAACACCGACAGACAAATGATATTGAGATATTTTGGCAAAAACAATTCGGTAAGGGCCATCATCATCATCATCATCTCCATCTGTAAACACTATCATGGACATACAATTAGCATCAAATAACGTATAACTTCTTCTTTCATTCACTTTCACTTTTTTTATTTGATGTCCTTTCCTTTTGTCATACTGCAATAACTCAGGGTAGCTAGCCAAAAGTTGAAAGTGCTTGAAAGGATATTTTTTTCGACCCTTTTCCAACCACTACTCACTGATCACTGACACGATACGAACGATCAATATCGAGTGTTGGCACGCTCACTCGTTGAGTGTGCCAATTTCTGATAGCGAAGCCCCCAATTGATAAGACTAATCATCATTAGCCAAAGAGAATTAGTTCAGAAAGTCCATGGAAAATGGCATAAAGATCCCTAAATGAGTCTCTTATTGCAGTACAGTGTATAATCCGGAAGAAAACCAACCTATTTCATCCACGATCACGGACTCATGGTGATGTGACAACATGGATAGGATAGCAGCGATCAAGCGACTTAACTGAATAGGCTGCCGATGATGATCCATTTCGTCGTGTGTATTTTATTCCCATCATTCCATTTTCAACAGCTTGCCGTATTGTAATCAAAAATGATCGTAGTATAGTTATTTCACAAGGGTAGAGTTGACCGCTACAAATGGCCGCTTTATTATCCTATTCATTTTTCAAGCTAGTAATGCAAATCGTGACTTGGAAGATATTTCGCATCTAGTCAAGCTTGAGTTCGTCCAATCGGTATTCGAAATTGACGATGGCTTCCGGATGCTCGCCTGACTTTAATCAGAAATAAGTCTACTATATAGTCGTAGTGTGAGCTATTTCCAATTTGTGTTACAATTGTATTCATCTGATTTCATTTCTAGCTGTTAAATCCATTCGCTACTATTGCTAAAATGATAAGCTCATGTACCTTATGAGTAGAATCCATCAACATCATTTCTGCATATCTTGACGGGTTACTTTCTTTAGATGGATAGCAACTGGAAATGGTTCTAGTTACCTTGCCATCTATAATTAATCATTTTTCAGTGAGGTATTCTGTTAACTAAAAATGATCCCTTCAAGACAAGTAGTAGTCAAATGGTACAATTCTGTCGAGTTTTCTTTACGCTTGTCATCCGCTAGACGAGTATCTATTACCCATTCTTGTCATCGACTTTTTAAATTGCAACATACGATGAACCAATTTCACGATCGTTGTCATTCAATCGTAACAGTGTCTTACCACTCATACTAGATGGCTACAACAATTTTCTCCTATCTCTACCTAAACTTTTACGTATGTGAATAATTTTTCAGTAAGAGATGGCAAATTTTATAGTTCAAAATGACAATCTATCCTAGGTGTGCTACATCGTGATAGGATTATTTTTTAGACTCAATATCTCTGAATTCGAAATTAGGTATCAAAAATAGCTTTTTCATCATGCTAGTAATCCTAACTAGAATACTGTAAGCGATCAGAATAGGATATGGATACAATGCGATCGAGTAATTCGCAAGATTGAACGGTAATTTGTAGTGGTAGATCAAATTTTTCCATATGGCAAGTCAATGTCATCAAGTCTCATGAAAATCAAGTTGACAAACTGATGATATAACTACAGACTATATGCTTGACCTTACTGTAGAATGATCGATCCTGAATTGAGCCGAATAGATCATATACAGAAATGCCTCCTTTGGAGAAGAAAATACGATTAATAATGCCGAATAAGATTTCAAAAATGATCATCGTAGATTCCTCTTTAGCTTTCAAGTATACACGTATACACGTTTACAGTATTTGATTCTGTTGATACTTTATCTTACTGGCAACATTATTATATTACCATTTCCTCAATATCAAATTAGTAATAATGTATTGTAAATGAAATTTCAATATTTGATCGTCGAATCCGTACGTCTATTTTAAATGGCTGCTTTATTGTAACTTCATTAATGTTGATTTGCTTTCTTTATGAATCCATTACACTGTCGCTTGCAGAACAAGCAAGCGAATTTCAAATCCATTATAGCTGATTTAGTTGTATCCTACATTCGACACTTATTGTATCGGCTCAAATGTATTTCCTTCTTGCTCATAATATCATCAGCTGCAATAAATAGACAGAAGGCGTTCTTACTTAGCCTTCACGATCTTTGTCATGTTAGGACTAGAAATCGACAGCTTTGTCCCGATCTATAAACGTTGCATATATCCATGCGTTAACGTTTGTGTTGAAAAGAAAGTTTTTAGTCCTTTAAACAAAAGTATTATGTAATGAAAACAATGAATTGCATGCGTAATTCGTAAAGTCGCCGAAAATCGACATGGATAATAAACTCCGACCTTTCTCTATGCATAGGCAGGATATGAATGACTATTTATGAATTATAGTCACCTCGCTATTTTACGTTATTATGATATCTGAGTAGTTAGCAACTTTAGATTGCTTTTACGTTGATAGAGTAACAATCAACTCATGCTTTCTTTTAATTTAACAGTAGTCTTAGTTCTGATATAGACTACTTTCTTTTATGCGATAAATTGACTTAATATAACTTTGATCTTCTTTTTTCAAGTTTATTATTATAATAACCATCAAACGCAAAGGCTATGCAATCACCGACACTACTGTCTATAGGTAAGCTTTTATCTTGCTTTGTATTTTAACTCCTGCAGTGTTTGATTTTCAATAAAGCAACATCACCTGATCATTTTGATGAAAGATTCGATTAAATCACTTTATGCAAGGAATAGATTGAAATTAGAATATCCAAAATACTAGTGCACTTGTCGGTATAGTATTATCTGGTCGAAAAGGATAATACTGCGACACTATAGTCCCTTGTTGCCTACTTGCTTGCATCAAAGATTTGTCTCATTTTCCAAGCATGGCAACATCAAGTTTTAGTAGACAAAGGTATTTCTGTAGTCTATTATTAGATAGCCATTGCTCAATAACATCGGCATAGTCTATACGATAAAATCTGTTAACAATCGATAGTCTTGCAATGAGTAGGATGAACGAGTCAATTCATCAATGGATAATAAATAATGCATTAATGTATAATGTATTTAATTATGTAAATGTACTTGTTTTGACGATGCTGATATAATTTACTCTCTTGTTCAATGTTGATAATAGTGAACGGTTAATGTGGTACTTTATACGATAGCCCTTAGATCTCTTGCTGTCGATATGTAAGACACCGGCCATTGAAGAGAGAGGGGGGGGGGGACTAAGATAGAAATATTTACAGAATATAGCCATATCGTATTCACAGAATTTAATACACTTTAAGGTTATTGCATTAATACTTTTTAATTTATAATCCTATAGTATATTTCAACCAATTCGCTATTGACCCCTGACTGAACCTAATTATGAGCTAGTTCTGATGCAACTAATTCTTTATCAAGAACTCTTAATTTAGAAGTCATTACGTAAAGATGGTAATTTAAAAGACACAGGTACACCATGTTACCAATTATCAAACTAAACAATGGAATTTGATATATATTTTACACCATAAAAGCATTTATGGCCTATATCAAATACAATTGGTACCAAAGTCCATAATCAGTTAAAATAATAATGCGGGCCATGAAGGATATAGATGGTAGCATATGCATATATGGCGTTTACTGCTTATTGTTGCCTGTCTGATAATTTAATATGTGATACTGCAGATTGATATGTCAAGAAAGGATGCTGAAATTCTTCAGTTTTAATGATTAAAAAAGAAGGAAGTACGCTACTTAACTATATGAAAAGTTTAGAATGGGTGCTTATGATGCAGTAGATTCATTTATATTCTGCTGGATTTTCAAGTATTGAGCTTAATTGCTACAGCATTCGTACTTCTTACTTCGTATGATCGAATTGAATTGTTTCTATGTTACAGCAGTAAAGGCCAGATGATTAATGACTTATCGATATAACCAGTCTTACGCCCATAGATGTTTCCGTTACGAATAGAGATGATAAACTAAATAGCCTAGAGAAAGATAAAAAAGATCACTACAGTAATAAATGTCTGCTTTCTACCATTCGAAAATAACATGGTGACATTCATGTTCAAATAACTTGTCAACATTAGCGCAACCTTTACAAATAATGACAAAGTCATTTGAAGTAGGTTCGATAATTTCAAAAAAGTGTAGAAACTGACATTGAAAATACTGTAACATTAGTTATATTCAGTATGAAAGTAGCTAGAAAGAAATGAAACTATAAATCTATTTCAAACCTTTCTAATTCTTGATTTCAATTACTTGTAAAACAACACATTTATAGATGGTAGCAATCTTTTAATCTGATAAAATGTTGTCATAGGTCTCTATAGAAAAGGGACGATCGTGTCTATCTTTTAAGGCTATACATCTATCGAACTACGGTAGCTTGAAATTATAAGCCTCTGTGTGGTAGATGTAAATCTTAAAAGTAGCACTGATGGTATTCTTGATTTTTTTAAAGCTTCTTAGATACTAATTGAATTACATATCTGTAGATCTGCTGATAATGGGGCATCCTTCCAGCGTTATGATCAATTCCGTAATACGATTATATCATCCATGGCTATTCATAGTCTATCACCTATGCAGGTAAACAAAATGGACACTCAAGCACAGTGCAATAGACGTTCGCTTTTAATGGAATTGATCACTAGAGTTTATGATCTTCTCGTAACCGTCGAAAATTGAATTATTCACATTTTGGACTTTGCTCGTAATGTTCTATTCTTGGCTCAACCTCCAGATATAGCTATGATCTAGATATGTAGCTACAGCTGGAAAATGATTAATTACAATACTATACTCTAAAGACGATAGGAAAGACGAAGTTCATTGCTATCACGTATACGAAGAAAATTAAAATGACTCACTATAGACGTTATTGATTTGCTGATAATCTTTCAATTGACTTACCATGTCAATCATATCTCATTTAGTTTTGCTTTCTTTACCATCGAACTGTTTACAAGTTAATACATTAAAAAAATCAATATTTATTCATTACTTTAATATGATTTGTTCGATAAAAAAAGTAACCGTTACTGATCTATTTAAATTTATTAAGATTGTATTATATTACATAGGTTTACTAAATCATGGTGTAATCTTATTCATTAGGGGATATTAATATTTGAACTTCCTTCGTCTATTTAAATTTTAGCTAATATTGATATCAAAGAGTGCCAAGCAAATCTATTACTCTTCAGATGCTGGAACCACTTTCAGTAATGCCGTCAAGCTTCCTTTTACGCCTTCTAAGATAGTGTACTGTAATGATAATTCATCCTCCAATTTACTTGGCTATGATGCCGTTACTACAACGGTAAATTCAAATTTTTACTCTAGTAGTTGTAATGACGTAAAATTTCTTCAGCGATATCTTATTTTTTAACTATTACCTTCAATTTAGCCCTGAATACGTTTAAATTGTTCATTGATGATATAATTACGACTTTCAGAGACAACTTGCTGTTGGTATATTCACAATTAAAAATCATCTGTATTAACAGTAAATTATTTCTTTATAGCTTTATCTATCGAAAGACAATGGTGCTACTTGGAACTTGTTAAGGAAATCTGTTTCTAGTTCTTTCTTTTGGTATAGTAGCTGCAAGTCGTGATTGCATGATGATTATGTGTACTTAAATTTACTAACAGCATAATATTTCATGACTTCAATTATTCTTTAGGGCTTTGCCAACGTTCGATTCTGATCTTACGACTATTTATTATGAAGTTCTACTTAAAGTTGGATCTAAGACTGTAGCTAGAGTTATAGCACATAGTATTTCAAAGGGAATAAAAAGAATATTTGATGCATCGATGGGATATACTGTAAAAGGCAGTTTGGTTGTCTCTAATAATTACATATTTAGCATGGTAAGATTAAATTAGTACTAATGAATTTGTAATACCAATTTTAGAATTATTAGTATTGCTATATTGATTAGGACCTTTCTATTGGCAAGGTTTTACAGACCTATAGCGTAAATATTAGTACTATTTATACAATAATAATCTTAAATGGACTAAATGTTGCTGCGATTATTCGTTAATTCTTAAATATCCTCAATATTGTATATATATTATCCATCTCTTGTATAACTGTTTAATTTTGTAGAAAGTGAAATCATTTGTTAATAGTACAGAAGAATTGCTGTTAGTGTCCTATAAGCGAAACAAATTCATACATGCCAAATTTCCAGTTCTCGACCTTCGCCGTGTAAGAATTTACTATTAATAGCTGGGCTATAAATGTTTATAATATTCTCATTGACTAATCCAATCCCTCTTGGTATTTGTACTTGTAGGGATTTTTACTTGTTTATACCGACGATAACGAGGTTGTTATTGCTGTCAATCATGCTTTAAATTTAACTAATGTATATGTTTCCGATGAAACTGGGGTATATTATGGATTGGCCATCGAGCGTATACGAACATCGCACGATTTTACCTGGTTATTCGGTAGCCCGTCAGTTCAATTTAGAAAAATTTCTAGTATGCCCGGAACTTACATAGCTGCGCAACTGAGTAACGGAAGATCTCCGAGGCCAGTAACTAAAATATCGTACGATAAAGGAGCCAAATGGCACCATGTTGTAGCTCCCAAAAAGGATCGTAATGGAAATTCTATTAACTGTATTGCCCCTTCATGTTCATTGCATCTACAATTTTACTCGCGTTACAGTTTCTACTCAAGTTCAACTTCACCTGGATTGGTTATTGGGTTTGGAAATTGGGGAAGTTATTTCGGTCAAAGGCTATCCTCCATGTTTATATCAGATGATGGTGGATATACATGGAAAGAAATGCCATTTAGAAACGCCTATTTTACTGCTTTAGATCATGGCTCAGTCATTGTTGCAGCAGGTTATGACGAGATTGCTTCAGGAACTTTTATTAGCTATAGCTGTGACGGTGGTAGTAGTTGGAAAAAGTTAACATTTTCTAACGAAAGAATTAGAATTACTGGACTCGTTGTGGAACCAGGATTTACATCATTATTCGCTACTGTTTATGGTACTAAAGTATCCAACGAATGGGTATTAGCTAGACTAAATTTTACTAGTGTATTGGCTCGAAGGTGTCAGGTCTCCGATTATCGAGTGTGGATTCCACGAAATCCGTATACTTATGCAAATTGTACTGTTGGTGTATTTATGGCTTACCATGTACGTAAGCCAGAATCTTGCTGCTATAACGGCCAAACTTTCGTTCGCCCAACAACTTCTACTCGATGCCCCTGTTCACGAGAAGATTTTGAATGTAATTATGGATTTATACCAACAGCTCACGATTGCTCAGTTGTTTCTGTTGATCAGAAGGAATGTGATGATGGCGCTAACTTTTATTATACTTCAAAATATCGTAAAATTCCTGGTAATCAATGCATAAGTGGTGTAGAAAACAAGCTATTGGAAAAGATCCGTTATCCGTGTAGCATAGCATTCACTCCTGCACCGAACTCCAACGGTATGCATGAAATAATTTTGAGTTAGTGCCTACATCTACGAATTCGGTATTTCTATGCATGTATTTAAAAGTATTTCCTTTGTTGATTATAAATTTGATATTCTAGGATCCAGTATGGCATTGGCTATTGTTTTACCCGTTGCCGTTATAGTTATAGTACTCATAGGGCTGGTATACTGTAAATATCGAAGAACTAACGAACCCTTTCTCAGGTACGTATATTATAGTCTTCTTATGATACTAAAGCATATGGACTCTTCTGTATAGCAAACTGTTTTATTTATGACATATTAAAATTAATTACCATGTCATATTTAGTGCAATTCGGCTACGCAGAACAGTTAGTAATCCCATTGAAGCACTGGTGGAAGACGATGCCTGCGAAGAATATAGTAGCAAGCCTTCTAGTGTAGTATAAACAACACCTCATACTTTGAAATAAGCATCTATATAGTCCTTTTATTGCCTATGATACTGAAAGTCTTACGTTATTATTAGAATGATACGACACCGGTAATATTGTATAACTCTCTTATATATCATGAATTGTAGTGCTATAAAAATTTTAAAAAGCACTTTAGTAGTTATCATAATTTATTAATTTATAATAAATCCCTGATAAGCACAAACTTTGAAGCTCCGATACATATACGATGATTTCAGTATTTTGTTGTTTGGCATGGATATAACTTCTAAATAGGTATAATGATTGCTCAGTAAGTTAGTGAAATAATGATTGCTTAGCAATACTTATTTCCGAACACATTCATTGGTGTGTAAGAGATGTTGACAGCATTTTAGAATAAATTAATCCTATTTAGGGCTGTCCGTTGAATTAATCAAGATATTTTAACAAATACCTTAGCATTAAGTGGGGTTGTGCAATTATTTACCGTATTTACTGTTTCTTGCTAAACTTAAAATTTTCGCGTTAGCTATGATGGTGATCTTATTTATTAAACATGATGGTTAATCCACGTAATTTCTCGATTTCTCACATCAATCTACGTAAATGACTTGTATTAATGCTCATACTTTCAGTGTCAAGTCCAATTCCAGTTTCGATTTTCGTTTAGGCAAAAAATGGACAAAGATTGTAGAATCGTTTACTTAATGTTAATTTAACTAAAAGTTATTGTTACTGTAATAAAATCATTATTACAAAATAAAGAATTTCTTGGTAAATGTAGCTACCTAAGTTTTATTCCAATATTTTACTTGATTTAAACCCAATCGCATTTTAAATCTTATCAGTAATAAGAATTATTAATCGTATTCTTATTAATATCTATTATAAGATTTTGACGTACCTTATGGATTCGTAGATGTAAATTAATTTTAATGCAGTATAAATAGTATAAACTATTAAGGCCTTTAAAGCTTAGTGGTTAATTTTTATTTGTAGTAGTAAATTGCTGAAAAATACCTATTCTATATTGTTGTGCCTAGGTATTCATATTCATAAACATCGAAAAATCTATCTGCTCGATGCGCTGAAAGGCCATGCTGATAAGTAAGTTCTCAGTCATACATTTCGTGCATTAATTAAGCCCATTTTGTGTTAGCTCGTAGTGATTTCCATAATTAGAAACATGTATATTAACAATAAAACACTAATAAATAGAATCATGATGATAAATTATCAATATCATTAAAGATCTAACTGAAATTTTAGGATTTCTTACTAAGTTTGATCTAATCTAGGTAAATGTTCGGCCATGTAACTAGAGAGATGTTTCATGATATAATTCTAAAATTTTTACACCCTAGGATACCTATCAGTATGGATGATGATGACATTATAAACATTTGAAATAAAAATCTATCAATGAAAAGTCTTATAATACCCTTCGTTTCAATAATAATTAGCGCGTTACATATCGAATAATATGTTCCGAAATATAATTTTCTTTTTTATCTGGTTGTCATTTATGTAAAATTTTTAAGGGTTACTTCGCTAATTGCTCACAACGACTCCTAAGTAAGTATCCTAAATAATTGAATATTTTCATTAACTAAAAGGAATTACCCTATTACAGTAATGGTACAATAAAAGCCTAAGACACACTTGGTTCTTATAAGGAATAAATGCGGAAATCTTCATTTACTGTCTTCTAAGATTTGACACAATGATCTCATAGTATCAAAACACAAGCTTCGAGTAACTTATTGAGTAATTACAGAAGATGAAATATGTTGAATATATTTCTTTAGAAGATTATTGTTAATTAATCAGTACGCGAAGAAGAATTTATTAAAATTTTAAGTTTCAATCGATAATGACGTTTATTGCCATTTAAAAATGTGTTGTCATCTTAGCATATAAGTCAATATGCTTAATTCAGATTTCGCTTCAGACATTTTAATTAGTAATAGGACTGACAATAGCATGAAAAATTAATATGACCTTAGTCAGCGTATCTAAATAATTTTATTTTCATTGCAATTATTAATAGGACTTACAATAATTTAAAATGTATTTGGACTTATTGATTCATCGTAAGTTAGAATGACGAAAATTTTATTTTATCGTGGTGTATATTAAGTTTGTCAACAATTTAAAAATTTGTTACGATCTTATAAAGCTATAAATCAGTGAATCTAAAACTTCTGTTTCATTGTTGACTTATTAATTATAAGAATATCTATAACTAACTAAGTTATTATTAACTTGTTTTAAAATATAATAGTTTGTACGGCTTTCTAATATAACTTTAAATAATAGGTAGCATATTTAAAAAGGTTATACGTAGAAAACATGATATTATTATTTTTTCTTAATTTCTATACAATGAAAACTATTCTTTCAGATATTAGACTAAAGAATTCAATAGATTAATTAAGATAAGTAATAGATGCTTAGATAGCAGATATGGATTGAAAAAGAAATATCTCGCTGGATTTATTATACTAAAATTTAATTAAAACATAAAATTGGTTGATTTTACTTGCTTAAGTTTCACACGCAGATATTTTAGTTGATCAGCTAGAACTCTTATTAAAGTTGCATGTTACACCATTATTTGAAAATATGCTACATTAAAGAAATTTTCATAAATAAATAAAATTTTATTGATAAATTCATATTTAAATATCGATAAGGTTACTCGCGAAATAGCTTTAAAGCTATTATTGTGAGAGATATAATAATTTCTCTTTCGCTAAATCGGCAGGTGATAGTCCGCTATTTTTATTATGAGTCATATAGTAATGATAAGTATTACGATTAATTGATCACTGTTATTGATTAGGTAATGAATTGACTATATCGAGCAAAAAGTAAGTCAAAAGATCATATAATTGAATGTAGAATAAAATATGGGCTTGCTATAGAATGCTCAAGATTTTGCTTATTGATATCAAATGTTCGTTTTTCATTCAGATGTAAAATATAGTTTTTTTTCTCAATTTAAGTAAAAGTATATGATGATTATTGATCTTGATTTTATCCATATACGATAGCATACAAGATGTTATTATAATTATTGAGCCCTTTTGTGAGATACTGACTTGGAAATCGTAAACTAAATAAATTTCTGTTCCAAAGATCAGCATTAATAAATTCCGAATATTATTCAGTCTTCGTTTTGTGATCATCTCTCAGATTGCTACTGCAGTATAGTGTTTTTCACCGCGACAGGACTGATTATATATTATCATTAAACTTAGTAGATTTATACTTTATTAATTTAGATAGAGTAGACATTGGCCCACGCCTGCAATTTAGATGGTAGGCGAAAGAAGCTGCCTGTCTCAGTTTCACTCCTTATAATGCATATAATTTACATAATTTCTCTTAAAATTAACTATTGCAATGAAATAATTATAATCTATAGCAGATTATATAGTATTATTACGAATATCTTTCAGAATTAACGATTCAGTCACTATTAGTTGATTATGAAATTATTACAGCGTTATGATCAGTTTTATTATTTCAACGGCTTCACTACTGCTATTGATTAGTCATTATTTACCTACACTTTATAACAAAGCATAATGTTAGTTTGTTAAAAGTAACTATATCAGTTGCCACTCTTATCTATGTATTTAATATATTTTCTTCAATTCCAACTGTCAAGGGCGTTACAAATATCAGCTTTTTGAAGTTAAAGCACACATTATTACGATACAGACTAGTTTAAAGTTCAACTTATCCACTATGCATTCCTATTACTGATTTAATTATTCACTGTTACAACCAGCTTTTTCGTATTATTTAGTTACGTAATTACATTTATAAGTGCAGCTTAATACTTCGAATCAAATCTTATAAAGTTCCCAATTTTAAAAAGGCTTTAAAAGAGTTAATAAATAGCAAAACTTGTAATATCGTTATGTTAATCAAGAAAAATGACCAGAAGAAACAAATACATGAAGCCTATACCGCTTTCATTGCATACTTTGCATTAATAAAAATGTAACAGTACCGGCAGTGAATTCGTTAGCCGCCTTATTCATAAATCAATTTAAATATTTAATATTACATTCTACTATATTACGAATTTTAGTGGTTGTTAGTGCCAAGCGAGAGTGGATTATGCAAATCTTTGATAGTATTCTTAATTAGAGCTCTTCAAGTAGCTTATCTGTCTTGAATATTTAAGTAGCAATATTTGTTTTACCACTTATCGAAATACACTTGCTGTTTGTATGACAACTATTGGCTGTTTGCAAATAAATCAGATTTCAAATGTGATTTTGCTCAAGCAAGATTAGTGAAGCCCGTACTTCAATACTTAATAAGATAATATAACGAGTCTAAAACACTCAGATTGCTTAGAGTTATAAATTAAAATCAAGCTACCTATAAAAATAGATAAGTAGATGGCTATGCCTAGTCTGCTGCAATCCGATTCCACTACTAAGATATCAGAAAGTATTTATATTATAACTAAATTTAAAGAACTTACTGAGCCGTAATAAACTGGTTTAACTTATAAACCATGGTAAAATACAATTTCAGGAGCTGTAACAGAATCACGACAAAAATATTAAGTTACTACTACCGAATCTCATGATCCTTGCAATGATTTACTAACAATAAAAGTATACTGCGGAATCTATCTGCATATCTATCTAATGCAAGAGCAGTGTATTATTCACGAGTATTCTTTATTTAAATATATAGAATAAATGAAGCTAAAAACATCCTTAACTAGAGAATAAAAGTTTATTGATATAGTTAACGTATATTCTATGAGCGCAAATACAAGTTGCGGGTTGCAAGATTAAGATTCATATGATGAATTAAAAATATAAATCAATTTTCCCCTAAAAGTAATAGATAGGTACGTATTCGAAAAATGTAATTTTTTACTGAATACCAGTAATAACTGCATTATTCTGTCTATTAAAAGCTTTAAATCATATCTAATGGAAAGTCGAAAATAAAATAGGAAATATAAAGAAATTGTAAAACTACCATGGTAATGCTAAAATTATATTTTAATTTTATCTAGCTTATTAAAGCGATTTAAATTCTGATGATGATTTAGATTTACGTCGATAAATAGGAATAACAGTGAGGTGCAATCTTATTAATCAGAATGCATTAACCAACAACACTAGCGATAACCTATTTGTAAATTTTGATATGACCTCTTTGCTTGATTCATTACCTTAGAACTGGCATACTACCGAATAAAAACTAAGCGCTTCTTGTTTAAGAGAATAATCAGAATATCTGAGAGAAATGTCTTAAAATACACTTATTTAGTTATATAACCATATTTGCTAATATATCTATTTATTGTATTTCGGAACCAGTTTGAAGTAGATATTAAAATTTAAGCATGAGAATTAGCGCTTTATGATAAATATTTATTCAACATTGATTCCATCTTATAGTGTAATCATGAATATTATACTAGAAGAAATAAAATTACTTATCATTTTACCTTTTATAAGTAGTAATCGTTCCAACTTTGAAATATAGGAACTCGTACTTGATGACGTGAGTGAAAATTAATTTATATTAGGTACATCAATACCCCTGAAAATATAACTTCTGAACTGGACCATGTAATGACTTACAACAGGTAGATCAAGCCTTATCTTACTGTCTTGTAATTATTTTCCTTGAATTTAATTTTTAATCTCTCATAGGGCTTCCTATTTGTTCTTTTAAAAGAATGATATAGCAATAACGTATCCAATAAGCTACGGAGTGCTGTTGGCTGGCACACAGTACTCTGTCATACACTTTTCATGTAGCTTGCAGATCACCACAAAGTTCACCTATTATTAGTAATATGCCTACTGATTGATTCATACAAATTAAATGTATAAAATAATAAAAATATCTTATCAGCTAGTCTAATATAAAATCTGTAAACTTTTACCCAAATTTGTAGCTTAAGATTACTTATGATAGTCACTAATTGAATTATGTATGAGTAGTTTATGATGGTAAACTACTTTATCAATTCTGTTAATATACTCAAGGTAATTTTTTATGCAGATATCTTTTCTAAGCTCAGATAGTAAAATAAAATGATAATCAATACTTCATGAATGAACATTACTAAGATCTTAATGATATATTGAAAGATGCAAACATAAGATGATTTAGTTAAATATTGGAATAAGATTTATATATGATCGACATGAAAGCCTAATAATATGGGATTGACTATCTTGAAGTTGTATTAATTTATATTATAGAAAATAAATTATTTAGTTTTTATGGGATATACTAGCTATTGTGCTTTGAATATTAGCCTGTATGAGTATCTTGACTTGCTTTCCAAAATAACTATCAGCCATTTATTTTCTGTCAAACTTAAGTCTCTTGCTAAAAGCTTAAAATTTAATTGATATTATACATATATTATTTAATAAATTTATTCAATGGTTGTTACTTTTGTCTCTTCAATTTTAATTCGATTACTGTCATTTAGAGGATAGGCGACAATTCGACGACGACTACTCTCCTGATGTATTTTTGTTGCATAGTGGCATAAATAACAACCTAGTCGACGATAAATTTTACGCAACTTAGGATAAATAGCAGCATAAAGAACAGGATTCAGCGAACCATTTAAATTGATCAAGACACCACAGTAAAAGACGACGTAGGGGGAAACATCAACATTACACGGTATTAATATGAAAATAACGATACTATAAGGTAAGATACAAATCATGAAAAGGACGCATATAATAAATAAAACTTTAGTGATTTTAATTTCATTCTTTATCATGATACGCAGTGGTAGATGACGACGTGCTTTCAGTGATGACTGTCTAATATGAATTAGCATTCGATTAGCATTAGCTGATATAAAGGCATAGATACGCCAGTAGCACGCAATTAATAAAATGCATGGAATAACAGAATCAATGATGAATACAAATATAATGTAACTAAAATTATTCTCATCGTGCCAATCAGGTAAACAAGTAAATTCAAAGGGATGATAGGTATAACGGCTCCAGCCAAGCCATGGCATCGAGCAATTGAGGATAGCATAGCACCAAGTTGTTAAAATGATACGACGGACAACTGTAGTGGTAATTTTTCTTGCATATGAGCGAACAATGACTAAGTAACGACATATTGCAGTAGCAGCTAGAGTTGCTGTCATAACAACATGGCCTAAACTGTTAATAAAGCCACTTATATTGCAAAAGAGATGGGTATACGGTTCTGGACCCATTATTAAGCCGATCAATACGAAATTATTGCGACCCATAGCGTTAAGAATGTCTGTTATAGCTAAATTAATAATGAATAAATTGCTGGGAACACGTAGATAGGGATATAGATAAAAGGTGTATAAGACGACGATATTGCCAACGACAGTGCTAGCTGTTAATATAAGATAGATGCTAACGGATAGGGATATTTGGCCACTGGAGATATAGCTACTATCCATATTTGATGTTTCATGTGATGTATGATTTCCGATCATGTCATCCGATGGATACCTGAAAAATGTTAAAATTATTGAAGTCAAGTCTGCTATTGTGTAAACGGTTAAGGATATCAAAACTATGGTAAGTTATGATTTATGATAAAAGTATAAAATGATGTATGCGAGTACACGAAAAAAAAACAGCCTTACATTTTATAATTAAAGTTCTATTTGTGAAAATCGTTCAAGAAAGAAATACGAATAAACAGACCGATAACCTAATGAATGTAAAAACCAGAAGTTATAGAAGATTTGTGAAATCGATGTATAATTATTATAACTTCAATCACATACTATGATAACTTTTTCTCCTAATCTAAAGTGTGAGCGGGTACTAACATTAAAATTCTATCCTCTAACAAAACTATGATAATAAAACTGAACGATAGATTAGACTAAATGATCATAAAGGCGATTAATTTGTTCATTCATTATTAAATGCTAACGTAGTGGAGTCTTATATTGATCTTGTATCATAATTAATATGCCAGTCTGTAGTGCCAAAGAATCAATAAAGCAAAAACCAAATTATCGCAAGATGAAAAAGGATAACTATAACGTTATAACACTAACGTAGGCAAGGATAAAATTATTCCCGCTTAAAGGGTGAGCAAACTCTTTTTTCCTTACCACTACCCATCTATAGTAAGATTGCCATTCACCTTGATACTTAGAACATGTTAAAATAGAAGAAAATGGAGTTGAATTTGCTCAAAATATAAAACTAGTACGCAAGTAGTTAGAATAGGATATATTTGAAGATCTAAAATAAATCATTATTATAAGCATACTCGTCGATGAATTTTGATAATAAGTACATGGTATAGAAAGATCTGGTAATAAGATTTGAAAATCAAGCAGAATAGTCCAAAAGATGCTAGCTTACCACATATACACTTAGGTAAAAGCGTTTCCAAAAAGTGATATATTATAAGATAGGTATAACCAAGATAAGATTAAGACTAAGAATAAAGCTCGATTAACTCTACTACAGAGATTCAAATTTGCCTTGGAAATGAACTCAGAAGTATTTCAGAAATTTTCATAATACATAAAGTCAGTCCTACTTTAAAACCTACTTTAATATACTTTTGGAAAATATTTTATATATTTTGCAATAAATAAGCTGATACTACAATAACCGGATTTGATGTATACCGATTCCGTAAAGATCGGTAAATGATTTCTTATTGTTTTTGTTACGGATATATATGGGCTTCAGCTGTTAATTTTACTTAACAAGATTTACTAAACTAATTAGTGATTTGCTTCTAATCCTTTTGTCTGCCTATATATAAGCATAAGATTTGAAATTATATGTTTATTCTGTAAATTTTGCATACTTTCCTGGTCCGTATTTAGTACTGATTGAACAACTCATCTCTGATTGTCATCAAATTGATTTCACAGTCAGTTCAGGCTAGCTGTGATCCATCAACGCTGTTATCAGGAAACATCATACTTTTCTGGAGGTCTAGGACTAAGTAACGTACAACGGTACAAGAATGAACCGGTAAATGAGAATAAAAAGCTAGTATTATATTGCTAAACTCTAGTTTTCCTTAAGAAATAACACGGCTGCTTTCCTAAATCAGATAATCAAAGTCTTAACTGATGAATTGCGTGTTAAGTTGGAAAGTTGAATGATAGCATCCAAATTGCGATAATAATTTTTTTCCGTTAGCGAATCAATGATTATAATTATAAAAGTTACCGTATTGATTCGGTTCTTGAATTTTTAATGTTATGCTAACATTTAAATCATTGTTGCGTAAATGCATATGCTAACCGAATAGTGCCGTGACAAATTTCTTCTTAAAATTTTTGGCAAGAAGGTATCGTGAATATAAAATGTTTTAGTACAGAACAGGATATTGCAAGCGAAAATAATAAGGAAATCAGTAATTGAAAATTTGAATAATTCTATTATTACGGTGCTTATTTGCTACGTCGGTTCAATTGAGCTGGAATTATCGCTTTGGCGTAGGCGTTGTGATTAAAATAGTTTATTTATCAGAATTAACATTCAGTGGTGCTAAAGGCAAATAATTAATCGATACCTGAATCTTGAAACAATCGTTGAATGCGTAAGCTAATGATACAAGGCAAAGATCTTCATTTTATTCAGTACAACAACTATGAAAAGCTGCAGCTGCTGAATTTGAAGATAGCATGATTTTTATTTCTATTTTATCTATCGGGAAACACTGTACGCGCAGACGTGATAATTAAGCAGACACCTACTCATGATGGTGCTATTAGCAATTGTTGGATAAATTCTCTTGTATTTAAAATCATGATAGTCTATAGCTGAATAGACCCATAGTACAGCAATTATTTGTGTCTAACGATGGCAGTAGTTAGCATAGTCTGCATCTGTCTTCCTAAATTAAAATTAATTTATTAAATAGAATATCGTGACGTTATTTGACGGCAAATTATTTCATTTGTCTAGCTATTGTATCACAATTTGTAAGAAACGACGTCAGGTCACTGTAAAAGCCGATTAGATTGAATTGCCACGAAACTAAATTCTGCAAAGCTATAACTTCCATAATACTGATAAAAGATCAAAATAGGTGGATATAATTGATAAATTGATCTTTACCAGGAAAACAATCTTGTCTTCACCTGAATAAGGTATGACTGAGGAGATATGTACGTATCTTTGCTATGGAAAGTTTATTTTAGTCTTAGAAATTTTGTTTGCTCACTACGTCTTATACAGATATATTTCTAATATTGTTAAGTGCTAGAATAATTAACCTCTCAGTAACGTATTTGATATTTGACCTCTTTATCCTGTATTCTTATCAATATATTTCCACATTTTACCGTATTATTTGTTTGAAAGGATTTACATTACAAGTAAACTTTGGATACTTTAGAACTTTGAATTTAGTGCATTGAGATTTATTTCATATAGCACAGAGTAATTAATACATGTGTGCGTTATACTAGCATAATGCGATTCTGTGGCACAGTAATTTGTATTAATTTGCGCATGTATCTGATATATTATTTCTAATTATGCTTTCCATGCCCATCAAAAAGCATAGAATAATATTTTAGCAGCAGTACTGATATTAATCTTAATAAATTTTACATATGTGCCTGAAATAGGTATGCAATTTGTTAAGAGCATTACATAGCTTAATAAATTCATGAACTAAGTAGATAAAGGAATCTTGTGAGTATTTTCCTGTAAATATGTTTGATATTGTATTCTTAATTATTTTGGCTAGGGATACTTTGGATACGTGCCTAAATTAGCTAAGTAACATGTTTCGAGCATCATACAGCACAATAATCTCATGAATTACGTAGAAAAAGGAATCCGGCGAACATTTTCCTGCAAATATGTTCGATTTGATCATCCTAATTGCATTATCTATGCTTATACAAAGCATAAAACAATATTTTAGTAATATTGGCGATATTTATTCTACATATGTGCTTGAATTAGCTAAGTAACTTGTAGTGCGTATTATAAAGTATAATAAACTTGTAAAATAAGTAAACGAAGGAATCTTGTGATTATTTACGGTAAAACGGTTTGATATGCTATTCCTAATAATCTTTTCCATCCTTAAAGGAAGAGTAAAATAATATTTTAGATATAATGATGACATTAATCCTACCTATTCTATATATATATATATCTGACTTGGCTAAGTAGCTCATGAGCACCATACAGCATAATAAACCTGTAAACTATGCAGATGACGGAATCATACTTTTATCTTCAAATCCAGTCGTTTTGTTTGTTATGGTTGCTGCCATGTTATAGATCTAATTTAAAACACGAAAAAACCCAGTACATAATCATAAGGACTGGATTGTATAAAAATATGATTTAGCATTAAATTTTGCTAGATCTTAAGTTTTATTCTTGGATCAGTAATAGATTTGACGACAGGTGGTAATTTTAAAAGATAGCTTCATTCATTCAGTTATATAGGCTAGTTCTATAAAATGTTTAGGCGCACTTTTCAGGGCACATATTTCTGTGATTTATGATATTAGGGTGTAGAAAAATATGTTCTATGGTAATTCCCGACTACAAACAGCAAGATGACGCCACCAGTCCATTGGAAATTAGGGCGTCAAAGATACTTGATTTAGGCATTAGAAATAGTTGGGTGTATTAGTGGGTAATATAGAGCCGATGGCTGTAGACTCAAATGAGATTATACGGCACCTCTATGTAGCAGAAAGTTCAGCTTGAGATCAAGCAGTGTATAGATTACGTAGTCTAAGTCTGTTACTGTGATATTCAATCATAAAATCAAGTAATAAACTGTTTTTATCTTCTAACTAGCGAGGTGATTTATTGAGTGGGCATTCCATAGTAACGATAGAAATAGTACATATCATATAGAGTTTTAGAATATTCAGCGAATTTCTCCATCTTTGACCTTTCACATAGGTAATTAGAAATTTGTACCGTCAAAGCTATTCATGTTTAATGGTCAACTAAGACTGCCGCATTATGTTAGTACTAGAGTAGTAAGTTGATGCTGCAGCAAATACGTTATTAATTCGATTGTGGTATTCTTATGTAGGTAGTCTACCGAGTAGAATTAATCTGTTCCTGGATGTAGACTTATGTAGATTTTATTGATGTAAAATTTTATATGCACTATACTGTTAGAATCAGAGTTTCTGTAAGGGAATTAAAATCCTTAAACGGCTTATGTAAACAGATTTTAAATTTTGGAATCTGACAACTGTTAGCGATTATGTTGTCTAAATATTGGAAAGAGTAACCTTTCATGGATGAGTTGTAGAATATATACTTGCCGACGTGCGTTTATATACCAGTAAAATACTCTAAATACTGATTACATATATAATATGTATTATGAGAAGACTAATGAGCTCCCGCTAGGGTGAGTACCTAAATCACCTATGTTCAATAGAGAACTTTATTAGCTGTACAGATCATGCAAACCACTCAAGTTTGATCCTTAAAGTAAATTAGATTAATACTGATGACTTGAAGTAAATAAGATCTAGATTGAACTTTATTGTTTGATTAATTATTCACTATTATATCGTAGTCTTGAATGATGGGCTCAGGTTTAGATTTTAGCACTAAAGCATAAATGAAGAATTTATGTGTATCTGTATACCGTACTTTATTTATATTTGACTACACGCTTAATACATTAGGCAATAATGCTTTTTAAAGTTGTTCATTGACTGTTGTATAATATATTTCTTTATCTTAAAATTAGATTAAATAGCTGAATATAGCGAACGGAATTATAGGCATATTTGAAAGGTTTAAATTAACCAAATTTCAAATCAAAATGTTAAATTCTACTAGTTACTAGAAACGAACAGCAGCAAGGCAAGTTATTAATTTTATCCAAATATTTTAGACTCAGATTCATAAAAGAATCAAAATAGGATTTATTTAATAATGTACTGAAATTAGTGCTAACTTGGTAATAGGATTAAGGAACTTTAATATGATCGTATTAGAATTAAAATCTTCGAGACAAAGCAATAACGCTAAAATATTTCAATATCGGATGTTGCTATATTTACCAAAGATATTTAATAAATTATTAACTGGAATACTACAATATTGGATGCAATGCTATAGATATTGAAAACACCTGGCATTATTAATTGCATTAGCTTATGGGGATTCGTCGTTATTAAATTAGGCAGCTATTGAATTTGCGCATCTATAAATAAAAATATTATTTAACTAAGAGTGATTAAAATTCGAAGCACCTTCAAATTGTGATTATTCTCTCGCCAACAATACAGATCGAACGTTCTATTTAGAGTAATACTGTAATACCGAATTTTTACCGGGTGTTTTAGACGAAAATAAATACTAACGCCAATTCCTTTCAACTTATAGGCTTGAAAATATTTGATATCCTACGATTAGATGGCAAACGAAAAGACTAATTTTTAAAGATGGCATACATCGGACGGTAATAATATTTTTTTTAAATTGTAGTTAATAAATTCTTTTCTATAACGAAAGGTTACTAGGATAAAATTAATAGTTGCAATCAATTTAAGAGATCTCAAGGTAATAATATCGCATTTAATTGTTGAAGTAGAATAAATGATAATCTTAGATTAGAACTTTAGATAAATATTGATCGTATTATTTCTATCAATAATCTCCTTTTCTCTGCTGTGTGACCTTCAATCCGTGAGTCTTGTTAGGCTTATTATCAATTGCAAATTTCCGAATGTCTATTATCATGTCACACAGCTTACTCGTAATTAATGCTTTATGGGTCTGCTTTAAATTAGCTTTATGATTCGAGTTTATAAATAAATGTTTCGTCTCATTATAATCAAGTATAGTATACATATTATATGGGAGTTCAAGAACTAAATGTAATCCCATTAAGAATGTAATTATATTTCTGTAATCACAAATAGTTACACGGCTTCTACTTCTCTCCATAATATCTTTTAACTATTGGTGCATTGCACTAAGGTTGCTGTCCTTAGATATCGTTAGCCATTCCATCTTCTTATATCTAATTCATACTAAATCAAGATTTCTTAAAAATAAATATTAAGATAAAGCAAATTTTGTTTTCGAGCTGTAGTAGAATCAATAATAATTTTATAGAGCATATCTAAGGGACTTTAATTATAATCAGTACAAGATGTTTAACTGCAGTAAGCATGTTCTTTGAGATAAAATATATATTTTGACATTTATTCCTATTGAATGCATCTGCTAATAGTAGCGAAATATTTATGCCCATGTGTACGATTTTATAATAAATTGCATAAATAAATATTATTTACTGAACAATCATTATGGTTCCCAAAGTGTTGCTGAAACTTCAATATTTTCGAAAGAATTAATTTTATCGCTAATGATAATAGAAATTTTTATTGATTTTGAGTTAATGTGCAGCTGCATGGTGCATAAATGGTAATTAAATGATACATAAAGATGAAAAATTCTGCCTACATTAGGGTGAGTACTTAATCAGTCGCTTCGTAGATATTGATTGATGTTAGCTTTTAATTTGTCTTTGCATAGAATGATACAATAATCATTTTCACTTATTTTATAGGTAAAGTAGCAATATTATAAGATTCTATTATTTAGCATTTGAAAACGTTGGCTGTCGACAAAGTTGATAGGCATGCTTTTTCTAAATAACTAGCTGAGATAGCAATAGAATCAACGGAAATGACTATGATCCTACAGTTAAGAAAAATTGTATTGCGAAGTAAAAGATTTGAAGTAGACATTATTTAATTTTCGACAGCATTATAGCCATATTATGTATTCCGCTTTAATATGTTATACGCCAATTCCAAGAGTATCCTTTCTAACAAGAAATGTCACTTATAGATTCAAGTAGAAAAGCATTTAATCGTATCTATCTCGAGGACTTAAGTTTTTCGATACGTAGATCTCAATAATTATACTATATGAGTATCTTTTCAGTGTTTCTAAATTGAAGTGTAACTTGAAAGCTTCTAAATGATGTATAAAGTCTAAACTGCAGAGCGCCATTTCTGATATCATTTTATAGCTACCGGTAAAAGGCCGGCCGTGTACGGTATATTTAAGCAAAATCTTTTTAAATTGATGAACCTAAAGCATATGTAACGACATTGAAAATAATAGTTTCAGCTCGACTTCGACAATTAATTATTGTCAGATAGCGGTTACTAATAGTGTAACTTCTGAAGTTAAAAATTGATGCCGCATGGTAACACTACAAATTGGCGAAGGAAAAATGGCTATTTGCTTCTACTAATGCTAGATGATATGCTAAATGCTACGTTAATATTAATATCTGAGTTTGCGAATTAAAGATTAGTAAAGCGATTATCTTGATAGTCTGCAATATTTCAGGTGTCTACGGCTATGGTATTTCGATTGATGCTACCTTGGATATAATACTATTTTAGAGAAATTAGTACCGTTTAAGTTACGTTCCTCCATGGCACCTTACATGCTGAAGTCATCCAACATGTGAAAGTTCGCCAAATTTACAGCATGTAATAGAAAAAAAGCAAAAGCAAACATATTTTTTAGTGGAGGATTTAGTCTAATAATTAATATTACTGTGCTCATGCTCTGTGTGAGCAAATACTCTTATTTTTTGCCATCATAGTATCGTAAAAATAGAATAGTTTATCTTAAATATAAACATGTCAACATTTTTATCTTTGCTCAAACGAGTTTCGCTAAAATATATAATTGGATGGCAAAGATTGAAGCCAAACTAATATTTAAACATTTAAAATATTTTAGTGAGTAAATGTGTTTATTGAATTTTCTGTAAACTATAAATGCCATAGTTTAAATCGTTACAGCTTTGTTTGCAAGCTCACTAATGATAAACTATTTTCTTATTTTATAACCCACAATTGCAATATAATAATTAATTTATCAAATAAATATTAAGAGTAGAAATGATATTGATCTTTGTTTTAATAGGAAAATTCGCCCTGATTGAACTCATTGTATATTGCACATTGCAAGGTAGTGGCATTTAACCATAATAATTCTATGCCAGAACAGTCGATATTTGATTTTGTTTATTATTAAATAGAGTAAATTCGTTAGCTTGAGATTGCACTACATAGTATTTAATTGCGCATACGGTTATTGTTTTCCTCGAAATCCTGCAACATCCTGTTTGCTTATTCATCTTATAGTCAAGAATTAAGGTATCTATGCAAAATATGGATAAATTTTTATTTGTTAAGTGCGTAGGTAGCTTAGGATATAAACTCAAATGATTTATTCAGGTTCTTAAATATCTGAACTGATCTCGTGCAGCGGTCATATCGATCATCGCATCGAACTTATGTGCAAGATTATCGAATTTAAATGTAAAATGCTTTATTTAGCCTAAATATGATAGATCGAATAGTTTAAAGTAAATGGAAATCTAACCTAGTGGCTTATCGAAAAAAGCCAGCTATAATTACTAGTTTAAAATAATAACCGCCAAAGAAGCTTCCCGTAAGAGTCAGGACTATTGTCATTGTTAAATAATTATATTGACTATATGCATTCACTCAGCAAAATACCATGACCATTTCATCAGTAGCTTGAACTAGGATTGCTAGCATTGAAGAATTCTTCGTGACAATTACAGTTTTAGATATTTTTTCTTTAATTAATGGTTGAGGTAAAAGACCTACACTAATAATTTAAACGTTTTATCACCATCATATGTGTTAGTATAATCAACCGATACTAACCAGATTATCTAATAGCCAATTTCTAAATTCTCCAGTCAAATTGATCAATAACCATGGCTGATGATCATGCTATAGTCAATAATTCTAACTTACCTCTAGGAAATGCTATTATCAGATCAAGTGTATACTGCCTTTTATTCATTACTGGCTTTTTCGGTAACCTTATCTTTTTAGTAATCTTTGCAAAGTGTCCGTATATGCGCATACCGATTAATTATTTTTTAGTTAATCTGGCCATCGTTGATATTACCGCTACTATCTTTCGTGAACTTGCATTAATTATTGGTTATTTCAACTGTCAGTGGTTATACAATTACCACACTTGTAACTTATTCGGTTTTATGAGAAATATATGTTGTGCTGTTACTATTTTTACACTTTTGGCTATTAGTGTTTGCCGATATTTAGTGATTTGCCAGCATAAAGGGAGAAGAATGACTCGACATGCAGTTTTATGTATTATTGCTTTCGTCTGGTTTTATACCATTTTAGTATGTTTATGTCCGATATTTGGTTGGAATCGATATATTTATCATCAAAATCAGTATGTATGCTCAATAGATTGGAGCTATCAACCTTCTTATATTAGGTATATTATTATTGTCGACGTCTTTTTACCCACGATCATCACCATAATTTGCTATACATTTATTTACATTGTAGTGCATCGACATTCTAGAAGAATACAAGATATTCTACGAATGTCGGGTAGTTTGTCATCCGCCCAATACAATCGAATTGCAAGAGAGAAGAAAGTAACGAAAATTATGTTTGCTGTGTACATAAATTTCTTGATATGCTATCTGCCATTTTCTATAATAACAGCAATACTGATACCGAGTGGAATAAAACCGCCAGCGGAATTATTCTTCGTTGGGACATTTATGATTGATTTAAACAGTTCAATTAATCCTATGCTATATCCCTTCATTTATCGACGCTGTAAAGAAGCTTATTGTGAAGTCTTATGCTGCCATCGATCTCAAACATCGCCAACATCAAATTGTTATTAAAGTACTAGTGCAGTTGCTACAGATAATTCAAATAGTTGCGTTTTCATTACATGCCTTTTTAGATTTGCAATATCTCTTAATAGCTAATGGAATTTTTACGCGATGGTTATAAAAAGTTCTTAACATTGTTGTTGCTAACATTTATTGTTTAACTCATTATTTTGATTGCCAATCAAAAGTAAGACATTGATAGTCGATTTTAGCAATTAGAATTTAATGTTAAATCTAATTTAATTTTGGCATATTGTGTATCAGAATAGAGTTTTGAAAATTATTCGAATTTTTAAACCAAGAAATCAAATTCTGTTTGCAGGATAGTTATTTTCACTATTCTATGGGTAAATATAGATTTGAAAAACTTTACTTTAAAGAGGAACAAAATATCGATAATTTCAAGAATAACTGATAAACTGCTACGCTATACACAGGGTTTTATGATGTAATTGCTTCTGGAAAATATCCTTAACACTGTTATTGTTTGATATTAGCACGGTACATCATAAAAGTTTTTGGGTATTCTAGGATTTTAAAGCAAATAATATTCCTTCAGAAGCTCTTAAAATTTAATTAATGTTCCTGAAGGTTCAATTGTATTTATTAGAATAAAAATACGGTTATAATTATGATAAATACGAGTAAATTCCATTCGCAATAATGACTGCAATAAAAAAGAAACTTAATTTCCAGTAATTTACCAATTTCTCCGACTTTCTTTATTTAGAGAAAGAAATCTATAATTTCTCTGATACATGCCTTATCGGTGTGAGAGTAAATTAAAGATAAGGCAGTAAAGTAAAGGTTCTTTTATGAAATTAAGTTCATTATTTGTAGCCATTTACGATAACACTTAATAATTTTTAATAAGCAGTTCGCTGTGCTATTAGCACCTTAGGTATAATTGGAAATTTATAGAGTCAGGACTATTCCTTGCAGCAGATATTTACTATGTTCAGAAACATATTTTTTCGATTTCGGTACCCATAAACGGTAATAACTTACTAATAGATCCATTGCTCTAATTTCCTTTATACTTACTAGACATAAGAGGATTCAAAGTACGGTATTATGGTTAATACACATGCTACTCTATAAAGATGATATCAAACACACACATAATGTAGCAAATTTTTTATCCTTTTAATTATCTAGACATACTATAGAAATAAGGACCTAATGTCAGTATTGTTATGAAGACACCGATCGTATCCGCAAGCACCGATCTAAAGCAATTAGCCCGCGCTATTTTGCTTGTTAACAATTTTGATTAATTCGATTTTTATCGGCTACAAATAATGAAAGCCAGAGTCCTGAGCATTAAATAACTGCTTCTTGAAGAGTAAATAATTTAAGTTACAACCTTAGCCATTGAATAAATTGCACAGACTACAGCTAATTAGGCAAGGAAATGAAACAGCAATATGAAATAATTTACATTGCTTAGCGAAGATTAATTCCATTAAATGATGTCAACCGTTTGCTGTAAGGAATGATGACTTTGATGTTACTTAATAGTAGAATTCAAGAGTTCGTAATTTGTAGCAGATTCATGAGTAAAAATCTTATTTTGCGCACCAAGTACCAACATGATTCCTTGCTCATGCAATATCTCCAATACATTTCATGGAAGATGGTCCTTTTAAAATGGGCAGTAAAATTTTAGTACGTGAACAAAATTTTCTCAGCCATAGCTAAACTTCCTACTGACAAGCAGTTAGTAGTTTTTGATATTATATTATTTGATATTTATCTCGTAGATAATTTATTGTATCTTTCTTCTCATGTATTCCTTGGAGAAACTGTCTCCATATTATATCTATTAGTAATTGCGAGTATTTTATAAGCTAAAATTTTAGAAGTTTAATTTCATTGCAAGCAATAACCTCGGTTGGATTAAATCTCCACCTGCTGCAAATATTGCATTATAGTATAGAATATACGCGTATGCCTAACTTGATTCCCCATACATGAATGCTATAACTGATAATATTAAGAAAATTTCGCTAATTTTGAATATTATTTTCTCCAAATGCTTATACAAACAATATAAATAATAAAGAAAGCTATAATAACTACCTTCAAACTGCACAACATTTAAAATCAAAATCGATTTGGGAACCAGTTTGATGCTAGATTTAGAATCGATCTGAGATACAAGAAGCATAACAAGATCTGGTAGATAAAAACTTTATGCTAGAGCAATTCAACAGTTCTAAGGACACTCCATATCCGCACCGAAGGCCTAGAGTGTCATGATACAAATCACCAACGAATACCTTTCGATTTTAAATTTAAAGATAATGTTTTTAGTGAATTATAAATAGATATGTATGATCGTATATATAATTAAAGATAAACTAGTCACTATTTTGCTTGTGGGCTGTTGTGTACTAAGTTACACAATTTAATGAATAGAAAGCACTGAACGTTAGATTTATACTATTTTCCATTAAATGTGTACTTCACTAATCAATCCAATATAAAAACCGTATACTGATATAATGGACAAACTAACTTATCGATTACATTTCTGTCAGCACTGATATGTACCTAAACTTAGTAATGTTAATATTGTACTACTCAATAAAAATAAGAAATATATGTTATCTCCCGTAATATTTTTTCGGTCACAATTTTTAAATTCATTGAATAAAAATATGGTAAACATTCATTTTTACTGAAGTGCTAAAATACCTCAGATTTATATCCTCCGTAGACGCCTAGCAGCCATAGCAGCTATCAACAATAGCATCAAAACATACAGTAAACGTAGATATAAACTAATCATAGTACTACAGGATATTGATAAGGGTCTAACATTACATTGATAATAAGATATTGAATTAAACACGTAGAATATTTTCTAAATTATAAAAAATCACGTAGTTGCCTCTTTCATTCCTAATTCTACTATCGCAGTTATTACAGGTTCAGTATTAGATGATATCTGCAGATTATATAGAACTCTTATCATTGCATTTGTTAATAATCTTTAATTGTATGTGAGTGACGAATACAACAACAGTTAACAAGGTTCTCAACAAAAATATTGACATAAAAAATAAATTGTTTTGGTAATTTTCGAATGCTTTTGCCTTAGTCATTTTTATGATTTTACCATCATAAAACTAAGTAAGTAATCATGGATTGATCGCTGATAGAACACAATAAACACAGAAGTGTTTAAGCGATCAATATTAGCGCATAATTTTATTTTATCACATGCTCATTATTTATTTGAGTGTCCATACTGAAGATGTTTTGCATATTGTATGTTGTCTTGAAGTAACGTGCTTCATTTTTGTATGGTGCTGGCTGTTTTGGTTATTATGTACTGTGTAGTCACCGACTTTGCATGCAACTAACGGTAAAAAATAATACGGAATTGCTAACTACATTCTAGAGCTATATTAGAAGTTCAACACTAAACAATATTAATTTTGATACATTCTTTAAAGATATAAAAAAATCTATTTATTAAAGTATCGCGTCACTTCCCTTAACTCATGTAAGTTATATGTTTTTGTAGCTTGAACTTTTATACTACGATATTACTGTTTCTGCTATGTAAACTGTAGTAGAGACTTATTAATGCAATTTTAGGTAGTTAAACTAAGCAAATTACAAAATTATCATAACTATTGTATTACATTGGAATAGTAGCCAATATTAATAACTCATAGAAAAATAATTAATCCTGAAAGTTCTTCTCACGATACAGTCCAGATGCAATTCTTTCTGATTTTAGCAACATTGGAGTTTTTAATTTTAAATATGGTATTCGTTATAAATGAGTCAAAACTGAATTAATTAGATAATGCTCGCAAATTGGTAGCAAATTTAAAGACAGCAATCGTAGATGTGATTGATAAAATAATTTATTGCTTAATTGAAACTTTGAATTGAATTTCCAAAGTAATTATTTGTGAGAGTAGTCTAATAAATCTGTTCAAAATCGATATTTCAAAGTAACGGGCGTATCTAAAGCGCGCATTTTAAAGCATTTTATTTATCATCATCACAAGGAATAAAATTTAAAATCACCTACTCAGATAGTTTGCACGCAATTTCAATGGCTTATGTCACATATCCATGATTTCTCACAAGAATAGCGTTGAAGTTAAGCATTGAACTGATAATTTAAATTAAAGTTTCCGAGAATGAAGAAGATATTGCTATTTCTAGCTTAATTTATTTATATATCGAAGTCAAATCATACAAACAATTTACTTTTGTAATTTTAATTCTATACTACCATATTTCCTGTAGAAGATTTTCGCATGATGATACTTGTACGCATCGTCTCATACAAATCAAGATTGGCGGGCGTAAAGAAAGTTGAGGTATTTCTATATGTCTGTGAAATAGGTAATTCTCTATCTATTTTCTTTACCACTTATGCCATCATAGTGATATCTATTTTTTATTCGGTAATGGATAGTTTCGGCATAGTCAAGGTATATCAAGGAAATAATTTATGTGATAACAATTGAATGTACCTAGTAAATTGTTCTGGTATAGCACAGATTGTGAATTGCATATAAATATACACGGATAAACAAATGTTCAGAATTTTATTATTTATAGATTCTCAAGTATAATGAGGACGAAGCGGTAATAGGTGTGGAAAGCCAACATGAAATTTCTCACATAGTTAATCACTGTTTTAGGAATATCGATATTTGATCAATTGTAACTATTTTAGGAATCATCGTAACTTTGAAAGTACTAACGGCTATAAAAGACTATGAAAGGTTAAACAAAATCTTCGCCACTGTTCTGATTACTTAAAAAATCTTACTAAAACATTTAAAGTCTACATAAAAATCAAATAATTATGACCATGAATTAAAAATCTTAACATTCTAGGCTAATAACCCTTAATTTTGTATATTAAGCAATAAATATAAGGATAGCAGAAAATTGCTGGTAAATTCATTTGGTTTCGAAATTATATTCGTCGTACAGATAACAACCATATTTAGGACCCTGTTTTCCATTAA